GACCAAACCGCTACCGCGCCAAACATTCGAGAGATAAGATGTCAAATTCAAGTGGCCAAGCGCGTATTTCAAGGAAGTAGCGCATCATGGCCAGGATGAGCGTTGTGGATCGACCGTTGCTATCACCATCACTTCACGTGATTGCGATCACGCAAGGTAAGTGGTAACCAAACATGTTTAGTGAACAGATGCTGGTACCAGGTCCATAGGAAGACGCAAAACCATGAGAGAGGAAATAATGTGTGTATATTATACTGACGCGACCAGCCGCGAAGTGCCGACTGCTGAGCTGGAAAACTCCGGCGCGGGCAAAGCAAGAGAGCGGACGCGTCGTCAAGTAGAAAAAGTCTTGCCATGCATACTACTGGTCGACCGGGCGATGGGGATGTGTCGTCGGTTCCAGGTGGGGCCTCCCCACACCAGCACACGAGGCGATCTGGTTGCAGCAGGCCGCCGTCGGGCTGCATCGGTTCATCCCCGCGGGTCCACCAGAGCTTGGTCTGGCGTCTGAGGCCAAGGATTCGAGCTGGAGAACCCTCTTCGCGCAGCTCGGGGTGGTCGTGCACGTACATCCCCTTCACCATCGATACGCGTGGAACGTTCCGGATATGGTAACGAAGGCTTTGCTTCGCCCTGCAATCGCTCGGAGCTCTTCAGCTCCGTAAACGCCAGCTTTTCTGTACCCCTGCGACGCTTAGTAGACCGTTTGGGAGTGGTGGTGGTGGTGGTGGTGGTGGTAATGGTAATGGTGGCTGGTTCTGGGCAACGGGTGGCGGCACTTCAGCGTCCGCTCTCAAGTATGGAGCCATGACAGTGATCTTTCTCACTACCAAGTGTGGACGGCGTACAGGGTCGCCACCAATAGCTGAATGTTTGTCATGCTGATCGTCCCGCTGACAACACTTGTCGCGCCGCGCCGACATAGAACGGGTTGATTATAACTTTGCAACACATCTTTTTCGTGTGCTCAAAGGCGCGTGAGTGTTGGGTCAAGTTTCTCAGTCAAACTGAACGAAAGCATCTGATCCTAACCCAGCGCCGACCTGCGGCTTCGCAAATTGTACGAAGTGTCAAGCTCCGGCCATAGCGTCGCCCATGCGATCGGTTGCTCGAGCGATTTCAAGACGATGCCAAGGCCAGAAAACGGGTTTGCCAAACTATATGGTTGCTTCTGAGCGCAGCGATGCCGTGTTTCAAGCCGTCCAGCCCACGTCGTCTTACAGCATAGACCGCTTCAGGACGACAAGCTTACGTCAACTTTCGTGCGTTAGTCCAGCGCGAACATAGAGGCGCCGCTACTGTGCTTCGAAGAGCTCATTTACACGCTTGTCTCGAACTGTTTGCCCTAGACCGTAGCGAAGTCTCGCTTTCTCTAGCGGCCTGCCACAAATTGCAAATACACCCGGCGCTGTCTCCCTGGCTAAGAGATTTCCAGACGGCTTGCACATAATTGTAACGGGTAATCGACCGTCCTGAAGCTCTTTCTCCGTTACTGTGTTGTTGTACTGAGGTTTGGCCGTCCCCCCCCCATCATGTCGCTGTGTCTCGACTGCGTGTGTACTACGGACGTTTGTGGTGCACTGGCTCCGCGATCGCGCGAAAACAGGCAACGACAATACTCACGACGTTCGATCGTGCCGACGGAATCCTGTGCGATGTGAAGTGATCGATTATTGTGCGTAAAGCTCGCTACGATGTGAAGATGTTCGATGGTGACGATAACACCTAAAGTGATAGAAAGCCGTGAGCGCCAGCGACCGACACTCGCTCGATTCCACGCCCACTGATCCGAATTACTCGCGAGATTTCACTGATCTGCGGATGCGTGTTACTTCCCTCCTTCGTCGCATGTTCGTCACACAGTACTCGACGTCCCACATCACTCGCTGTATCTCGACGGCCCGTGCAGCGTACGCTCTCGATTCTCGAGCGCTATCTGGCCTGAACTATCGATCATTCCTCATTTGCCACTTTCACCGCACAACGCAGTACATCGAGCCGCAAACTCTTGCAAGCATGCGTGTCTGGGCCAGCTTCTTCATCGCCAGCGCTGCCGTCGTCTCCAGCTTTGCCCTCGTTTCGGCTGTAGACCAGGAATGCGCTGGTCAGCCCAAGTGCATTGGCATCCACCACGACATTGTCGAAGATTACACCGACGCCTGCCACGAGTTCCTTACGATCGCCCATTATCACAAGTGCTGCAACGACAAGTGCGGCAACAACGGTGGCAACAATGGTGGCAACAACGGTGGCAACAACGGTGGCAACAAAGGTGGCAACAAAGGTGGCAACCACCGTGGCAACCACCGTGGCAACCACCGTGGCAACAACGATGGCAACGACGATGGCAAGAAGGAGAAGGAGGAGGATGACAAGAATGATGACAAGAAGGACAAGTCTCACTCTAAGGGGAACTCTGATTCGGATGAGAAGACGAAAAGGTACTTGCGCAAGTTGTAGACCCAGGTCGGTCTTCATCTGCAACGATCTGTGCCTAGCACGCACTACGTACCGTTACCAGTTTGAGTGACAACCCTTCTTTCCCCTCATTGTTTGGATACTCTTTTCAAGCGATGCGGGGCATGAGCTTCGTAGCAACTTTTGATGCTGCCCGAGCTTACAAGCCAACCGTCGATGGTAGCGGTTGGCGATAACTGAGTCCAAATGTAACAAGTCTTCAGGGCTTTCTTGCGTTTTGTTGTGCTTTGTTGTCGCACATTGCTTCGACGATAGGAATTGCTCCGGGTTTTGTAGTTCGTATCGCTAGCAGCTCAAAACGAGATAAGGAAGAAATTGGGGTATCGTAGATATACCCCAAGTGACGCCTCACTGTCAACAACACACACACACACACTTGCGCTACCGAGCGATGTGCAGATGTCATGATGAAGACGAGTTGCATTTGGCGCAAAGCCATTCCATTCTATCGCTGAGGTGCTGTCATACTGACTACTGTCTTCTTGTGTCCTCAAACGTGTTTCTTCTGCCTATTACGTGAAAGAGTTTTGCTTGCGTACCAGGTTGGTGACTTCCTCGATCCATTCGTGTGGTCGAGCACGTAGACTTGACGAGCCCATCACACAGCAATTTGTGTGAATGCCAAAAGCATTTGCAGCAGATATCTCAAGCAGTCCAGACATAGCACAGCGCAGCAACGAAAGATGTGTGCAACAAGCCAACGACGCACTACTACCAACTAAGTCGTGTATATATGAAGATTACCGCCATGCCTCACCCCGCAACCAAAACGTCGAGTGTTTCAAGCAAGGAACCACACGCTGATGAATGTCAGCTTCCACAGCACTGGCTAGCCGCTCTCATTTTCACTTGCGTAGGATCAACAACCTACCAACCGATGCTTTGCTGCTCCGCTTCTCCTGTTTCTGTCCTTCCTGGTCGCGTTCCAGGCCTCTTTTTACTACCAACCATCTCCCCCTCCCCGGCGTCACCTCACACCCTCTCATGCTTGCCCCCACTTGTCGTGTTGTATCGTTTACGTACGTGCCCACCAACCAGGCTCCCTCTTGTCTACACCGGCGTCAGCCTACAGGAAGTAGTCTGGCGTGCGCTTCTTCTCGTTAAACGTGCTGTCACGCGGAGCCGGGTCAAACTGGATGAACTTGCACGTCTCGTATACCTTATCCCCACTGCGATCCGCCATGACTTCATCAATCTCCATGAGCGCCGCTTGGTTGCCACAGCGGTAGCAGTAGTTGGGCGCACTAAAGATCGTCACGACGCCACGATTGTGCGTCCACTGGTATCCTTCCATGACCAACTGATGGGCACGTGCAATGAACGTGAGGCCATTGCTGCGCTTGAACTGCTCCGTGATATCCTGGCCAAACGTGTAGCCTGCACCCCGGGGCGAGATGCCCCACCCACACCGGTCGTCCGGGTCCGACCACACGAGGTCGCACATGGGGCCTTCGTGAGGCACCTCCTGCACTCGGTCCAGCGCCCGTGCGTGGTCGAGCGTGTCAATCGACGGCGACAGGCCGCCGTGCATGCAAAACACGCGGTTCTCAATAAGCGCCGTCATGGGCAAGTGGTCAAACAGGTCGGTAAAGTACTTCCACACGTTGGCGTTGCCGTATTTGCGCAGGCACTCGTCGTAAAAGCCATAGACCTGCGTGATCTGGCGGCTCTCGTGGTTCCCGCGGAGGATCGTAATGCGCTCGCGATGGCGCACTTTGAGCGCGACCAAGAGCGCTACGCTCTCGAGCGAGTAGTACCCGCGGTCGACGTAGTCCCCCATGAAGAGGTAGTTGGTATCCGGACAGGCGCCACCTATCCGGAACAACTCGAGCAGGTCGTAAAACTGCCCGTGGATGTCGCCACAGACCGTGACGGGGCACTTGACGGGCTGCACGTTCGACTCCCCCGCGAGGATCTCCTTGGCCTTCTGGCACAGCTCGTAGATCTCCGTCTCGGTCAGGTTCTCCGCGCGTCGCAGGCGGTCGATCTGCGCGTCCAGCGCCTTCATCTCCCCGCGCGAGTCCATTCTCGCTCGGCGCAGGCTGCTTGCGATTGGTGGAGCGCCCACTCCCTCCCGTTCTGGCTTTGCCTGTGACACGTGATATCGTACCCGCCATTGAATGGTACAGGGTACGTACGCTCACAGGGTATACAGGCGGAGAGAGCACGACAAGCACTGACCAATGAGCGCTGCGCATCTTCAGTGCCGTGGACACAAACAGCCTGTGGGCGGCGTCGGAAGAGAGTCTAGCGAAGCAGAAGCGAGCTGATAGGTACAGTAAACGACGTGTCATGCGTGAGCGACGATATACGTTTGACGCGATCCGAGACACAATGTCGGATCAACAAGTTGGATCCATGTGCGCCTGTACTTGCAGTTTCGTTCGCACGGCCTTTTGATCAGACTTGGACAGGCAGCTTTGGTCGTCGTGGGTCCTTTCGTAGCTTTTCACGTGAGCAAGTTGCCGTAAGCTCGTGCTTGGCTATGATTTACGAAGACACACGTGGGTGCAACGTACACAGCGTAAGCTTGTCAGGGACATGTACATCGACGTTGGCTCACCTACGGCGTCTCGAATCTCGAGTCTGTCGGTCGCAAAAGGACATGTTGACCGACGCGATGTCTCAAAGGTGGTGTTAGGACTGCATCTCATTGCATACTCAAAGACCCGAGTCATCCGTGGAAACGATCGAAGCCGCTACATGAGTGGACTTAGAACGCGACTTTGCTCTCGCATTGCGCAAACAGCATCACAGCGGACGTGTCTACGAGAGTTTACGCGAAAGACTTCTACGAATGTAAGACAATCGATGGACCCGCCAACACGTGCTGCACTTGACCAAAAGGATCCCGAGTTTGGCTCGTCACATGGCTACATCCGGTACACGGTACCACCTGCTTTCAATCAGGTTAGTGACTCGAGTCAAAGCAGCAGCCGTTTAGCTGCGGGCGTCAACTGCCGCTCAGCTCCTGGCGATAGCGACAAGGAGCGATGGCCGCCGTGCCCGCCAGCAGCAGTACCAGCAGTACCAAAACTCGCGGCAGCAGCAACAGCAGCAGCACTCAAAGTGGCAGTATTAGCGACAGCAGCAGCAGCAGTCGCAGTAGCAGCAGCAGCAGTCGCAGTAGCAGCAGCAGCACGTATGAGCCAACGATCTATACGCTATTGCTCACTGTAATGTGTCTCCTACTCGCGCTGTTCCTCCTCATGCGGCTGTTCGTGGCCCTTCGCAACAAGAACAAGCTGCTCGCGTGGTCCACTGGTTTCTACCTTCTCTGTCTACTCTGGACGGGCGTGCGCGCTGCTTACTGGATCATCATGTCGACGCAGCCCAGTATGCGCTACTTGACGCTCTATTTGCTCTACTGGTCGCCCACGCCCATTCAGTTTGCCAACTTCTCGCTGCTCATTCTGTTCTACATCCAAGTGCTCACAGGACCAGAGTGGCGCTCCAAGTGGCGCAGCGTCTGTTTACCGCTCTACCTCTTGCTGACCATGACCATGGCGACGTTCACGGTAGTCTGGGCTTTCAATTCGTCGTATGACATCTCGAACGCAGCACGAAGAGGAGACGAGTACGACCAAGAGTTCTCGAAGGTGTCGGACGTTTCTGTGCAGCTCAAGTACTCGGCCTTCTCCTTTTTCCTCCTGAGTATCCTCTTTGGTTTCTTTGGGTGGAAGATGGCCAATGTAAGTGCAATGCTACTGAAAGTGCTACAACCGACGTGATGAAGTTTGTGTTGATGGCGATTTACTTGCAGGTAGAAAGCTGGAAGCGAAGACGACTGCTTCTGTCGAGACCACGGGTGCGTAATGAAGCGTTGGACCTCGTTTCTGCTAAACGTCTCATGATAATCGTGTGCGGTCGCTGACTGTCTGTAGAGCTTGGCGGTGATCAACTCGTTGCTGTGTCTCATTTTCTTCACAAGATCGGTTCGGGATCTAGCAACGTCTCAGAGCTGGTTTCTTAGCATCTGGAACAACTTGGACATGAACGGCCGCGTGACGACCGTCGCCTACTTTGTCTACTTCTGCTTTTGGGAGTTTTTACCGACCATTCTGTTGCTATGCTTGATTTCATCAAAGGCCGGTGGCGTGGGAGGTCAGTGCTGGTGATGATTGATTGGCTGTGGGGATGTCAGACCTGGTCATTGATAGTATACCTGTGTTTCTTGCCATACCATTAGCTCCAAAGCACGGACCTACGTCGCAAAAGCTACCTGACTACGGTATCTTTCACATCATCAACACTGGAGAGCGCAAGCAGCTAACCGCAAGTCCGCTTGCCACGAGCGCCTATAGCTCCTACGGAACTCGGGCAGAAGTCTCAGCCGGTTTCGAACGGCAGCACGAGCGTGAACGTCCTCGATGGACGCACGGTGGCGACCTTTTTCAAGATCCTTTGCGGTATGATTCGGATGATGGCCCAGCGCCATCACCATATTATTTTCCCGATAGCTACACTAGTGATGCGAGCAACAGCAATTACAACTACGAACGAGTACCACGCTATTCAGCTGGAATTTAACAACTTGGTATCCTAAACGAAACAGGTGTGCACGAACGATTGAGAACTACAAGCTGTAGCTCTTCATCAGTTACAATCAGACTCGGCCACTGCTGCAGATGAGCTTCCTCATCTGTTGGAACATTCTCATCGGTGAAGCGCATTATGCAGTGTTGACCTGCTTCAATGCCTGCAACACCTGCATCATTAGTATATCGCAAGGTCCTTGCGTTGCTTACTGCAAAGCGCGTCGCTTAAGTTTGTGAATGCAGCTATGTACCCATTTTGCTGCGCGATTTGTCTAGACGCGGAAAGCACTTACCTCCTACAAGTCCAGGCACACTTTCGACAGCGCTCCCTCTACCATCACAACGTGAAATGTCCGGCTACGCCATCGACTTTGCCAGCGCTGCGTTTTTCTGACGTCGGATGTTTGTTGAATAGAGTGTTTGTACACTGATTGCAATACCCGATTCGCGAACGCGACAGTTAGATTTGAGCAGCAGAGCACTTCAAGTTGAAGCCATGCGACAAGGAGCGGGTGAGTCGCACGAGACAGATATGATGCGATAAGTTGTTCATCGGACGTTTACACTCGACAAAGTCACAGCTTATCTAGCTATGCTTCGTTACCATTGCTGTTTCCACGAGTAGTCTGCAGCTACTTACTATTCGCGTACAGGCACTAGCCACGTCCTTGGCAGACTGTTGTCGTCGGCGTCAAGGTACACTTCCGCAGTCTGCTTGTGAATGATGATGTCAAGCTGTAAAACGCACAACACTGGACTACGTCAACATCGGGTCACGAGTTTTGTCCGATGTTCCTTGGCGGAGTATGACCGCTCGCAGGCTTTGGACGCGTGCGACGCCATTCTGGTTGAAGTTGTCGACGAGATTGCAGTAGCAGGTACTACCAGTGTTCCAAGCTCGTAGGGCAACTGGAAGTACGGACATGCGAAATGTCGTGTCGACAGAGACGACCGTCTTGTACAATCGTGTGTGATGGGACTTTTACGAGTCAATTGACGTCGCTGTGGCTCTGAGAAATGGACACAGCGTAGGCCACGCTAGCACTACGTTGTTGCAATCGCGACGTCGGTCGTCCCGCGCGTCCTTCCGCAATGACGTGGAAAGTCGCACGCACGCGTCACGTCGCAATAGTGGACGGTGTTTCGGTGCATCAAGCAAACTAACTACACGAGTTTGTCGTGTGGCAAGTCTCAAGATTACGCTCCGCTGCTTTGGTCTCTTCAACAGCAGAGCGTGAGACGATCGTGGCGTACGTGACTCTGTCGTTACAGAGATGTGCGACACCGAAGGCAGTCTGCACAAGAGGAAGGTGCATTGGACGTGACAAGTTGACGCGCCTCTCGGTGTGGACTCAGACGACATTTGCTTTCCTAGCTCGACAAAGCAAACCGGTGGTCGTCTATGGTCGTCAGCGACGACCCACTGCGCTATCTCGTCGAGACCAGGACGCTTCTGAACTATCCACATCGTGTAGTCGTTGACTGTTTGTGGGCAATGTGAACGAGCTGCACCTCGTGTCTCGCTGCACCAAAAGCTCGGGGCTAGTGACGCACCTGTTGAGTCAGGTCTCGAGATAAGTAGTTGCACGGAGCACACTGTCCTTGCGTCAACCATTTATAGCAATGTTATCTCTTCCTGTACTTGGACAGTGGCTGGAGCTAGGAAGACATCGGGTCAAGCGCGAGCGTGGCGGGTCGAAGTATGAGTCACCACGTCGCGCTGGCAACAACGTATCCTACAATTACAATACACGTCAACAACAACAACAATAACATCAATACCAACATTAACATCAATAGCAACAACAACATTAATACCTACAACATCATCATCAACATCTGACAGCGCTATCTATTGCTTCGTGTGAAGAAAAAAGCGACTCTTTGGACCAGCCGTTTCGATTCGGACTCGCGCGTGGCGGTCCGATCGATCTCACTGTTCGTAACAACGTCGTGTGTGTTCCCGTTGCGTACTTACTGTCTTGCTCGACTTTGGGTGCGTGGCCGATTGGGCCCGACCAGGGCCCCCTCCCTCCCTGTTCCAGCAGGTGGCCACACAACGCAAAGCGCATCGGCGACCGCAGTTCGTGGACGGGAGCGATCAGATCCCATTGACCCCATACATACCCCACAGTCTCCTCCTCCTCCTCCTTCTTTCCCACTTCCACTACCACTACCCAACGCCCCATACCCCATACCCGTAACACACGGCACGCGTCATGGAGACGTCGTTCGACCACACGCCCGCGCAGCTCGACGAGCTCCCGGGCATGCAGTACATGTTCCTCTTTCAGCACGAGCGCGACTGGGTGCGTCTTCTCTCTTTGGTGCTCACGGGAGACGTGTGCAACGCTCGACATGTCGTGACGTCCGTGTCTCTCTGTGTCCAGGTGGTGTCGTGGGAGCCAGACTTTTGCAAGCAGTCGCTGCCTATGGTCGTCGCTCTTTGCGTCGTCTACTGCGTCCTGTGCTTTGCCGGTCGCCGCATGATGCGGGACGTCAAGCCGTTTGACCTGAAAGTGTACGTACTCCCTCACTTACCCCCCCACCCCCTTCGCAGCCCGTACAGCTGCTGCCTCTTTGGTTGCGATGCACCTGATTCTGACTGACTGAATCGTCCGTGCTGATTGTCTGTCTGATTGCTACTGTGCACAGCGCTCTCGCACTGTGGAACTTGGCCCTCGCTCTCTTTAGTGCCGTGGGCGCTCTTCGGACCGTGCCTTCTCTCCTCAACACGATCTACTATCGTGGCGTGTACCACTCGGTGTGCGTGCCGCCGACCCCGCGCTACGGCCGCGGGCCCGTGGGGTTCTGGGTGGTGCTCTTTATCTTCTCCAAGATCCCTGAGCTCGGGGACACGGTCTTTATCGTGCTGCGCAAGAAGCCGCTCATTTTCCTGCATTGGTACCACCACGTCACGGTGCTGCTCTTTTGCTGGCATGCGTTTGGCACGCTTTCGGCGAGGTGAGCGAGCGAGCGAATAGCACAAATAGCGCTGTCTTACGGTACCCGAGGACAGCGTCGTCGCTGGCTGCTTTGACCTCACACTCACTTGTGCTGCTCACTTGTCATGCCGAATGAATGCCTTGCACAGCGGGATCTACTTTGTGGCGATGAACTTCCCGGTGCACGCCATCATGTACTTTTACTACTTCCTCACGGCCTGCGGCTACCGACCGCGCTGGGCGCGTCTTGTGACGATCGCGCAGCTGAGTCAAATGGTCGTGGGCGTTGCAGTCTGTGGCCTCAACGTGTACTACATGAAGCAGGGCATCGCGTGCGGCGTGGATCCGGACAATCTCAAATGGGGCATCATCATGTACTCGAGCTACTTTGCCCTGTTCCTCAAGCTCTTCATCGAGCGCTATCTACTGCGCAGTGCCAAGCAAACGTCGCCCAGAAAAGTCGCCGAGAAGACGCAGTGATGTGCCGCACGTATAGAAATAGCTGACAAGGAAATCAAAGAACTTGCGGTGTCGCTTTTAGACTGTTCCGTCTGCCACGTGACGCGAGTCGTCCGACGCACTTCCGACGTTTGCCGCGTACCACTACACTCACTGCGGCACCGAGAGTATACATGTATACTCCCCTCCCCCCTCTCAAAGACGATCGACATTTACTGGCCGCCACGCCCCTCTCGACGTGCGATCCGACCCGATGATCACTGTGGACCACCAAAGCTCGAGCGCCACCCAAGTCGCAACGGATAGGGCAAACGAAACGATGGCCACGTGACATCGCTTCAGCTGCCCATTCTGTGGCCAACAGTCGCAAATATACCCTTTTTTGTCGTTCAGCTACCAATCGCACACTTCATCGAATCGGTCACGCGAGTCGTCTCTTTCCATCCGATATTAGTATTCATTCCCCCGACACTTTTGCAATAGTCGGCGCAATGGCGAGCGAAAAAGAGACCGCCGTCGCAATAGCTCCCCAGACGTCCACCGTCAAGTTGGCCGATCCAAGCGAAGACACGTACACGGAACGCGTGTGCAAGACCTTTGCCATGCTCGACTTCCGCACGGCCTTCACGTCCACACAGGAGCTGCTCGACGCGCAGCAGCTGCTCGTGGCCCATCGCCGCGGCGAGTGGATTGATCCAGTCGCGCTTCAGCACGCGTCCAACGTGACACGCGCTCTGTTGCACCCGGACACGGGTCAGCTCGTCGTGATGCCGCTGCGCGCGTCGATGATTGTACCCATGAACGTGGTCATGGACGGTGCCATGCTGCTGGCCAAGAGCGTCCAGACCACAGTCGTGGCGCAATGGCTCAACCAGACGTACAACGCGCTGCACTATTACGCCAACCGCAACGCCTCCAACCAAGACACAGCCCAGCAGCGGCTCGTGGCCTACGTAGGCGCTACAGCCAGTTCAGTCGGGGCATCGCTTGGCATTCGACGCTTGGCAAATCGATGCACGAACGCCAAGTGGACGCCTGTTCTTGCTCGCATGGGACCGTTTGCTGCCGTTGCTGCTGCCGACTTGCTCAACATAGCAGTCATGCGGCAAAACGAGTACCGTCGGGGAGTCTTTGTGCATGACGAGAGCGGAGACGTTGTCGGCAAGTCCAAGATGTGTGGCGCACTGGCAGTCGCTTCGTGTGCGACAGCGAGAATCTTTGCCGCTGCACCGATCCTGCTGCTCCCACCACTGGTTATCTCGATGATCGAAAAGCACAGCACAGTCTTCACGCGTCCTCAGACGCGGTGGCTGCGCGTGCCTACGCTGCTTGGCCTTGTCGGCTGCGCAATCCAGTTTTCCGTGCCACTGACGTTCGGGCTGTTCCGACAGACTGCGCGACTGGACTCCAAGTACCTCGAACCAGAGCTGCAGCAAGCGTTGTGCAAACGAGATGGCCAACCCGTGCGTGTTGTCACATACAACAAGGGTCTCTGACATCCCAGCTGAAGCTAAAGTCTTGACGACTGCAACTTGGCAGCATACATCCGTTCTGTAGCAACGTCGTTCGCTACTAAGACTACTGCGATACGCCATGAAATCGACTCACATGGCTGCTCGCTCACTTCACACTGAACGCACGCTGCTGCACTCTGCTTGGAACCAACTGAAACGCCGGGGCGACGAAGCATTTACAGTTGCATCTAGAACAACTTGCGTCAGACAGAAAAGCATCAACAGACTTGTGTGTACACGTACTTGACACCCATCCAATTCCACGAGCCGAGTTTGGCGTTGCACGACGGGCAAAGCAGCTTGCCAGCGCTGTTACGAATGAAGACAGGGTCCTTCGTCATCCACGCCATCGGTTCGATGAACAGTCCAGCACAGCGTCCACCGCGAGCGACTTCGTCCGGGTTCATGTGCGACAGCTGAAAGCAACGGCATCAAAGTAACTCCCATCAGTCTCATGACAGCTAAACGCGTCGATTCACGCCCCACCGCACCTGGTTGCTTGTCGTACACAGCACGTGATTGCACTTCCGACAACAGACCGAGCTACCCGACTGTGTGAGCTGCACGGTGCCGACGACATCGGCTGCTCCTGTCTTTCTTCGCTGTTGTTGCGCCATCATCGTCCGCAACTCGGCATGGGCAGACGTGCTGCCCATGCAGTTCGGTTCGCTTTGCATCTTTTCAAACAAGTCCAATTGCCGCAAGAATCCCGTATTGATCGAAATGCATGGGCGAGCGTGCTGCACAATGTCGTATGCTTCCAACAGCGTCTTGTCTTGAGTAGCCATGACGTACGCCACGCAGATCGCTGCACTACGCGACTGGCCATACACGCAGTGCACGAGCACTGCCATGTTGCGCGTTAGAAACCGATCGAGGAACTGGATGCACGCTTGGAAATGAGGCAGGAGAAGCTCGTCTTCCATGTCGAGGATATCGACGAGCAGGACGGCACATGACTGCAATACAAGAGCCAACAAGCAGGTTAAGCACTCACGCAAGCACAGTGTCCACGCTCCTGCCCCATGACAACAGCATAGCGACCTGCCCAGTGAGATCACCTGTACCCAATGCAATAACCGCTTGAACATCATTCGTCGTTAGAAATGCAACGTCCTAGTCACGCGGCAACCACCAGACATAGAAACAGCTTAGCAACGTTTCGATCCATCAATCCCCCGCACACTGACGTTGCACACGCACTTGAGCAGCTCGTGCTTCACCGAGAAACAAGGGCAAGTCGCCAATCCGTGCTGCAGTTGGGAACCCTTCGAGTGGCGCGTGGCGTTGCTGTCGCTGCTCAAGCAGCTGCACGACCCGCGAGGTCGGCAGCATTGCTGGCAAAGCTATTTCTATCGACGGGCACACAAGCGAGGTAGAAACAGGTGGCCATCGTGCGCGCAGCGACATTGAAGCTGCCCGTCAAGAAAAGCAAAAGCAAGACGCTTTTTTCGCACGGTCCGAGTCGGTCGCATAAACGGTCCGCAGGGCCGTCAGCGCAACAGACCGTCCAACGCCAAAAGAGTTTGACAATCCATTCGTCATTTCCAAATTTGCAACGCAAGTCACACTCGTTAGTGCAACGCAAGACGCACTCGTTAGTGCAACGCAAGACACACTCGTTAGTGCGACTTTTGGTCGTCGTTCGTGCGATAGACCGACCATGAAGATTGCGTTTTTCTCGTCGCACAGCTACGACATTGAGACGATGGAACGTGCTGCACAAGAGGACGACGTCACCCCCACGCACGAGCTCCAGTTCTTGCGCTCACGTCTTGACGCCAATTCGGCCAAGTTGGCCGAAGGCTGCGAAGGGGTCTGTCTGTTTGTCAACGACATTGCCGACGCTGCTGCGCTCCGTGCACTGCACGCAGGCGGCACGCGGGTCATCTTTCTTCGCTGTGCCGGGTTCGACCGGGTCGACCTCAAGGTGGCCACCGAAGAGCTCGGGATGCCAGTGCTTCGCGTGCCCGCGTACTCGCCGCACGCGGTCGCCGAACATGCGGCGACGCTGATGATGACACTGAACCGCAAGATCCATCGCGCGTACAACCGCACGCGCGAGCAGAACTTTCGCTTGGAAGGTCTGTTGGGCTTTGATGTCCATGGCAAGACGGTGGGTGTCGTTGGTACGGGTAAAATCGGCGCGCTCTTTGCTCGCATTGCTGCTGGGTTTGGCTGCACAGTGCTGGCGTATGATGTGAAAGAGAGTCCCGAAGCTCAGAGCTATGGTGCCACGTATGTGTCGCTTGACGAGCTCTGGGCTCGCGCGGACATTGTCTCGTTGCACTGCCCGCTGACGCCGTCGACAAGACACTTGGTCGATGCAGAGAGCATTCCGAAAATGAAGGACAATGTCATGATTATCAACACGAGTCGCGGTGGCCTCATTGACACGAGAGCTCTGGTGAACGGACTGAAGAGTCGCAAGATTGGCTCGGTCGGTCTCGACGTGTTTGAGGGCGAGGGCGACTACTTCTACTCGGACCGCTCGGGTGGCATCATTGTGGACAACACGCTCGCGCGTCTCTTCACGTTTCCAAACGTGATTATCACTGGCCATCAGGCGTTCTTCACGAAAGAAGCTCTCGACAACATTGGCCACACGACAATGAGCAACATCAAAGCGTACGACGCAAAGGAGGAGCTGGTGAACGAGGTCAAGTAAAGATCGACCTCGTCGACGTGCCGTAGCAAGCACGCAGCACGATGCGTCTTCTGGCTTTTCTCATTCCTACGCGTAGCATTGTCGTAGAGTCCCGAAGCTGAAGCTATGAAGCAATGGACGAATAAAGCTCTTGCAATGCCGTTTGAAACAGCATACAGAAAAGCTACGAAGGTGGCAAGACGATGTGTAGACGAGCCAGACACAACGAGTGTTTGCATATCCATCGAGTCGAAGTATGTCGTATGATGTGCGTAAATCTGCGCGACCGTCAGGTACGTACAGAAGCTGATGACAGACGCAACGTGATGAGTGAGCGTGCCACAGTAGCACGCGCATGATTTGCCGAGTTGTAACGGGGTGGGCCCGTTACATGTCAGTGACACCAAATTGGGTCAATGTGTAGATTATACTCAATTAATTGTATTTTCCGTTATTTACGGTATTGTGTAAAAAGTGGAGGAACATTACCTTCGAATGCAATATACAGAGACGCTCCACCTATTGGTTCAAATAGGCCATGATGTTACCAAATAGACCACCAATTGCTTCTAGACGCGCGTAGTGAGTGGTAGACGAGTGCCTGCATTTAAAGTATGTAGTTTGATGAGCTAAAGAAAAATCAAAAGGGAACTTGATAGGAGATGAACCATTGTCTATGCAGTTCTACTCTTTCCTTCTTCCAAGCGTTGTCGCGTGGAAGACTTGCCTACCGTATACGTGAGGTTCGAGAGCAATTGTCTACAACGTGATCAGTGCAGGTAGCTTCTACTGTGTCATCACAACCGGAGGGTGTCCGTTTACCTGGTAGTCCTTCGTAGTCCGTCCGAGGACCACATTTCCTTCCTTCAATGGGTTAACATGTTGGATGATGAAGAGGAAATCTTTTACACCACGTGTGAAGGCTTCTACCGTATAAGTGATATCTCATTGACAGCGGTCAAACTAATGAGCTCGACCATTTGCGTTTTATTCGTTTTTGCGGAGACGAGTAACATTCTGCCATTTCCATTGATATACAGCATGAACTTGGTGACGCGCGGGCCAAAGTTAACGAGCTTGTCGTATAAAATGTTATCACAGGCAGAGATACATACAACATTGTTCGTATCAATTACAATGTTGATACGGCAGCAAGCAGTCTGCTGATAGGGATTCAACTCACTTGTGTCGAGTTAAACCTTGAAGATAAATATCTCCAATAACCGGGGAATCGAGATAAAATCCATGAAGAGACGGTCCGTCAAGATGGAATATGCGGTAAGGGCTCGTCATATCACCGACGAAGCGAGGCAAGTCGCATTCTCGCAGTCAAACTTGGCTGGGCGTGCCAAAACTTGGGCTTTACGGCCCAAGCTTCACAGCCCATACGCATTTAGGTCATTAATGTCTTTAAGACACATCTCAGTCAAACATTTGTGCTCCCAAGGGGTGATTTGAGAGCTCGTTCAGAGCTTCTGAGAATCAGGTAGGGTAAGTGTGGTGTGCACGCTTACACGCATCACATAAGCTTCCTTGCGAGTTACGTCACTGTCAACTCAATTCAAACACGCTGTGACAACAATTTTCATGCAGGTTTTGCGGATGGACCCTTCAAGACCCATCTGTTCCGTCTGGGTTTAAATACACTAAAAACAGGCGATTTTAGTGGTGAAACAGGAAGGATTCAGCCTGAAGCAAGCTCAAGTCGACTCGGGTTAACATCGCCCTCCGAGACGACAGGAAGGCGGAGGTCCAGAACCAATGGATCTCTCTTACGCGAAAGCGAAAGAGCTCGCTCTTGAGGATGTAATATATGACTGCTGCGTACAACATTGTCTGGATTCGATTCGGAATATGCGCGTCGGGACAAAGCTTGTTCAATAGTAGGAAGACATTTAACGGGCTGAAGGTTAAGACACCAAGGTTGCAGTTGTGTGAGCTTCTAGATAAAAGTTCTAGAAGATGGTATATACAAAATATATATATATATATATGCAGTACATGAAATGATACAGATAGAGACAGCCAAACCATAGTTTACATTCCATTTTGCGCTGCCAAAGACAAATATTAGTAACGAAGCGTTATACAGAATACAAGCGATTGTAGGAGTGCGTCCTATGTCACAAGACATGGCACTACGCCTATATATGTAGTGTCTCAAATCCAGTGTTACGTACGACAGTACGAAACGACCGTCAGTAGACCATAAATGGTCCAAGACGCGGTAAAGACGCTATTTCTGATATGCGAAAGCGAGGCACATCATTCATATTTTGTCGGGGTCAGTAAAGGTAAACAATCCTGCTGATGTAGCTACGTCAAGAGAATCGGCAGGCCTCTTGAAGTAACTTGCTCTTATGACACAGTCACTGTGTGATCCTGTCCTTCGTTATAAGATCTACATCACCACCTTATAGATCAAATTGACAAAAAACATATCACTTCAATCCCTCCTTCATCATGGGGCACCGAACGATTTGTCGACACCAGTTTCTACAGTATCGTAAGCTCCAGTGCGTTGAGCGAGAGACCTTTTGACGAAGATGACACTGCTCCAAGCAACAGTCGACATCCGCAACAGTAAAGTAATGTGTAGTGGGGATTCACTACACCTAAAAAGAAAATCATTACGAGAATGATTTCATCGTTGGACCTGGATGATAAATTTGATAAAACCCTTCATCTTTCGTGGCTCATAAAGTACAAGTCATGGACCATCTGACAGCATCTATTTGTAAAGTCGCCTGCCACTTGTTCATCATGTGATCTTCTGATGAAAGTCTCATCGAGTTCACAAGCGTGCACATGTAAGGAGCAAGTGCGATATCCTCACTTGTGGTTCAGTCGTTTGCACGACTACGCAAGACCTCAATATTGTTCCCCACTACACCACTACACTGCGTAAATAGCTGCTAGTAGCTCTGTTAATATTCATGCACCGTTAAAGTTTACCACGTATATAAGACGATTTTCCGGAACATGGATGGATACCTAGCGGGCATCATCGAAGAAAGAGTAATTTTCTGCCTATAACATGCAGCATGGTACTTCAATGCCGACGAGAGAGTCGACTAGCGAAGACCTGGATGTAAAAGTGCTATCACAGCTAGAAGTCACTGAGGTGGAGCGGGTGTCACAGAATTGCTGATGTGGTCCCGCCTCTCCACTGGCACCCAGACGACCTACTATCGGAGGGGGTACTCCATTTTCGTGCTTGATTCCTTCCTCACCTTGTGTACCCGTCTTCTGGGTGGGTTGCACTCTTCTTGAGGGACTTGAGTCGGAGCTGAACTGATCGCGTTTAAAGATGTCTTATGGGTGGTCGATCATGCGGAAATCCTTACACGATCGCGTTTACTCTAAGTTACTCGAAAAGGAGTACCTGTTTTATTTCGGGACCGCCTGTTTGATTATGTTTTTACTTGATACAATCGCCTTCTGACCACCTGATCCACCGTGCGATCTTGTGTCTTGACCCTCTGCAAGTCTCCTGCGTCCGATAGCAAGTTGGGCATACCTGCCTTGATTATGTTTTGACGCAGCTAGGAAGACAATATATGGGAAAACCTTGGGGGCGTGAGTCAATTGCCTCAAATGTCTGTGACTTAGACAGACAATCTAGAAGACAGTTCGATGCATGTACTGTGACTTGAACTGATATTCATTTGATTATACAAGAATGAATCTTGGACTATGACTAGTTCCGTCCATAACCTGTATTTAGGCGGCCATGTGGCGTCTACATCGCCATTATGGCATATGTGGTCCCGCATCCACTAAAAATTGAGATTGCAACCGCGGTACACTAGATCGCAGGTTCTAGATCTTAATACGCTTGATCTCGATAGTACGCGTGATCGCGAATCGCGTGGTGCGCTAGTCATAGGATACGTGTTCACAACGACTGTGTGATCCGTATCAATAAGTTTTGATCGAGATGATATTCACGATTGCAATCGGTTACGGAATGATCATACTACATGATATTGTCATGAAAAGAAATGAGGATAAGGAATATGACATTTAATGTTCCTCCTCACGCACGACAAGATACAGTGATATTTTTGCGGTGGCCCAAAAGTCGATTCATTAGTTCACGTAGGCCATGATAACACCACTAATCGCTGGTAGACGCGCGCAATTGGTAGTAAGCAACATTTTACATCCAAATTTTGTAGTTAGATTTAGTAAATGAAGACAACCTAGGTTTTACTAGAAGTTTTAAGTATGATACAGTCCTGTTTTCTTCATTCTGAGAAGCTTTTGTAGTATGTATTCCTTTCTCTGCACGTAAAGTACACGTGGGGTTCTAGAAGTGCACATCCTTCAATGCAAATGGGTTTCAATTATCTGGTAAGAGTGTGTCCCATTACAATAACTCCTTTTTAGTCAGTCTCATTCTTACTTGTACTCCCACACGAAGTGGCTATTTTTCTGAAGCAAGTCGCCTCGTCGAACGTATTTGGGCTAATTGCCTATTGAGGTGTAAGGACAACCAAGGGTTTCGTGAGCTGGCGTAGCTAGAAGAAGGTAAATTGAACAGTAAAAACTAATGCTGGCATGATCCATACTTTGCAACGTTGTACTGCCCTAAGCCTGTCAATGTCGATTGTACGAAGTTTCCAACCAGCGATGAGTCGCTACTTACCGTTGCACACAATTGTGTTGTGTCGTCTTTACCATACAGTGCAAAGGCATCGAGCCACTGTTGTATCACCGACACCCTCGATAGCACAGAAATGAAGACGACACCCGATCCTGGTTATGTCCCACGTGCACTCGCACTTGTCAATTGAGACTGAATAAGGCAGATAGGTTCGTTAAACGTGCGACATAGTGCATCGAGGTATAGCTCACCAGCTCACCACCTCACCACCTCACCACCTCACAAGCTCATCGAGAAATGCACACCTATTGACATCCCGCCTCTGTCACCGCGGTCGCTTTCCAATGTTGCGCAACATAACACGACGACAGTTGTTGCTGCACGACTCAAGTTGCTCGTCCAAGTCGTCAACCAAAAAGCACACGACCGCACAACTTCGCGTTTTTGCGAAAAAAGCGGTTTTGTCCCATGTGGTCCACACGCTCTCCCAACAGCTCATTTGACTGGGCACAATCAGCCGAGCGCCCGACTCGCGCGCGCGTGACGCCGTCCTTCAGCATGAGCACGCAGCGTGGGAACATGAAGAAGCGGGCGCCGAAGCACCAGAACGCGTTTGCGTTCCGGCACAACCCCAAGTCCAAGAAGACAGAGCGCATTCTGTCGATGCCTATCCACGGACTCTGCGAAAAGTGCCGCCAGCAGATTGAGTGGCGCAAGAAGTACCGCAAGTATAAGCCACTGACACAGCCAGGCTCGTGGTGCGTTGCTTGATCGATGATTATAGCCTACGTATGCACACATGGTGTATACACCAGTGGACGAACGGAGTATGTTGTGGTGCTGACTGCTGCTATTGTTGCTCCTGCTGCTGCTATTGTTGCTGTTGCTGCTGTTGTTGTTGTGGTGTTTTGATTGATGGCAGCATCTTTTGCCACCAGAAAAGCGTGACGTCTGCCTATCACTCGTCATGCGACACTTGTGCCAAGGTGAGGATGATGGATGCATTGACACGTTGTCGTGCTGCATGGGCAATGTGCAAGCTGGCTTTGCAGTGCACCAGCGACGTGGCTGACTCGATGGCTGTATCTGTGTGCAGGCGCGAGACATTTGTGCCAAATGTTGCTTGACCAAAGATATCGTCGCCAGGTGTGTAGACGTGCTCGATGGCGTCCGTGCTATTGCTGCTGCCTTCGCTCCCGCTTGTCTTGAGCTTCTTGATGGACTGACTAGTTTGGCGCGCTGTTGCTGTGTCTGTAGCAAGCACGACTTGCAGGTGGAGCACGAGCAGAGAGAGCGCGAGTTTGAGAGTACGCTTGAGGGCATGCGGGAGCGGGATCGTCGGGCGTATCTGCGCAAGATGGAGAAGGAACAGGATGCAGTCGAACAGGATGCAGTCGTCAGCGAAGAAGGAGACGACGGAGACGAAGAAGAAGAGTAGCACCGAATAGAGAAGTAGAAGTATCACGCCGGACAAGTTGTTTTGTTGGTCACGGACAAGTATGTAGCCATCGCCATCGCCATCATCACCTGCGGAATGTTTTTGACCAATAAGATACACGTAAGCTCATTGCCTGTAACACTTGATAGTCGAGATGGTGTCGCCGTCGACGCAGGAGGCGTGGCGACACTGGTGGAACGAGACCAAGAGCGGCAGCATCAATACCTACGCGTCCATCGTGCTTTTCTTCCTCTCTACAGTGCTGGCCAAGTCGATCGCTCGCTGCCTCTTCTGGATCGTCCGCAAAGCCTGTCCGACCAAGTGGATGTACGTGAGCAGCGACCGCGCCGCAAGAACCTCTATAATGTTATTACCTTTGCATCTCTAATACTAAATGCGTGCACGGTGTATGTTATGTGATGCATATGCGGTCAAGTTGGCCTGATGAAGCACCGCAGATGATGATGTGGCAGACATCACTTTTGTGCCGTGCTGGGCTGGTGTGGATTGCTATCTTGGTCTCTCGCTTGTCCTTATTGCTGCACAAGTGGCCAGCATGGCTCTTTGGCATTTGCTTTCTCATTTGGATGGACGCAGTTGGCAATGTGCTGCGGGAAGTGATTGTTCGTAACGGCGTCGTGGGGTACAAAGAGGACGAGAAACCAGGCCGGATGACGCTCTTGTACGAAGGCAGTACACTGGCCAAGATGTTGCTGCTCGTGCTCATTGTGTACACGTACTACATTACTCCCTGGATCGAAGACTCGAGCGAGCTGAGGCTGCTCTTCTCGGTTGGGTTCTTTGTCTCGATGGCACTCGCTACACTGCCATTGGTACGAAGCAGGAGATACGAGATACTGACGTGCACAGGCTCATCTTGTTTGTTGCGGTGGGTATGATGAGGTCATTTGCTGACGGTGAACAAATGTGTGTGTTGTGGTCTGTGCAACAGCTACGCAATGTCATGGGTGCACACTACATGTTCCTGGCCAATATGCTGCACCTCGACTCGATCATCTATCTGCACGGGTCGCGAAAAGGAGTTGTCCGTGACGCACCGCTAGGATTTATTGTGCTAGCTACCTCTGACAACACCAAGACGTTTATCCCTGCGGGCGGGACAGTGAGTCACACGACAGAGGTGTTTCACAACTTCTTGTGGCCGCTTCGACTGGATGTTCGGTTACCAGTGAATACCCCGGCAAAGCGTGTGCGCCAGTTCGTACAAGACATGGACCGGTTGCTGTTTTGGGACCCTGTAGTAGCAATCGCACCCGACGGAACTGCTGCTGTTCCGGATGCTGATGGAACTACTTCATTCATGGATGCATCGCCAGCGTACGAAAGCGTGAGCACGCGTGAATTTGCGAGTGCAGCAGCGACCGAGATGGCCACCAGGTTACTGTTTGATGAGAATCGACAAGAAGAAGAACGCATTATACGGCGCGCACGAGGTAATGAGGGCTTTGTGGCGCTAGAGGCCAACAAGCGATGGGTCGTGCAATTTCGGACGTTTGTGCAGGCCACCGAGAAAGCACACTTTTGCCAGACTCGTGCTGCGGTGAGTGTAGACAATTATCCTGTCACCGTGTTCGTGTATCACAACTCACTCATGCGACACATGCAATTTTGTCTGCGATGCACAGTACATTGAGGCCACTACAAAGCTACTGGAGAAACAAGGAATGGCCTTTCGGTCGCAAGCTACTGTCGCTGAGCCTTGATGTGCTGACAAGGATTGATGCGCAGAGCCCCGCACTCATCCTCCTACAGCGTTCGCCATCCGGGTAGTATCCTCCTGCTTTTTCCGCACCTCGTCCAGTTGCAGACTGACCTCTATCGTTGACAAGTACAGCTCGAGATCACCGTCGTCGGGCAAAACTTGGAGTACTTCTTCAGGGCTGAGTGTCAAGCATATGTGGTTGAGAATGTTCTCCAGAATTGCGTCTTCGGGGCGAACCGCACCGTTACGTGCCTGTGACAGGGCAAGCAATATTGGAACCGAAGCTTGGCAGCACATGTTGACGCATGTATGGGCAAGACGTACCGCCGTTGATAGTAGCGAGATTGGGGACAACGTGCTGATCAGAAAGCGCCATTCATCCAGGGTGGTGCAGAAGCTCTTGCCGTACGGCAAGAATAAATTACTGAAGTCAGCGCGTTGGGCAATGAGCTTCAATCCGTCCACCGTTCTGGAAGCGAGTACAATCGAATTCGTGTCAAAACGCTCACAGGAGAACAAGAACATTGGGTAGCGTACCTGGAAACGCGAGGCAGCGTCAGAAGGACAACAAGTGCGGCCAAATCGTTTTCGAGGTTCCATCGCATCTGTTCTGGAGAGCTTTCGTCAAACACCTCGTGCGCTGACAGCACGTCGTGGGGGCTGATCAAGCTCCGTTCGTGCAGCAAGCTTAGAACCTGGTAGAAGAGAAACTCGAGGATTGTGCGCAATCCGGGTGTCGTCGGCAGACAGCGCGTGTCTAGGTACTCTTGCACCCAGCTGAAGAGATGGACGTTCGTAGGCGCTTCCAAGACTACTGGCTCGAACAATTTGCACAGCATTGATTCCACATGTCCGCTCTCGTCGTTGTTTACCGAACCATGGAACAATGAGCTGAGCTCGACGCAAAGACGCAACAACTCTGCTGCCACAGATGCTTTGGCATTGTGCAAGTCCTCCTCGTCATCCTGTACTTCTTCTTTTTCCGACAACTTCTCAAGCGCTGGAAACATCTGAAGTGCAAACACCAGAAAGCGGAGTACAAGAGCATGTTCGGGGACGAAAGGTGTGGCTGAAGGTGGTACCTCACCTACTGATGACGAAGATGACGAAGCGCCCGAAGCGATCCTTGTCACTGACGTAGCTGCAGCTTCACCGATTGCATTCAAGCAAAAACAAAGTGTCGACTGGATGGTCTCTTGACTGCCGATTGCGCTGTTGAAGATCCGTTCCAGAATGTCCAAGTATCTCAGCGGAGCATTTTCGAGCAACGCTTTTGTCAGGTTGGAGCTGGAAAAGCGTCTGCAGCCTGCTCTCTCTTTGCTCGCAGTGCTTACTACTTCTTGAATAAGCAGATTCGGGTGTGTCACTGCTAAGTGCACAAGCTCATCGACGTGGTTCTGCAACAGCTCATCCACCAGAGCCAGCATGGAAGTATACGAGCAATTGGTGTCAAAGTCTTCCACAGGCAATCCCTCCATCGTCCGGAAAACGTGCCAGTCTTTTGCGGGAAAGGCAGTCGCACGCAAGACGAGCACAAGTCGTGCAATTTTCACGCGGACGCTGTGGCTTGAAGACTCTCCCAATTGCTTGAGTGCAAATGCGATGTCTTTCAGCGTCCATTCCAATGACGAATCGACGATCAGGCGGGAAAGTTGCTCGGGAAAGTATTTGCCGTAGTGTGACAACACGATTCTCGTGAACTCGGCATTGGCGGCGTTAACGCCTTGCGCAGGTTGATACGAGCAAATATCGGCAAGAGACTTGGGAGGCGGATAGACGAATGCATCCAGATATTTTCCCGTAGCGTCAATGACCTCCGATCGATCCACTGTCCCGACAAGAGCCTGGAGACGGTGCATCACCTCGATGGAGGGGACGTTTGACGCAACAAATAGGAGAGCAGCCCGGTCTAAATTGCGATGATGCTCCGACAAGAAGATGGCCGCTAGGTCTGCCGCACATTCCTTAGCAAGACGGTCGTACAACTCTGTCTCAAGCTTGAGCGCCAGTCTCTCTTTCCGATCCGACATCGAAGCGACGACCTCCCGTCGAAACGGGTCATTGCTGATTGCAAGACGCAGCAAGTCAAAGCCCACATCAGCGCGATAACGGTACAGCGAAAACAAGCTTAACAGCAAGTCGATCTGGTACGGTCTCAAGGCGCCGCTTTCGACGGATAGCACGCCTTGACGCACATAGGAAAAGATCAACGATGGCGGACTCTGCTCGAAAATGACGATACTGCGTCGACACGGGTTTCCGTTGATGCCAAGAGGTGAGCGCAACTCAAACTCAGCTTCTGGAAGACGCTCGCCTGCGGCTAGACTTGCACGCTGCAAAATGCCGTTCGATCTCTGACTCTCGAACGAATTTCCGTGTGGGAGCAAGACGACGTACGAGTCAAGTGCAGCAAGCTGTGACACCGGGTACGGGATGGGTTGCGTGCACAACAGCTGGGGCTGTGAAGGCTGAGGTACGAGTGACCTGCTCAATGCGCGACTAGCTGCCACGTAGTGACATGGACTCCAAATGGACCATACTTGCAGTCCAGACAGCGTTGCGACAAAAAGAAAAGAGCTGTTGGCCGTGATGCTGGTGACAATCGACGTGAAGCTGTAGTGCATCACGACCCTTCCTGACTCCATCGAACCGTCTGCATCATCGTTGCCCTCGTCTCTATCTTCTCGCTCACTAGTGAACGAATCGCTTCTTTGCTTGACAGCTGCCTCTCCAACTTGAATTGGTTTGTGCATGCCCCTCGATTTCGATCGCTCGGTCAATCCTAGCACCTTCTTGGACATCTTTTTCCTCGTCAAGTCGACCTTTTCCGACAAAAAGTAGTAAATAAACGCGTTCTTCTCCGTGGCGACCAGCAAACGCGTGTAGCTCCTCGTCTCGACACACATGCGGTTATCGATAGTCTCAGGCAGGAACTTGAGTGACTGCACGCTGTGATTTGGAGGCAAGTAGCGTCGCAACAGCACGCGCACGTCGTTCTCGCTGATGTAGTACGACATGGCCTGGTTCGCACGGATATCCTGAGCTTTCACCAGACCTGCCAGATTCCACATCTCTTGCTGAGCTTCGTTGCGTCCGAGCACCATGGGGACCTGCTCGTGCTCGTCAAACATTCGCTGCTCGTTCTGTTCCTGCCTTGTATCTGCTTCCATTGTGCTATAGGCTGAGCCCGCGACGGGCACTTGCACGATCGCGTGCAAGTCGTCGAGACTTGCAATGTGCAGGCAATGCGCGGCATCTTCAGGCACTGTCTCTCGCTCGTTGTGCTTGCGACTGTAGTTCTCCAAGACCGTCGTGTTGTCTGCGACTGCGGCCGAGTCCAATGGAGGTGACTCCTTCGAGCTCCTCACGTGGATCTCCATCACCCGTACCTCGGTCTGCGAAGCATAGGCAACATAGACGCCGTGGATGGCCACGTACTCGAGTTGCATGAACGCATGCCGTTGGGCCATGTCCACTTTGAGCTCCATCACGTGCTCAAAGAAGTGATGGCTACATTGCCAGATGTTGAGGCGCGTCCCCATTGCAACAACAACGCGACCGGTAAAGCTACAGACGGCGACGCAATCGGCCTTTTGATTGGACGACGGCTTTTCGAGCACCCCCAGCGGCAACGTGTACGCCCGCACCATGTGGCGCTCCCGCCAGTCGTGGTACACACACAAAAATGTCTCAGCATCATCATCATCGTCATCATCGTCGTCGTCATCATCGTCGTCCGTGTTGGTCCCCGTGTCGCCAGCTGGTTTCCGCTCCCCTACCCGCGTGACGTCACTCTCGAGTGTCACTAAACTGTCCGAAAAGCTCGTGTAATGTAACGCGTAGACTCGACGGTGAATGGACGCAAACTCGTGAAGTAACGCGGAGCACGAGCCCGCGTACACGCGGATGACACCCTCGCGTCCAGTAGCGACCGCAAACGTGGTATCAGCGGTCGTGCGTGCGGCACTCGTGAGCGTCTGCGCGCTACCTGCGGCCACCGACTCGAGTGCCAGCGACCGCACAAACAGCGACTCCATGTGGCGGGATCAGATATCGACGGTCCGCGTCGGGGCCGGGATCAGACACTGCGGCTGCAGCAGCAAGTAACGCATCTGATTCGACGGTCCGAGCCGGCGTCCGGACTCAGATACAGCGACTGCCGCAGCAGTCCACGCATCTGACTCGGCGATCGGTTTGTAGCCGGTCTCCCCTTACCCCCACCCCTACCTCTCGGCCGTTATAATCAGAATCCTCTGGTGACCCCTTCCGCCCATTCCACGACCGCACGACGATGCCGATTCGATTCGCGTGCCGTCGTCGCGTCGTCGTAGCATACGTACTGGACGTTCGTGCCCGAATGCGGTTACGACCGCAGCTGTGGGCGGCGCGTGACTGAACGGCTGGCCACCTGTGCAACAGATGGGAGGTAGCCGCGAGGAAAGATCGATTCATTGGGTCGATCGATCTAGTACGGACTTTAACACCCGACACACGAGCACCAAAAGTAGCAGCTGCGCTGCGCTGCGGGCGGGCGCAATCCACTCCCGCAACCCGAACGTGGAGCGCTGTTGACGCAGTGTGGCGAGCAGACACACAAACGACCGACTTGCATCGATACCCACAGCGACGTATATGCTCATACCCATACCCATAAACATACTCAGATCGATCGATAGATAGATAGATAGATAGATAGATAGATAGATAGATAGATAGATAGATAGATAGATAGATAGATAGATAGATAGATAGATCGATAGGTGTTCGTGTATCGCTGTCCGGTTGTCGATCCACACACGTACACTCAGTAGTTATAAACTATGCCGACAGTGTGATCTTTTTTTCCACGCGGCCACGATCTGGTCAGCACAAGTCAACGTACGTCAGTCGGAGCGACCGTCCGCTCCCGCGACACAATCGCGCGAACCGTCGCGTGGCTTCCTTTGTAAAGGCGCTGGCGAGTCGGCGGAACTCGCTTCACGTGCCGAATCTCTCGCCGACCAGCAGCAGCAGCAGCAGAAAAGCAGGAGCTGTCACTTTCCCACTAGCGCTCTCGCGCCGTCTCTCGTGTCCCTCTTCCTCCGCCTCGTCCACCTCCTCCTCACTCAGACACACTCAGACACACACACACACACACACACAATTCCATAGACACACTCCCACACACACACACACATCCACATCCACACCACGACACACCCAGAGAGACACGCAGCAGCAGCAGTAGCTCTCATGGACCTCCCCACGACGGCTCAGCCGTTAGCGCTGATCAAAAAGACGCCGCTCGTGCCGTCGCTCACGTCCATGACCAAGTCGTTCTTGGCCAAGACGTTCCTGTCGCCCCACATGAAGCGATGGGGGGGCGGGCAGAGCAGTCCCACGGGCGTGGACAGCGACCTGCGCGGCCCGAGCATCGGGGCGGCCGACGGGCGGGGCGACATCTGCGAGATTGTGGTCGTCGCGATCCAAAAAGTCACGCTCTTGGCGTCGGACGGGACGCTGGACGCGCGCAGTCGCCTCAGTACGTCTGGCGCGCGTCGACGCCCCCCATCGTCGTCCGTCTGGGGCGCGCCGACGCAGCTGTCGACGCAGCTGCCGTCTCGTCTGATCTGTACCATTCGCAGCGGCGGGACGACCAAAGTCTCGGCCCAGTCGGAACGGACCGATGTTTGCGCGTTTGTCTTTGACGAGAAGTTTGTCTTTGAGCGACGGGAGCTCGACGCCCAGTACCACAACGTGACGATCGACGTCTCGAGCGCTCCGTCGGGCTTTAGCAAGAAACACAGCTGTCTCGGCCGCGTCCAGGTCGACCTCGACGCGGCGTTCGCAGCACAGGCCACGGGCCCCATCTATCGGCGCTGCGCGTTGACCGCGGCCGACGGCGCGGCAATGGACGTCGACATTCAGTTTGTCCTGCACCGCCTCGTCGTGCAAAACGCGACGGCGGCCGCTGCCTCCCGTGTGCTCACGAGATCGAGCGGAAGCCTCAATGATGACGACGATATGGACGCGTGCGGACAAATTTTCCCCGATCTGTGGTACCTCTGCTAGCGTCGCTTGCTGCAGGTTGGCCCAAGGGGAGTTGACGTCGAGCCATGTGGATGCTCGTGCGACTTGTAGCTGCGACTGTTAGCTGCGACTATCGCTACTGCCGCTACTCTGGCGGTCACGCCGTCGATTTTGGATTCGAACACGTCTGCTGTCTGCCGTCTTCTATTGTCAGCGACGCCATTCTCGAACGAGACTTTTGGCGTACGTTCGGATCGAAGTGTGTTGACGCTCTATTCGTCTTGACGACCAGAAGGAAGGACGAAGGCAGCAAAAAGGTCCCAGACGAGTGACTTTACATGCTGTGGCAACGTATGGGGCCGCACGGGGGGTACTACCACCGACCTGTCGATATAATATCAATTAACTCAGCTCCCGACGCTCGCTATAAATAAACAAGCGGTCTTTCGATATGCTCTCACACACACACGTCTGTTGTGTCTGTATACGCTCGAGCGTACCCCTCGTCCGTCTCAAGGTGTATACTCGACAATACCCCAGCGACAACCTGAGCCAGCCTCGCACAGCCAGAGCGTGCTTGCCGGGTGAGACACGCCTTCTGCCGCCCGTCCTATGCGACCTTCGTACCACCTCGGCCACGACATTCTTGCGCTTACTTTCCCTTGTCGCCCGCCTCTCCCGACTTCAGCACAATCGGACGCTCGACGTGAAACTGGTGTTGCGTGCACTGAATCTCCACTCCCTCAACCAGTCAGTCAGTCCGCGGCAGTCAGTAGTCGCTCGCTCGCTCTCTCTCTCGTACAACATTTCATCCGCTTGTTTTTCTCCCACCACCAGCAGTCCCTCTCAATGTCGAACGTCTTTGCAAACAAACACACACGAAGCGATCATACATTACCGCCGGCGATTATTACTTACGCTATGGTCGATCGGTGCAGCGCTTTTGGCTTTTGGTTCCGCTTTACCGGACACTTTCAGGTTGTCGCCGAGCGGCCGCTCCTCCTCCTCCCGCCATGACGAGTCCACGCAGCCCGCGCGGCCCACGCGAGCACAAAGCTGCGACTGCTGCCGACGTCGCTGCTGCTGCTGCTGCGGCTGCCGACGAGTCGTTCTCGTCCACGTCGACGATGGACTCGGACTACGAGATCCCCGTCGCGCTCCAGCGACTGCACGTGTGGACGAACGAGCGCGTGTCGGCCAAAGTGTCGCAGGCGCTCTACACGATGAACACGATCCGCGAGAGTGAGTCCCTGCGCTCGAGTATGGTCACGGCGTCCAAGTGGAAGAAACGGGGGTACCACCCGTACAAACCGGACGCGTCGGGCTACACGGCGCTGCACCGAGCGGCCAAGCGCGGAGACGACGCCGTCGTTGCGTCTCTGCTCGCCATGTACGACGGCCAAGCGCTGGTCCTGGCGTCCATGAAGTCGCACAAGCAGCAGCAGATTGCACTGCACATTGCGGCCAAGTACGGGAACCTCACCGCCGTGCAGCAACTCACGGCGCCGGCCTTTCGATCGCTTGTGAACCTGCCCGACCGCAATGGAAACACGCCGCTGCACTTTGCCGCCACGTGCTCGGCAAGTGCAGCTGCAAGCGTCGTGGCGCTGCTGCTCATGCGAGGGGCCGACCCGACGATCAAGAGCAAGCGAGACGTGTTCCCGATCATTGCTCATGTGCTCACGGCCCAAGACGGCGACAACCCAGAGATCGTGCGCTTGCTCATGAAACACGGGAGCGATCCGAATACAATTGACGCGGCGGGCAACACGGTGCTGCATATTGCCGTGTCACAGGGTATGTGGAAAGTGGCTGCCGTACTTGTGCGAGAGCACGCCGGCATGACGATCCGCAACAACAAAGGGGTGATGGTGCTGGACATTCTGTCGCCGCCACAGCTGGCGTGGTTGGCCAAGTTCATTGTGCACCCGCCCGAGTGGGTACCGTATGCAACACAGCGCTCGTGTATGGTGTGTTCACGCAAGTTTGGGCTGCTTGTTCGACGTCACCACTGCCGATTGTGTGGCCGCATTTGCTGTGGTCCGTGTTCCAAGTACAAACGTCATCTCCCGTTTGCAGACACGTCGGCCAAGCAGACAAAGATCCGACGACATGACTTGATGAAAGTTTGTAGTACGTGCATCACCGTGCGTGACGCTGCGCACGATGACTTGTCGTGGGCAAGCACGACAGCAGATCGGTTGATCGCGAGCGACGACGTGATGATGAATTGTAATGATTATTAGTCTGTGGCGACATATGAAAGTCGGATGTGTTTGAATGAAGACGACGAACGACGATGTGGAGCTGGCGACAAGAACGGATCGAACGTGCACTCGTAGTCACTTTGGCACCGCCATGCAACTCGTGACGAGCCCCATCTACTTCGTCTGTAGCATTGGCTGTATTTTTTACCGAGTTCAAGGGCCCCTCCTGGTTTCTTCACATCGGACAGGTCGCACTCAATGCAAGTAACAAGTTTTGTACCGCCTCAAATTCGCGTTACGTAACTCGCAATGATTGAGCGGTTTAGTAGAGACGATAATGGGGCGACGTTTGGGTATTGTATGACTCTCCGCCCACTCTCAACGTCTCTGTCGCCTTCTCGTGAACTGTCGAATTATCCAGGAGAAGGAATATCTATGACGATAGGTACTATTTGTAAGAAGGAGATGTTCTGGACACAACGATGAACTGCATTGCGATGGTCCTATCACGAGGTCATGTTTCAGTTTATCGTGTCGAGGGACGAAATATATCTTGTGTTCGGGCAAATAACTGATCCTCGTCAACACAAATGGTGTTGAATGGATATTTTTCGTATCGCGCAGCTGAGTTTGACCAGAATTAAAAAGGTGCCTTTATGCAGCGATGGGCTGCATAGAGGCACCTTTTTCGCGCATGAATCCCGAGGTATCCTCCCAGTTGGTCCTTCAGCCCTGGAAACGTAATCCGAGTGTGCTTTGTGACGTAGAGCATAAACGTAGCGTGCAGGTCGGACTTGAGTCCTACAAAATTCAGCGCTTTTGATGCAGCCTACAAGTCCCGACACTTGAGCTTGTTTATAGTCACGTCCACCCCCTCGCTGCGACGTCATCATTTAAATGCTCCTGTTGTCGATCTCAAACCCACTCATGCAGGACATTGCTTCCAAGGCATACGCCGTCGTGGTTACGTCTGGCTGAGTACACCCACTCCACATCATCGATGGCCGCTAGGGCGCAATGACCTTAGAGCAGCAATCGAATACAGCTCTTGGTTTCGGCTACGTCTACAGTGAACGTCGACGAATCTAGAGAACGCCCATCTTGCCACCGAACCCATGCCGACACTGTTACGAGGTCGACCTGGTGATCGCTTGCTGAAGCGGAGGACGCGTCAGCGCATTGCATACTGTATACTTTGTCCGTACGGAGCAGTATCACTGAGATATCCCATTTATGCTTTGCGGAAAAGCAACAGAATAATGAGTCAGTGATGCCATATCCCCATGCTCAACCAGGTTCACGGCGTGCGGACCTCCATCATTGCAGTTATCCTATACAAGTAGCGATTGCTCCCGGGAGCACATCGATCGCCACCTTCCGATTACTTCGAAGTAACGTCCAGTATGTTTTCCCCTTGTCCTCCTCAATCATGTCACTGGCAGTCGATCGCTCGCTCACAACTCTTCGCAGCGCTTCATAAAACCTCTGTCGATAGTTAGCGTGCGTCGGCAGCGGCCGTTCGGTCGTGCTCTCAAGTCACGGTGACTAGTGGGATTGACGCCCTCAGCCAAGCAGCCGGGATGCTTGACCTGTCAGACGGTCTGCTGAGTGAGACGACTCACGGCGTGCACGGGTCCGTAGAGTGGATAGCGACGCGGAAGCGCTTTCAATGCCTTCAAGGCCTTTCTGCACAGCTGCTCCAGCACGCTCGTCTCGGTACAAATGAACCGGGAAAGGGACACCACACCTCACGGTGATGAGCATGCCGTGATCAGACGATCGAGTCGTCCACCACAGCAACAATGCTATCGTATGTATGCGTGGCATTGGGCAGTATTGGCGACAGGGGCTTCTCATTGCAGCGTCAATAACTTTTTCGATTGTGCTCGCAGGATCCGTGCAACAGGACCAGGTCGCTGGCTGGCCCAGGCTTAGATGACCTCAAGCGTCGAGACAGCAGCATACTACAACCTCTTGGACACCAGATTCGGACTACAGCCGCATCAATCATGCCTGTTTGCTCTGGTCGCAGTTAATCGACAGACGAGCGTGTGCGAACTGGATTAGGATCAAGAGCCAGTTGGCGCTCCGGAGAGGTCATGGAAGGTGGATCTATCCACTTTGATTACTGGCGGGGCTCGATTTAGGCCGAAGCCAATGGAAGGCGTGACACATCTAGGCTTGGCTTTGGCGTAAACAAAGTCTCGTCAGTAATCACAGTGTAAGCTCATTAGTTAGCAGAAGGTGGTGCCACCTGTCGAACTATTGCGTGCTGCAACCTGTGCTTCAGGTTCATTTCGCAAAGCTAACACGTTAGCATGTGTGCTGCTTCCCTTACAAAAGTAGACGTCCTGGCAACAAAGAGAGCGCTTTTCCATGGCGGACATTGGGGTATACGATACTCTCGTAGACTGGATCGACGAGGAATGTACCCGTCAACCATCACGTCGCTCGAAGCAAGGTCAGCGCAACATTGACATGCGGTGAAAGGCTACGATGGGGCACCACGGCTCTACTTCTCGATTGCATTGCGCTGCCAATTTCGTGCTTAATGGTTTGGGCTGTGATGGCACGGCTCGACTACGCATTGAACGTTTTCGTGCCCATGTTTTCAATTGTTGCAGGGCAACAGTCAGGTGTGTGTTCGTCATTGTGTATACAGCCTATTGCCACGCATCAACAGGCGAGCATTCGAGCGGAAGTATAGTGATGCGCGTGTATCCTGTCCGTGTTTTCGATTCCTTACTACGCGCGATGACACAAGAGACCGCTACACAAAGTTGTCTCGAACAGATCGTCATTCTCACTGTCGTCTTCATCTTGTGTATGTACGGACATGCTATCGAGGACGAGGCTGGGGAGGGTGTCCAGCACTCTGCTAATGAGTGTACAAGCGCATCTACTGCAAGGGAAGCCGTGTACGACTTTTCTCGCAACAATGCGTCAGCAATCGCTTTTTTTCGCGTACGACGCGAGTTACGCGGCCGATGAATCGTCTGACCCCCTCGACTGTCGAACCACCGGCTCGTGATACACGACCAGCAGCTACCTGCTCCTACCTACTCTCTCTCTCTTGAATACATCGCCGGAGAGCGGATATAGTGGGCCGCACGCGTACCCGAATATACCTTAAACTACTACTGTACTACTACTACTGCTACTGTACTACTACAACTACTGTACTATTGTACAACTACTACTTCGACTACTTCGACTGCCGTACAAGGGGAGTTTCCTCGAAAACAGTCGCTCGCTACATCACATGACGATCGAGAAATCGGTTTTCACCGTCTGCCCCGACTCGGCAGGTCGGATGCCAGCGCTGAAGAACGGTAAATGCGACACGAGATGTAAGATCATCCTCATCGGACCGTGTATGCACGGAATCAACAGGGGATCGCGAGAAAGTAGGGGAAGCTTTGGCTTGGCGATACCTCTGCCTCTAGCTCGTGGTCGATAAGGGGCACCGGCGTATCCTACACGATCAGGATAGGATAGGATAGGATAGGACAGGATCGCGACTGCCTCTCTCCAACTGGCTCGCCAAGCTTTTCACAAACATACGGTTTCTAGCAGCATCGCACCCATCCCGCTGCATGCCCCGCTCATTCTCAAACTCGCCGTCATGCCGCCACATCTACAGCGCGTGCTCCGAATTGCATGCGTTGTGCTGTTCGGTTTGGACCTCGCGCTCTTTGTGCACGCGCTCTTTTCGTTCAATGACGTTCAACGAGGCGATTTCAGGCTCGATCCCGACGTGGGTAAGTCCACTGTCGAACTCGGGCGAGCACGTGGCTACGTCGTGGAGACGCACAATGTCACGACAGCCGATGGGTACGTTCTCATTATGCACCGCTTGCCACAGTCGTACGACGAGAGCCAAGCGAGCATGGACGTGGTCAATAGCAGTACCCTGCTGGACGACAAGGCAGGACGCCAGTCGACGAAACCCGTGGTCCTGGTCCAGCATGGAATGGTTGCCAGTAGTTTCTCCTGGGTGTGCGACTCGCGGAACCACAGTCTCGCCTACGTGCTTGCAGACGCTGGCTACGACGTCTGGCTCGGCAACAATCGTGGCAACCGGTACTCGAATGGCCACATGGAGTTCACGACCGAAGACAGCGCGTTCTGGGACTTTTCCTGGGAAGACATGGGCAAGTTTGACATGCCTGCTATGATTGACTATGCTCTTGCAACGTCGCAACAGGAGACCCTGTCTTTCGTCGGGTACTCGCAAGGGGCACTTCAGGCATTCGTAGCTTTTGCCGAGAACCAGACGCTCGCTCGGTCCGTGTCCTACTTTGCGGCGCTCGGACCTGTTGCCTACATGGGCCATATCGAGTCGGAGGAGTTTCAGCTCCTTGCTCGTACCTACGCAGACAAGTTCCTCGGGGTCTCTGGTCAAGACGAATTCTTTTCGGGTAGCACGTTGCTGCAAAATGTCATTGCACCTACTGCCTGCAACATGGATCCTCAATTGTGCGCCTCGGGGTTCGCAATTTTGGCCAAATCCACCGAGAACTTGAACTCGTCGCGCATCGGCGTTTATCTCTCGGACGTGCCTTCGGGCACCTCTGTCAAGAGTTTCCGCCACTACGCACAACTCGTCCGCGCAAACACTTTCGCTGCGTTCGACTATGGCTGCAGCTGTCCCAGTGTGCTTGGGGTCAAGCTGTGTCCTGAGAGATTGTGTCCCAACAAAGTCAAGTACGGCAGCATTGATCCACCAGCCTTCCACCTCAGCAGCATGAGGTACCCTCGCATCGGACTCTTCACTGGCGGCAACGACATCTTTGCCACTTCAGCTGACATCGATCAGTTACGAGAAGCGCTGCCGTCTGGCACCATTGTCTACGACGAGGAGGTCAGCAGCTTTGGTCATCTGGACTTTACCTGGGCCATTCAAGCCAACGAGGAGCTCTATCAGCCCATGATCGAGCAGCTCAATCAGTACGCCGACACCGGATACAAACATAGAAAAGAGAACGAGGAACGCTAGCAACGCCGTGTGGAAGAGGAATGAACCGGACCATTGGTCTTATGGGTAAATAAGCTTCGGGCGCGCGGGGCAAATCACACTAATGAATGTGCTTAGACAAGCAAGTCATCGTACCCCACTGTTTTAGCCAGCTCCATCACTTTCGGGACGTCGTGTTTGCGGTTGAAGTGTGTCAGCACTGAAGTCAAATCTCGATACATTGCCACCTCAAAGCGCGGAGTCTTGGGCGGTACTCCCTGGTGTAACAACACGAATGTCCGCATAAACTCCGACATCTCGCCATCCGTGTCACAACGCATCAGTAGCGCGTGCAACTGCTCAGACGAGAGCTGGTAGCCTTCACATTCCATGTTGTACGCGATATGCAAAGTGCGCTCGATCAAGCCAATCTTAGTACCGAGGTCAACCAGCGAGACGTACAACCCTTCAGGAATCGCCACATCGTCTACAATGAGCTCACGGAAGAGCGAGAAGCACATATCGATGCCACAAGACCCGTACAATGCGCTGAGGACGTAGTCAAAGAACATCCTATCTGCGGCAACACCTTGACTAGCCATGGTTCGTAAGACATCTACCACAGCCCTCAAGTCACCACATGACGCATGAACAAACGCGACCGTCGTGAATGCCTTCACGTCCTGAACAATGTCATGCTCTTTCATTGCACCAATGAGTGCAGCAGCATTGCCTGTTGCACGACGGCGCATGCAGATAGACAGTAGCGACGTGAACACCTGAAGATTTGGCGTTAGTTTCCACTCGAGGAAAACGTCCATGAGATCAAACACTTCCTCGATCGGCGCGTTGCGGTGGCTTTCCACCATCTCGAGCATCGTAATATGGTCAGGTACTATCGACGGGTTGCTCAGCATTTGCGAGAAAAGCTCCTTGGCCTGGTCTGGTCGACTCGTAGCAGCAAAACAACCAAGCGCATCGTTATAGTTTTCGATCTCCAGCATCCAGCCACCTGCGAGTTTCTGTTCTGTCCAGGCGACCCCGTCCAAGACTTCTTCAAGGAACATCGGATCCAAATGCTTGTGACAATAACGAATCGCTGACCCAAATCCAGCGCTACGGGCCACGCCTCGGGCTACCATTCCGCGAAACGCGTTGCGGAGCGTGGAAAAATCACCAATGGCCATACATGCTTTCAACACGTTCACGTATATGTTTTCATCAGCTGGGAGCACTTCATCCACAATGCAAACTCTCTCTGCGACTTCGTCAATCGTGTTGTCCACCATCAAGTCATCCCCACTACGACTCAGTCTCTCGCGTGTGCTTTCCATCACTTCATAGCAATGCAACGCCAGCGAGTATTCCTCCAACTTCACACAGCAGCCAATCGCGGCTCCAAACCCTCGCTCCAGCACCAGTTTCCTCACTTTCTCCACCTCGCCTGCAGCTGCACGGCAACTTCCCTCGACATACGCCAGAAACACGTGCACCGTCCTTCTCGGACTCTGCTGCGTGTACACACATGCTTTAAACAGCTCGAGGAACCCCTGCTGCTGGAAATCCCGCACGGGGTCAAACGTCGCATGGGCGAAATACGCACGCGCAAGTGCCAGCACTTGGCTGTGCTTTTTCTTGTGCATCATCTTGCCCAATAAATTGCCAACCACCGACGGTGGCATCAGTGCTTCAGTGTCCAAGCTCTCGCTCGTGCCGTCCGAGCGAATCGCAGGCCACAGCGTCTGCTGGTACAGCAGCAGCTCGTGCGCAGCTGCAAACATTTTGATATTGGCACAGCCATTCACGACGTTCACGAGCACGTGCGCGACAAACGGCGGTCCGTATCGGCGCTCCAATTGGCTCAGCAGCTCCTGCATCTCATCCGTGCGAAACCCACGGACGGACCGCTGCCGCACGACAGTAAAAAACAAATCTGTCCACATGGGTACACTTGCGTTCTCGCGACTGAAACTCGCGACCAGTCCCAAGAGCTCTGCGGCCCCGCGTTCATCGTGTGCTTCGAGACGCCGCTGCAGCGCCACGTTCCACGTGCGCCCGTCGATCGTCGCCACGAGCGCTGTCTCCTCCATGGCCCGCAACGTGCGGCAAGTGGCTACAAACGTCGACGACGTCGTGTGATTGGACAATAACACGTTCCGATTGTTTAAAACGCGTGCGAGTGGCGCGTGGGGGACGACGGGCGACCGCACGCGCGACGGCGTGGCGCGGAGCGAGCGCCCGCGTTGGTGCGGACGAGTGCAGTCGATTGCGCGATCAGCCGATGCAGCAGCGCAGAAACACCGCAGCGGGGACTGCCATACGTCTGCTCGGCGCCACACGCGCCGCAGCATCCCGAGCAGGGTGGAGTGCTGTTTAAAACAACGACGTGGGTGTTTGAAACAACGGGACGGGTGGTTGTTTGGGGTGTGGTCGACACCATCGTCCGATTTTTGTCCCTGGGGCTCATTTGTACTGTGTGTCCACCACACCAAAACGCACTCGTCACTGCCGTCATGACGGCGTTTCGCACGAGGTAACGACAAGTGACGTCTCTCTCTCTGACGGACGCTCTGCTGCGCTCTGCTGCGCTCTCGTTGTGCCGCTAACTGCCTCTGTCTTTTGCTGTGCCTCTCGTGTGCTTTTTCAGCAAGTTTCGTCACGTAGAGAGCACGCGAGTCGCCCCCGCGTCCCGTACTCTGACCCACTTGCCCGTGTTTGTACCAAGTGCCAGTGCTGCAGGTCCCGCTCTTGCCGCCACATCGGCCCACTTTGCATTCGTCCGCCAATCAGTAGCTGCCAATGGCGGCTCTGTCCAAGTTGAAGCTCTGAGCGCGACAAGTGCTGCGGGAAACGGCAGTCACGCGTTTGTCGAAACGACAGCGACGCAGTCGCTCGTTGTGCGTGCACATGCGACGGGAAGCGTAACGGCTCTGGCGTTCTCGTGGTTCCATGAAGACCTTTTGCTGTCTGCTGGAGACACTGCGACGACCGTGAAGCTCTGGCAAGTGCCGCCGTTGTGTGCGGCAGAAAAGAAGACGGAGGAGCTTGTGACGCCTGTGGCGGTCTTTCCGCATGAAACAGCGGGCACTGTAATGGGTATTGCAATGCACCCGACGGCTGAATCGGTTGTAGCTACGTACTCAAAGCGAGGGGTCCTGCGACTGTATGACTTGCACGCCGAGACGATGAGCTTGGAGAGAGAAGTGAGTCAAGGTGTTTCGTTGACGTCCGTCGACTGGACTTGGGACGGTCATGCTGTGGTAGCGGCGACGCAGGATCAAGCTGTGAGAATCGTAGACCCGCGAGAGCACCTATCGTCGACGGTCGAGGTGCCAAAGGCGCATTCGGGCACACGACCTGTGAGTGTGCTTTGGTGTGGACGGACGCAGCATTTTGTCACGTGTGGGAGCAGTGCGATGATGCACGAGCGAGAGTTCAAGCTGTGGGACTCTCGACACATGGCCAAGTGTGTGCATCGAGAAAGAGTGGATGCAGGAGGCAGCGGTCAATTGTTTCCGTTCTACGATCCTGACGTCGATCTTTTGTTTGTGCTCGGCAAGGGAAGCTGTAGTGCTAAGCTGTTCGAGGTGGACGTGGCGCGCGCCCCCTATGTGCATGCACGAGATTGCAGCACATCGAGCAACTCGACAGTCGCAGCGACGCTTTTGCCAAAGTCAGTATGTGCAACGAATGTGTGTGAAGTTGCGCGCGTGCTGAATCTCAGTGCGAGCGGAAAGAGCGGTGGTGCGAGCTGCGAAGTTATAAGCTACCGAGTTCCTCGCAAAGAGGCGACGCGTACGTTTCAAAGTGACCTGTACCCGGACACATTGTCAAAAGAAGCTGCGATAACGTCTGAGGAGTGGCTGAGAGGACGGAACGCTGAGCCCAAGTTGCAGGCTGTGACACCGAGTGTAAAGAGTGTCGAGGACGTGGGAGGCAGTGTGTTTGGACTACCAACAGCAAGTGTGCCAAGTTGGGGGGCGTCATCAAGTAGTGCCGGGACCACAAGTGGTGGCTGGCAAAGTTCGGGTTGGGGTCAGGCGTTATCTTCATCGGCCTCGTCGAGTACACCATCAAAGCTTGCGTCTGATGCCAAGACAGGCTGGACGTCAAAGACGAGAAAGTGGAACGAGCCAGAGCGCGAGACTCAGACTGGCGCTCTTCCACCAACACAATGGAGCGCTCGTGCTGCTTCCAGTGCTACTACTACGTCAACAGATTCTGCGGCTGCGCGAGGCATATCCGATACTGCACCCACCACTTCGCATTTTGCCGTGTCGGACGCATCTGAAGGACTAATGACGAAGTCCGAAGGATCCTCATCCACGGCTTTTGCAGCTACGCAGCCCGATGCGTTGCCGATAGACGAAGGTCCGACGACAATTGAAGATCCAGTCGAGCTATCCGACAAGGCGCGACGTCTGGGTGCCAAATATGGGCACAAGCTGAAGTACGTGCAAGGCAAGGAAGCACCACGCAACGACGTGTTTCACTTTGGTGACAAGCGCGCTGCGTTTTCCACGCAAGCGTCACCTGCGATTGCTGCAAACGCGACGTACTGGGCAGCGCCCATTGCTGGTGCAGGAGGGCCTGTACTGATAGAAAAGCTTGGTTCGACCGGGAAGGCACAACATGACGCTGTGTCCGTGCTCAACGGACAGAAGGGTATGGTGGCGGCACTGGCATTTGATCCTTTCAACGACAACGTGCTTGCGACCGGGTCAGTTGACTCGACGATTCAGGTTTGGACTCTTCCGCAAACTCGAACGGACGCACTTGACGCGCCGAGCGACCCCTCGCTGACGCTATCAGGGCACACAAAGGGCGTGCGAGCACTTGAGTTCAACCCGACAGCGGCAGACGTCTTGTGCTCAACAAGCCACGATCTCTCGTTGCGATTTTGGGATGTGGAGACAGGACAGGAGAAATTGTGTCTGGAACGCAAGCTGGACGACATTGCGTGGAACATGGCATTCAGCAGCGATGGTGCTCTGCTCGCCACAGCAAGCCGTGCTAAGATTGTGCGTGTATTTGACCCTCGCCTGTCTGGCCGTGCGCTAGTTACCATCGGTTGTGGCCACGAGAGCAACAAGCCGCAGTTTGTGACGTGGGTAGACCTTACGCGTCTGCTGACGGTTGGCGTGAACGAACGTAGCGAGACGCAGGTCAGTTTCTGGGATCCACGCAATCTAGTGGAGCCCCTGGGCATGCCGACGTTAGTTGGGCCGGCGGCTAGTGCGGCTAGCATCACGACCCCTCTTCCGCTGTACGATGCTAGTTCGCGCTTGCTGTTTCTCGTGGGCACAGGAGGTCGTCACATCTGGAGTTACGAAGTCGACCCTGTTGCTGCAACAGTGCAACCTAACATGCCGTTCGTGATGACCGGTACAGATACCATTGGCGGTGTCGCACTTCTTCCGAAACGGATGTGCAACGTCCGCGACGTCGAGCTAGCGCGATTGCTTGTAGCAACACCCAACATCGTGGAACAAGTGTCGTTCTTTCTTCCTCGAGCCCAGAAGCTGAAGGACTTTTTCCAAGACGATGTCTTTGGTTTGGTTCCTACGCAGAAGCCATCACTGACTGCCGCACAATGGTTCGCGGGCGAGGCCGGAGCTCCTTTGTACGAGTCCTTACAGCCTGCTGGTACGTTGCAAGCGCCAACAAAATGGGCACGACTGCTGGTGTCGAGTTTGCTGATCTTGTTCCTTGTGCATACCAGGCATGGCGCTGCTTTCGGAAAAGCAAAAGAACGTTGTGCCGTCGCGTCCGAAGACTTTGGATTTCCAGGCCCGCAGGCGAGAGGAGGAGGAGAAAAAGCGTCAAATGACCGACCAGTTTGCTCGGCTCAGCGTGAGTAGCCGACTTGCCGTACCCATCGTTCGGCGATACCTCGGACCTGACATGGCGTGTTGTTGTCCATCATGTAGACTCTTGCCACGCAGCCGTCGTTGCATTTTGGTCATCATACAAGGGTCGATCCGCCTGCACCTCACACTGTAGAGGACGACAGCGACGACGACTGGGACTGAAAACGCGATGGAGCGAAGCGACGCTGTGAAAAACCATGCCGCGATGGACCCATTTTGACAATCCACAGGTCCGACAATTCTAACTATACTTTACAGCTCTAGTCGCACACACGTTTCCATATCAACGGTCTGTTGATGCTTCTCCGCCCAATACATAGGTGGGAGCGCAGTAAACACTTGCCGAGGCAGGGACTCTGTCTCCACTTTGGTCTAGCAAAAGAATCGCCCGATTCAGCTGGACCCACAGATACTCCCACGAAAGCAAGTCGCGTGCTACCGTACAAAACGCTCTTGAAGTCGCCGGCACACTCGCGTAAAGTACTTCGGTTCTTGCCTTGTCACCAGCTCGATTTCCCTTGTTACAGCATCGCACGAGACCTGTCGGGCGTACACGAGGCAATAGACAAAAAGCAGCACAGTTTATACCACCAGGTACGACAAGGGAAGCACAACTGCAGTATGGTGAACATACCTGTCCATGCAGGACCTGCACAGCCGTTTGGTAGTCGGTATACGGGAACACCGGAAGAAGAGAGAACCCGACGCTAAACTTGGCACCCTCACTATCCATGTGAGAAGCCACGGATGGGAACTTGAAAAAATCGACCCAAAGAGTGCTACCCTCTTCGTCATAATGCATGGCGAAGCAGGTCGACAGTTCTCGCAATTCCTTCAACAACCGGTACGAGCGGTTGATGAAATGTTCCAGGACCTGCAGCTTTGCCAGCGTGTATCCGTAATTTCTATCGCCTAGATCAGATTCGTCTGCGATTCGGGAAATGTAGTGAGGATCCAGCAGCAGCCGCTGCAGCACCAACACTACATCACTTTCGTAGGGAAGGTACGCGTTTTGCTCTTTGTGCTTGAGAAACTCGTTCGTCTCGATCGAAGTGGATGCCTCACCCATTGGAGAAGACCCCACACGGACATCTACACAAACTTCTACATCGAACAACACGTCTTCGTACCGAGCGCTCAAAACAAGATGCAACGTTGTCGCCTCGCAAATCTTCCACACACACATGCTCTCCTGAATCGCAAGCATTTCCTCCGTCGTCAGCACATCCTCCTCCAGCTGCGATGCTGCCGCTAGAGTTACGGGCTCGAGTTCTGCAGCCCGTCCTTCAAGGACTTTCAAGCGACTTTGTAGCACTGACTCCTCTAGTGACAGTGACAAGTGTTCCTTTTCCAGATCGCTCACAGCAGCCACGTATTCCGCATGGGCGCCCTGTTGTTCTTCAATGGCATCCAAGAGAAGAGCCATCTGTTCTTCGCGATCAATCATCTCTTTCATAGCGGTAAGTTCATTCTGACGTCTCAATGCGTCAGAGGACACACTGTCTTTCAGCGACTTTACGTCATTTGCCAATGAGTTTGCACTGACAGACAAGCCATCGGCAAGCTGTTTTTCCACTTGTGCCTGCAGCTGACACCAACCAGTTCGAGCCACCATTGCTTCCGTTGCATACAATGTCTGGATAGCTTCCCGGCCTGCGTCGTCAAGGATCTCGGGACTAAACACTGCCGGAGCCTTGAAGTCAAGCAATGATGACAGCTCTTCAGCCACAGCGACCGACCACGACGACACATCTCGAATATGGCTCTCGACCACGTCCGAGCATGTATCGTACGCGCATGCAAGCTTCGCATTCTCTGAGACCCGGTCGTTATACAATGCACCTTCCTCTCCAAAGAAATCATTGCTTGTCTCCACGAATGCGTCCTCTTCGTTCAGAGCAACGGACGAAAAGAGCTCTTTCATTGTGATCAAGCGCACAGGAAGTACTTCGGGCGGCACTATGTGCTGGGAGTTTGTGCCACCGTCGGTGCTAACTCGGTCAAACTTCGCCTTCAAATTAACTTGGAGAGATTTCGCAGTGGCAGGATACTCCTCGTCACTCTCGTCGGAATCAAGGCTCATCATACTTTGGCCTTGAGAAGACGTCACGGTTTCGTCCTTTTCTTGGATCGGGTCCAAATCCGTGTCCTGATCGTTCAAACTGAGTATGAGACCGCCAGCCTGGTCGTTCTGACTGCAGGCCGCAGGCTCGTTGGCCAAGTCGCCCAGCGATCCAGGAAGATCGGGCTCTGGCACCGATTTTGTTAGCTCGTACATGGAAGCTTCGGCAAGGAGGTGGCCTAAACTAAACTCGGCCGTATCTTCGTCGCGAACATGACCCGCCGATGTTGTCGATTGCTTTTCTTTCACATCGCTCTCGCGTCCCAGCATGAAAGAGTACTCGCCCGTGATCTCCATGTCTTCTCCGGCATCCGAAGATGCTGATGAGTCCACGTATGGCATGCGGCCTGTATTGGTCACATCGTTCGCGCTCAAGAACGAATTGTTTCTCGTCGAAGATGAAGAGTCAACACCTCGATTTTCGGTCGCAGTGAACGACGTTGGTGCAGCAGATTCCGGATCTGAGGTTCGACGGGTGACATTGATGGTTTGCCGTCTACGTCGCCGAACTTCAGCATGAGAATCGAGGGGACTGTAGCCACGCAAACTTTGCCGACGGCGACTTTTGTCCATCATTTTTTGCGTCAGAAAACTACTTCTTCGGGATTGCAGTAGATCAAACCCTGACTTCTTGACCACTGCGGTCACGTACGCACTTTCTTTCCGAGGCTCGGCCTCGTCGAGTGAGTCAGCCTCATCAAGAATAGACGAGTTCAAGGACGTTTCCGCGTCATCAGGCTCTTCGTCTGACGACACCCGTGGCTCCAACGGAAAAAGACGCGAAGCGTCCTTCGCCAGCATGGGAGTCATTGACGTAGATGGCGAGCCGTAATTGAACTCGGCGCCTTGCGAGGGGCCGAAATTGACAGACTTGTTCGGTGTTGTTTGTACAGGGTCGCGAGCAGTCCGCCGTACCTTACGTGCGCTCAGAATTCCTTTCAGAGGAGTCCTGGTCCGGGGTTCACCTGGAGGAGGTGAAAACATCGACAGCTCCGAGATTTGAGATGGAGGAAACTTAGCTGGTGAGCTGTGGTCGCCGATACTCGTTCTTTGATGGTCCGTCGTCGCGGCACTTGCCCGAGCTCTCATATACGAAGACGAGTCTATGTCCATGGACTCCATAGTCGGATCGTCGTCAGCATACGAAAAATGTGCTTGGCGACTCTCTACGCTGGCATTTTCGTCGCTAGCGCGCTTTCGAGATAATTCTTCCGCTCGCGTGGCCGTGTGTTCATTTCCAAGTGGACGAGACTCAAGCGTATGCGTCAACTCCAGCAAACCATGCTCGTCAATCGTTTGTCGACGACCATCCTTTTGCCCCAGCTGGACGTTCTCCTCCAGCACCACCAATGCCTCGCTTGGGTCAACAGTTGTCCGTCGCTCCGAGTTATTCTGCGCTAGTACAAGCGCTTCCATATCGTTGGCCTTTTCTGCTAGAGACGGCGACATTCTACTCTTTACCGCTTCCACGGGCGATAGCGACGTTCTGCACGCAGACCCGTTCAATATACTTGGCGGGTTCCTTCTTCGAATTTCCGTCGATACTGCAATCAACTCGCTGTTCTCTCTTGATCGCGTCAATGATCCTGTGCTTTCATGAACCATCGGTTCCGACACAACCAACTTCCGCGTGTGGGGCTCGTTGGCCAGTAGCAATTGCGTCTCTGGCTCCACTTCAGCTTTCACCACCAGAGCCCCAGCACTCATACTCGCTGCCTCTTTTTGCAGAGCTGCGACCACTAGTGCAGCTTCCGTCGGGTCCAGCGTCGTTCTCCTCGCACCTGTCTCCTCCCGATCGAGCAAAGTCGACGACACCATCAAGTCCCCAGTCAGTCCCTCCATCCAGGAGCTCTCGTTGCCTCGATCGACCTCTTCAGCACGCGACAGCCTCTCGGACGTCATAAATTGTCGATCTGACCCGCACCACGTCGTCCCCGACCTCTGCACCACGTCCACGATCGTTCCTCTCTCTCCACTGTCCTTGTCCTCTTCCTCTCTCTCCTCCTCCTCCTTCTCCTCTCCCTCCCTCTCCTTCTGCAGCAGCTCCACGTCTTTTAGTACCGTCGCAAGCGCCTTCGGGCTCACCGTATCCCTTCTCGTCTCCCGACCATTCAGTTCCGACTCTGTACGCAGTAGCAGCGCCGCGCGCGTCGGCGACAGCGTCCGTCGTCTTGCGCCGTCGTCTGACTGCGTCTCCAGTCGCTCGTTCGCCACGTCGGCCGCGCGCTCTCCCGTCTCGTGCGACACGTCCACTGCTGCGTGCAGCCAGCTCTCGTCTTGTCCAGAGCCCATCAACTCCTCTCGTGATTGGACGAGCGCCACCGCTGCCGCGCGCGGCGAAGTGGCTACAGCGTCCGCGTCGCTGTCGCTCATTTCGTTGGGCTTTGGCGGGTGCGGGTCGGGGGCACGTTGTGTACCGCCCGTGCCCGTCGCAGAGTGACGAGTGGGCGGTGTCTTGGTTTTGTGACTCGAGTCACTTCTGGCGAGGGGATACGCTCGCGGGGGGTACACGGACCGATCTTCCGTGCGTAAATGGTGTGTAATGTGTGTGTGTGGACCACATAGTGTACCCATCGACCTGGCGCACTCACTGGCTGTGCGTAGCTCGTCACACTCGCATCGACGCTCGACCCGCCGGCAGCGTATCGGGAACATGACGGCCACGAGCGACACAATGCACGCGCGCAAAGGGAAGAAAGCTGCGCGAAAGAGTAGGAAAGACGCAGCCGAGAAGAACGAGCCGGTGGAGGCGCCAGTGACCGATCATGTGACCAAGAAGAAGGACAAGAAGAAGGACAAGAAGAAGGACAAGAAGCGCACGCGGGAGGAGACTGAGATGCGTGCAGAAAGCTCAGTACCACCTGCGAAACAGCACAAGAAACAGCACAAGAAGGAGAAGGACGCGGCCGCGCGCACGACGGACTTTACGGATGGACCGTATCAGCAGCCGCCGGCCACGGACGGCAGTTTTCGCAAAGCGTTTTATACCGAGGGCAGCGAGACGGCCACGATGACGAACGCACAGGTCTCAGCGTTCCATGAAGCGAATCAGATGATCCTCAGCGGCAACTCGTGTCTGTACCGGCCCGTACTGAGCTTCCACGACGTGACGTTTGACGCCAAGTTCATGAGCACGACGAAAGGCTTTGACACACCCACGCCGATCCAGAGTCAGTGCTGGCCGATCCTTTCTTCGGGACGGGATATCATTGGTATTGCAGAGACGGGATCGGGAAAGACCTTGGCGTTTGCCATCCCGGGTTTGATCCACATTGCCGCCCAGCCAGAAGTGTCGCCGAAGTTTCCTGGTCCACGCATGCTCGTCGTGGCACCGACGCGTGAGCTTGCCATGCAGAGTTCTGCGGTCATCTCCGAGGCAGGCAAGAAGTGTGGACTCAAGAGTGTTTGTATCTACGGTGGCGTGCCTAAACAGACACAGAAGAAGGCGTTGCGTGACGGCGTGCACGTCGTCGTGGCCACACCTGGTCGTCTCAAAGATCTAGTCGAAGAACGCTGCTGTAATCTGTCCAAGGTTACGTTTGTCGTGCTTGATGAAGCGGATCGAATGCTTGACGAGGGATTTGAGAAGGACATTCGATCGATCATTGGCAGCACCCATCCGGAACGACAGATTGCAATGTTTAGCGCGACATGGCCACAATCGATCCAGAAACTCGCGCACGAGTTTCTCACGGACCCGGTGAAAGTGACGATTGGCTCTGATGAACTTGCTGCCAGTCACAACGTCACGCAGATTGTTGAAGTGATTGACGATCGCGCTCGCGATGCCCGCGTCCACGTGCTGTTGCAGAAGTACCATTCGAGCCGCAAGAACCGCGTTCTGCTGTTTGTTTTGTACAAGAAAGAGGCCGATCGCGTCGAACGTTTGCTACACCAGCGTGGCTGGCACTGTATCGCCATTCACGGTGACCGGAGTCAACAGCAGCGCTCTGAAGCTGTTGAGCAGTTCAAATCTGGCGAGGTGCCTCTGTTGATCGCAACGGACGTCGCCGCCCGTGGTCTCGATATTCCTGGCGTCGAGTACGTCTTGAACTACTCGTTCCCTTTGACGATCGAAGACTACGTGCACCGCATTGGCCGTACCGGTCGTGGTGGTAAAAAGGGGATCGCGCACACGTTTTTCACTGCAAACGACAAGGCGCGCGCTGGCGAGCTTGTGAATTTGCTGCGTGAAGGCAATCAGGAGGTCCCATCTGATCTGACCAAGTTCGGTACGCATGTGAAGAAGAAGGAGCACAAGATGTACGGTGCTTTTGCCAAGAACATCGACGTCACGAAAAAAGCGACAAAGATCACCTTTGGCAGCGACGAGGACGAGTAGAATGATCGGCATCGTTTTGGAGAAGAGTGTTGCTATGGATATTGCTAGGATAGACCGGAGTCAAGGAAGTATATTGTACTTGCTGTATCCTGTGCATTGCTTCTGTTCATTGTGCGTGCTGCTCTGTGCGAGTTCGGGCGCGTATATGCGACTGCTGGAGGGTCCACTTTGAGTGGATGGACGAGAGAAAGCTTGAGATGCTCGAGTACATCTTTGCATCGACAGGTTCCGTCGCATCAGCTCATTCTCATAAGATGCAATGATTGCCAGTGTACTTGTCAGAATGAACAGTGCTTTTCCCAGCCTTTTGTTTCAGCCATTGACGCGCTTAGTAGTTTCACACACGTAAACTGTTGTCACTTGACACTGCTACTGAAGATGTTTGTCCAGACACTACAGTCTAGTGACGGCAAAACTGTGAGACTACCGCCATCAAATCACGTCCGGCTGATGCTGTGCACCACACGGCGCGCCTTTGTGCAACAGCGCTTCCGTAGGTAGCGGCGGAAGAAGAATCCGACATTGTGTCACGTACTTGATCGATGAATGCCATGAACAAGGGCAGAACTCTCCCGAAATCGATCCCACACCTACTCACACCACGCATCAAGACGCAGCTGGTGCTGGCGTGCAACGCGAATCGATCTATATCGGTCTCTCCCATCCATTCTCTGCACAACTTCACAAGCAAACACATCATCTTTCCGTCGCACGACCGGCTGACTGGCTAGTCATCACTAGAGTAGCCGTCAACGAGTCCCGCTACGGCACTCGGTCCTACCGGTACTCCAACATCGCCGTTCGCAGTCGCTCGTTTCCGGTCAGCTGCACCATCGAATCCACACTCGCCACCTGCAGCTTTTGCCTTCTCCGTTGGTCCCGCACGCGTCCCAGATCGACTCTTCTTCCTCATCTTAGTCTTCACGGTCATTTCGGCCGTCGTTGACGTCCTCTTCTTGGCCTTTGGCACCACCACAACCACTGGCTTAGCCACCTTAGGAGGCGCTGATGGCTTTTGCACCACCAGCTCCGGCACCGACGTCTTCCGAGCGTGCACTTCCAGAGCCTTGGAACGAAACGTCTGCAGTGCTGCGTCCATTGTTTGTGAGTACTGTTCCTCCCCCCCCCCCTCTCTCTCTCTCTCTTGCCGTCAACAAGTGGCTACACGCCATCGTCAGCGATACTCAGACGCAATTCCTACCGTCATAGCGCTCCCGTTGCTCCCGATCGGCCGCCTGTTGCTCCAACAGCGTCTGCTCCACGAGGTACAACCGGTCCGACGGGTCCAAGAGGCCGCGACCGCCGCCCTGCGACGCGCTCTCGTCCTTGACGACCATCGCCCGCTCCGCCTCCGTCAGCGTGTCCACGTCCTTGAACTCGGTGCGCTTGGGACGGCCGCCGCCGCTCATTGCGAGGCGCCGCAGCGCGTCGGCGTTCTGATTCGCGGGGTGCCACGACGGGACGTCCATTGGATATTCGGCGTGGGGTCGGGCGCGGTGATTGGGTTCGCTTTTTGTTCGGCACATGGGTGCACAAGAGGATAAAGGACCTATGAGATTCCATACATAACCCCTGTCCGCGTCGATACAAACGACCCGTTCGTTGCAAACGCAGCGATAATACACTGTCACACTCGATATCTGTCGTGGCCCGCGTGCTCGCTTTGTTTTCGGGATACTGTGCGCAGGTCAGTCAGTCATTTGACCTTTCGCCAGCAGCTCCACACGACTACTGTCGACAGTTACACAACTTGTCGCGCATGACAGTCATCTTGGCGCGTTTTTCGCTGCTACTGTCCCTTGTTGCACGTCACAGCTCGGCGCTAGTGGCCGTCGAGCTCAATGGCTGGTACCCGTGTTCGCAGAACTCCCTCGAGCGCGACTACGCTGACGAGGGCCACTCGGATATGTACTACATGGAAACCGCGAGCTCCGGCGGAAGTGCGAAGCGGAGAGCTATGGCAGTGGCAGAGGCAAAGCCGATGGCGCAACAGGGACCGTCGCTGCCGTTCGTGCACCACTCGTTTGACCGGCTCTATGCTCGACGTTATCCGGATGCCGACGCAACGCAGCGGACCACAGGGCACAAGCAGCAGCTAGCACACAGTCACAAGTCCAAGTCCAAGTCCAAGAGCTTCGATGGACAGGTTGCAAGTGCTGCGGTTCAGTACGAGTGTGGCGAGTTTCGCGTCCCCATGTGTTACGATACAGTGTGCCAGAGCAACAACACGATCGACGTGTTTGTCAAGCGCGTCGTAGCCACTGAGAAAGGCGGCGATAACCAGAAAGCGAGAGCGCTGTGGTTGCTGCAAGGCGGTCCTGGCGCGTCGTCGACGGGCATTGAAGACCTCATGAAGATCATGTTTCGGCAGCTGGACCACCAAGTCAGTATCTACACGTTTGACCATCGCGGCACGGGCCGCAGTGCAAGGTTGCAGTGCCAAGCAGCACAAGCAGGAGGGTTGGGCAGTCCTGGTGGCACGTCCATTCGACTGGACGAGCTGCCGGCCTGCATGGACGACATTCGGTTCCAGATTGACAACCAGACGGCTGCGTTTTCCGTCACGAGCGCTGCGAAAGACTTGGCGGCTATTATTGACTATGAACTCAGTGACCACGATGTCTTTGTCTACGGACTCAGCTACGGCACGTACTTGGTCGAGCGACTCATGCATTTCACCCCTGCAAGTGTGCGGGGCTTCTCCGTGGATGGCATTGTGTCGGAGAGCGGCGACTCTGTGGAGAAGAGGTCAACGTTTTCCAACTGGGACTATGACGTTGGGGTCGTAGGAGACCGGTTTCTTGCTGCCTGCCTGGCAGATACCTTTTGCAAGGACAAGTTCCCGAACGTCACGGATCTCTCGGTGTTTGTCCACGAGCTGTACGATACGTTGGACGCTGCTGTCGCTGATGGGAAACGCGGCACAAACGCTTGTGCCGACGCGCTGAACAAGAACGGCACAAAGCCCTCGTACTTGCTGCGTGCTGCTTTTGGCAATTACCTCATGTCCGATGTCTCGCGAGTTGCTATTCCGGCGGTGATCTACCGAGCGTCTCGCTGTGCTGACCACGATGTCGATGCGCTGGCCAACTTTGCAGCCACGTACCTCGATTCCTTGGAAGACAATGGATTCGGAGACTCCAAGCCAGAGACGCTGCTTTTCGACTCGGACATGCTCTACTACCTGATTGTGTTCTCCGAGATGTGGGAAACTCCCACGCCGGACAAGGCGACGCTCATCCAGTGGTTTGAGAACTCGACAATGGCGTCGAATAACTACCTGTCGCTCCCGTACTACTGCTTGTTCACGGGCAGTCGCGAACACGCGTGCCAGGAGCTCATTCACCTCCCTGTTGCTCGGCCGCTGGTATACGAGCGTGACGAATACTGGAACAAGACGAGTGAATTGCCCGATGGCGTGACGGCGCTGCTGATGACAGGTGGCATGGATCTGCAGACGCGTCGCATGTATGGCGAACAGGAGTACGAGCTGATGGCCGGTGAGCGTATGCTCGTGAACTTTGACGACGCTGGCCACTGTACGACGTTCACGACCCCAACGAATGGTGGTGGCATGACCTGCGGTGTCCGCATCTTAACATCTTACGTGAAAGAAAATGGCGTGCTGGCAAACGTGGACACGGGCTGCATGAACGACCTCAAACCGATGGAGTTCGCGGACGATCCGTACAATGCGCACGAGTTCTTCGGCACAGACGATCTGTACGACGATCTCTAGCTTTCGATGCGCATGACCAGAGAAATAGACGAGAACGTGTACGCCATGCGACAATGAGTATCCGATAATGGCAACGGTAGTTCATGAACGAGTTTGCTACGGGTGTTCCTGCAACTTCGACTGCAACATGCCATCGCAGTAGTGCGTCAGAGGGCGGCCACAGATGCACGAATGAAGCAGCTTCTGGTGCTTTGTTTGATGACGTCGTGGCCATTGATGTGAAACTGATTCGATACAGGCATTGCTCAAGCGACTGCCAAATACATTTCTTCCATTGAGACGAGAAGTACATGTGAGCAAGGAGTGCAAGCGCCTTTCGTACAGACATTCGTAGGATCAGACACAATCTCGCGTAAGTGCAGCAGAGCATTGCGCATGAGGTTCGCGTGATTCTTCCACTGATGTCGATCAACGTCACTCATGGTGTGCGTACCCCTGACGCTCTACTTGACCTTAACCTTCGACTGTAATGAGCACCTGCAGCTCTTCCGAACGGCCTCGACTGCTCATCTGGAGTTCACGCATTACCTCGCAGGTGATGGCCGCTAACACAAAGATGCCAATCACAATCAAAACAGCCACTTCTCCCAGCGACCACGGGACAGCGCCGTCCATGCCATGGATCTCCAAGTCAGGCTGCGTCCCACTCGATGCTCCTTTGTCTCCATTAACGTCCATCTCGGCGACTTCGTGCTCCCATCCGTCGAGGCACTTGGTCGTTAACAGATGCACCAGCCACTTGGCTGCTGGACATCCAACGCGATGGGACCCGTTCGTTGACGAAGACATGATGTAACTTTGGTTGCAAGAGTCCCAATCGTTAATGTCTGGGAACGTCCATGCAGGGAACCCAATGATAGGCATCTCCTCTTCGACAACAGCTTTGTACACTCGTTCCACGAGAGCTCGAAACAGTGGCAGCTCATCCGTTGCATCGGCCTGACCACTTGCTCGCCACTTGTTCTCCGTCAGCAAAATCTCCATCGACGGGTCCTTCTCATGCAGCCACTTAATGGTATGGAAGTAGTCCGCCACGTGAGCCTCTCGCCCCGAGCACTTGGAGCTCTTTGTCAGAGACACACACGCCGCACTACTCGCTCGTGTCTCGTTGCGTCCTCCTCGATCAATACCACGTCCTTGTTGCATGGCGAACCAATTGAGCATCCAGAGATCGTACGAGCCTTTCACCAGCGCAGCTTCAGCGGCACTAAACTGTGGCAATTGAGCCCCTCGGCGTTTGTGCATCCTTTCCGAGTAGTCTCCGGTGAGCAGTGGCGTCACGAACCAGTCGACAGTCCACGGAATCGTACGCTCGGCCACGTCAAGAGCACTCGATGCATCATCATGTACCGAGTCCCTCACTTCAACATGGACCATCATCCCAATGCGAGCAGCAGCCGCAACAACACTACCACCACCAGCAGCAGCACCAGCTGTAGCAGCACTTGCGTCGCTTCGCTGGAGCTCACGAAACAAAGCCACAGCTTTTGCATGTGCGAGAAGCACATGATGCACAGCCTTTGCTTCCAATGCACTTGTTCCGTCGACTGCACCGGCGTCGCCATAGTCTCTTGTAATGAACGTCAGTGGCTCGTTGAATGTCGCCCAGAACTTGACCTTTTGGCCAAATGCTCGGAACACGACCTCAGCAAAGTCGCCAAAGTGCGTCACAATGAACGGATCCAACCAGCACAGCATCGACTCGGCACTGCCGTTTGCAGCTCTACTTGTTGGCCTCTCCAGTGCTGCTGCTGGCAGACGCGAGTCAAAGAGCGTCACCAGTGGCTCCAGTCCCTGTGCGAGCAGCGCGTCGAGCTGTGCGCTGTAGAGCGCCAGTCCCGCAGCGTTGTGCTCCATCCGTTGCGTCGCTGCGTTGTAGTGCATCACATGTGCCCACGAGAGAGCGACGTGGACGGACGAGAGCTTCGAGTCGGTCACCTGCTGAACGTCCCGACGGTACTTTCGACTCGCAGTGGCAGTAGAGACGTTGGGACGTGGCAATGGCTCGAGCAAACGAGAGCTGTCGATGGCATTGGCGGTCTGGAGACGCGATCGGTTGACATTGGGGAACGGGTCGTCGATTGTGGCACTGAAGCGGAAGTGACTGGGGAAGCAGCGCACTGTTCTGGGGCTCGACGCGACACGAGAGGGGGTGGAGGACGTGTGGGGGAGATCGAGAAGAGCGGCTCCGAAGAGGACCAGCCGCAGCATTGACGTGGAGGTGTTGTGTTTGTGGGGGGGGGGTCTCCGAAGAGGGTCGACGAGTGATTGAAGAATGTGCCTGTGACGGTGGGGGAATCGAGAGATAGCGCTGTAAGGGGCGGGCGGGCGGGGCAAACGTCCGGTGCAAAGGGAGTCGTTGGGCTTACGGCGTTTCGAGTTGAGACGGTATTCCTCTTGGGAACGAGACGGATCAGATGTCGCGTGCGTTTGTAGCAACGGAATGTGCACGTCGAGCGCCAAATGGGTTTCCACTCGTCTTTTTCTCGGGAGGTGACTTGGCCCACTGGAGACCACTGAATTGGTCATAGCCCATGTCGTGCAGTACTTCCAGTCTCGCTGAATGTCAAGTGCGTGGTTGCATATTCTCTTGCGACGTGATACGTCTACGTGTTGGAGCGCATCGCATCGGCGGCACTTTGTGGGGGGGGGAGAACGGAACGACAGGTTGACGAGCGATGTGCGGATGCTACAGGTCGTGTGAAGCTGCGGCCACGCGCTCGGAGCTCTTCTGCCCTCACGCAGAGACAGCGACGTATTGTTTTGACGCTTTGCTTTGCCAGGAACAGGCGAAGAATAGCACTCACGAGCTGCGGGCTCTCAATATGCTCAGAAACGGCTTCTTCTCCATGCACTACTCCACGTTGCAACTCCTTCTCCACGTCCTGCCACAAGCCGCTAAACGTGTACAAGTGACATCCACTGCTGCTTGCGATCAAGTGCAGTCGTGCTGCGCCGTCCCCCGATCCATTCAAAGCTCTTACAACATGACTCGTCCACGAGACTCGACTCTTGAGGACGAATCATTACAGCACCACGAGGAGCCATTCGTTTCCTCGCGCCCGGTTGGCAATCCAACAACTCGACAAATGTGCTCACGTAGTCATAGCGACCTGTTTGCCTCTGTGCTTTTCGTCGAGCGAAGCTCAAGTGAATGGACGGACGCCTACCAGCAGACCGTATCCATCCATCATCCATCATCTCCACTGGGTTTGTACGCTCTGTGCGACTAGCAGTGTGCGGCGCCACGATGGGTACAGCCACTGTACCCATCGCGGCGTCTGCTCTCAACTTCAACGTCGTCACGGTCGCCATCGGTCGGCGAAAGCAGGGGATAATATCGACCAATCAGAGACCACAAAATGCATGGCTACATCTTTTGTCACGTGCAGACAATCGAGCGACGCGATGGAGACTCAGGTCGGGACGCCGCAGCCGCTGGCCGTCACCGTGCGCTGGATCCCCGACGCAGAGGTGAGTCTGTGCTGCAACTGCGAGCTCTTGTTCGACTGGATGCACCGCAAACACCACTGTCGGTACGTACGTTTGTTTTCTGCCTATCGTTCGCTCGAAGGTTCGGTCGGTCTCTCTACCAATGACTGCCATTGACAAGTCGGATGGCTACATTTGTACAGCTATTGCGGCAACGTGTTCTGCGACCGGTGCACGCTCCAGCGCAGTCTGATTCCAGAGCATCAGATACTGTCTGGATCCGAGTGCAAGTACCTCGCAGTGAACGCGCATAACCCACAGCGCGTATGCGACAAGTGCTACGCGCGCCTCGAGCCACAACAGGAGGAGCTACGTGCGTTGCTTTTGATTGCTTTTTGAGGATTCTTTGCTGGTGCTTGGGAACCGGTTTGTCTTGTACTGATACGAATGAGTGGGGCTGTGGGCTGTGTGTGCTGCAAATAGGTATCACGATGAGCCACGCTGTGCAAGCGACGGAAGTAAAGGTGGCTACCTCGCAACGACTTGTGAGTAGTCCGTACTCCTACACGTTGAAGGAGGAGATTGTCAAGGCCACGTACAGCCTCAAGAACTTTACGTCTTCAGGAAGTGTCAAGAACCAGTCGATACCGCTACCGTTGCTGACCCACGCCAAGGGCATTGCGGTACGCAGATAGCTACGCTTTGACGATCGAGTTTGTTTGTTAAGCAAAGGCTCTGTGCTGTTTTCCGCTATTGTGTGTCACATGCTGCAGTTCCTGACCGTGATCAAGATGGGCTTTGTGTTTACGGGGCGTATGGGAACGGGGCTCGTAGCAGCGAGGCTGGCGGATGGGAGATGGTCAGCGCCATCCGCTATCGCCACGGCTGGGGTCGGATGGGGCGCACAAATAGGAGGAGAGATTACGGATTTTGTCATCATTCTCAACACACAGCGTGCCGTCGAAGCTTTTTGTGCATCAGGCCAAGTGAATCTTGGCGCTGAGCTGGGCGTTTCTGCAGGACCAGTTGGTCGCGTAGCTTCTGGAGTGCTGGAAGCAAGCAGCGCGATGGACGTGGCACCGTGCTACTCGTACTCGTACTCCAAGGGTCTTTTCGCGGGCATCTCGCTCGAAGGCTCGGTCATCCTTGCAAGACCAGATATCAACCGTTCATTCTACGGCAAGGCCGTCTCAGTTGCTGATCTGCTTGGAGGTGTTGAGTCACCACCTGTGGCTGCTGCGCCACTGTATGATGCCATCCGGGGAGCGACCGAAAGGTTCGTTACTGTACAAGTCATCCATTGGGTACAATCTCGCGACGTTGGATGCACTCTTCTGACAACTTGTGCCGTGATTCTGATAGCAGTCCAGCAAATGCAGGTACTCGCGTCGTGCTCAGCTCACCGATTCTAGACTAGCACAAGTTGCAGCAGAAAGCAGCCAGCCCCACCTCCTTACATTATCGTCGCGCCATCAGCTCCTGTAGACAGCGCACTATTTACAACACGCATGTCAAGTTACAAGCGTGGCGTGCTCGCCAAGGGTTGCATAAGGGCGAACCTGGTGCATCAGACTTTCGGTGCAGAACTAGTTTACCACACAATACCGCCTCCGGCGTCGACGCTTGATTCAGCATTGTTAAATTACTCGTACCGTTCACTCGCGATAACAGGTGTGGCCAAGCGAGCACTACACCTGCTAAAGAAACTCGGCTTCTGCCACTGCTCGTGTCCTGACCTACAAAGCCGTAGCAACGGCGATTGCCAACTCGTTTTCAGCTCATCGCAGCCTCAAGCGCTGAGAAAAACTGTTCCTGCATCTGACGTGCCTCGCGAGCTTTCTGTTCATCACATGTCATACGTCGTGTTAGCCAATATCCATCATTGGCCTCGCGTGATGAACGCGACACCTGACCTGTGCTTGTTCTTGTTGCGCAGGCGTGAGCGTCACTGCGCTGACGGCCTCGCTCGCATGCGCTCCATCGTCTCCCTTGTCCATATCTGCTACCCCGTCGACATTCTCCATCTCAACATCATCACCAGCGCCAGCAGTGGAAGCTCCTTCTGCAGCTGCTAGGTCGTCCGTCGTCTCGTGCAGCTCAGCGTGCACGCGCTCCACTGCTCGTCTCGACTCGTCGATCGTGCGACGGATATCGCGCGCAGCGTCCCGACGCTCTTGTACTTGTGTCTCGAGCATCTGGATCACAGTTTCGCGCGCCTGGTGTGGTCGGAAAGCGTTGATGAGGTTGTGCATGTTGAGAAACAAGAGCTCCACTTCGTCCAGCTTCTCACTAGGCAGCAGCAACGAGTAGGTGAGCAGCGACCCGTCAACGTATATAGAACAACCACAACAAGTCGACCCTCCGGACACTCTGTACGTACTTGAACAGGACCGGTTTCTTGATCAGAATGTCCACGAGCTCGACAAAGTTGGCGAGCAGCGAGCGGTTGATCCTATTTGACACACGCCCGTCAAAAATGCCACACGCGTCCCATGTACCGACACATGGCATCCATTCACTCATTCACAGTACTTTTTCATCTGCATCTTGTAGTCCACCGAAGCAGCAGCGCCGCTGTCGTCGCTCTCGGACGCGTACAGCTTTTTGCCCGGCTGGAGCAGGTCGGGCACCACGTCGTGCGTGCTGTACGGGGACCCAAACATGTGGTACGTGGGGCTCATGGGCGCAGGCGGCGCAGGGCCACTCTCCTCTCCATCTGCGTACAGCACAAAGAACTTTGGCGGCGCGGGGAACTCTGAGACGATCTCGGGCGCGTCTTCCTCCGGTTGTTCCTGCCGCTCGTCCATGTTCGTGGCAGCAAACGTCAAAAAGATCGGATTGGGCCACTGACCGTCTCGTGTCCAAAGCACTCGCGATGTCGTCGAGATTGTCAATTATGTAACTTGTCAAAGTCGTCCTCCCAACCGATCGAGTCGACTCTTGCAAACTCGTCGAAAACGACTAACTCTGTCGAAAACCGATCACATCTGTCGAAAACGATCCCCTCTGTCGAAAACCGATCACATATGTCCAATCCGATCAGCGCTGTCAAAACCGTCGGCTACGTCGCCGCCGCTGGTTTTTGACAAGATACTTTTGCACCCCTTGAAGCTGTCCGTCGTACCTCTTTATATTGACAAACCTCTCTCTCGCTCGCTCTCGTCCTCCATGTTGTCCGTGCTGCGGTCCCCGACGCGGCCATTGCTCCTCCGCACAACGCCGCACGTGCCCCAACGCCGCGCGTCGTCCCTCGTCCGCCGCACGTGGGACTCGTACACGCACTTACTCGAGACGCGGCCGCTCCGCACCAAAGTCGTCACGGGGGGTGTGATCATGGGGCTGGGCGACGTGCTGTGTCAAAGTCTGGTCAACCACTTGAGCGACCACCAGCGCAAGTTTGACGCCAAGCGCGCGGCCATCTTCACCGTCTTGGGCGGGGGCCTGATCTCGCCCATGCTGCACGTGTGGTACAAACTGTTGGGCGCGCTGCTGCCGGGCGTTGCGCCGCTGACGATCGCTAAGCGACTGGCGCTCGACCAATTGGGCTTTGCGCCGACGTTTCTGCCCGTGTTTTTGTCGCTCGTGATGGCGCTCGAAGGACAGGCGGAGCTCATTCCCGACAAGTTACGCGCGGACTGGTGGCCCGTGACCAAAGCCAATTGGGGCGTGTGGGTCCCGGCGCAGTTTATCAACTTTCGCTTCGTGCCGAGTTCGATGCAGGTGCTCTTCTCGAATGTCGTGGGACTGCTCTGGAACGCGTACTTGTCGTACGTCAGCCACTCGGGCGTGCCCAAGAAGAAGGACGAGATGCTCGAGGACGAGGAGACGTGATACACGTGGAGGACGGAGGGTCCTGAGCTGTAGATGCCAGTGAGCAGCTCTTTTCAGGTGGAGAGGACGTATTGTAGTAGACGTGGGGCTGGTCTGGTGCACGCTGTCGATAGCTCGTGCTGGTGTGGTGCTACAGCCGTTCTCTGTTGTGGTTTGATGCTGCTAAAGAGTGCTGACATGCAAGAATGAGGAGTTGCTCGACACACTTTTCTGTGCGTAGTGTAGAGTTTCGACTATGAGCGGCGCTGAACAGGTGAGCAAGTCATCCGTTGCAAACGCTTTGACGTCTTCGTGTGGCCAGGCTCTTGCTGTTCTGGTGGACGAATGCCGGGCAAGGAGACGGCTGCTGGAGGTGACTCAACTACCGGTCGCTCTCGTGGAGGAGTGCATTTGCCACACCCGCAAATTGCTGACGAAGTTCAAGTCGTGTGACGACCCGACAGGACACAGCAAGCGATTGTCGCATGCTGCGTCCCGTGTGCAGCTTCTCATGTGACCTGCTGGCATCGCTTCTCCATTGACGCGTCTTCTGGCAATCCACGTATCTGGTGCGTATTGCGTACAGCAACAGGGACAACGCGTGTCACGCATTGCATGCTTCCCTGTATTGGGTCATCTAGAAGGCATCGCACGGTCGGACTAAAGTGGGCTTACTTTGGCTGGTGTCCAGTGCCATTCGTGCTTCGACTCGGCATTCGCTAACGACGTATCCGCACCCTGCCAGCAGAAATGCAGTTTTTGATGTTGCTGTTGTGCGAGCAAACATCCAGCAGTGCCTCATTACACCAAGCTCACGCAGGTTGAGCTCAATCTGCCACGGCATTGCTCATTGCACTGGGGAGTGTATCGCACCACGATCGAAGAAGCGACATCATTCCTGCCATCGCTTGCTGCGCCGTTGTCGACTGGTCTACGATCTCGTCGCTCAGCATATCCGTGCTTCTCCAAGCAGCGGGCAAACAGCGGACGTCCACAGCAACAAGAACGGTCTCTACACAGACTCTCTGCCGTGGTCTTGATGTACCTGCCCCGCAGTCAATCAACCTGGCGGACCTGTTGCAGTGCATCTGGCGATCGCACACAGACGCAAGTCAAACGATAACACCGCAGACGTTCAACTCAGCTTCAACGTCAGATTACTCCAGTCGCCACGGCATAATGACCTGATCCTCACTACACCAAAGCATGCGCATCCCGTAAGACAACGTTGAAAGCCGCGAGTGAGTGTGCCAGAAAACGGATCGAGTGGCACACAGGTCGTCCGAGAAGTAACCAGAGTCCATCGCTGATTGTATGCACCACCTATTGCGGCCTGACTCCTGACGATACGCAGGTACTGTGTCCTGCGTTGCTGATGGTAGAAGGATCGGGACCGATGGACGATGGGCTGATCGTCGTGGCGCACTTACCAAGTCCCATCAGTAGTTGTGCTGACTGGCGGTCTGAGCTGTCGTGTCCGTGCACGCTATCCCGATCCAAGTGCACAAGTTTCGTACGCGCTGGAGAGACACACACACACACACAATCAGCAAATCCCAGCCAACTACTTCCTCCGAAGCAAAGCCTCACGGAAAACAGCCACAGCACACTTACCGGCTTCCTCCGCGCTTCCACGGCCAGCGTCCATACTTCTGTATGATCTTTTACGTCCGAGCGATGCCGCTCGATTTTGCTGCCCACAGTCTCCACGTACCGCATCAAAACCACTGCAACCTGACAGCTCTCTCGTTCCTTCGAGCGCAGTAAACAACTTACGTACCGTGTCGACCGCCTCCGTCCTTCGTCGTCTGCACTGGTAGCACTGATCCGTCCCTCCTGGTCGAATCAGCGCCTTCGTCAGCCACATTGGACAGCTTTGCTGCTGCTTCTCCAATGCATCCATCGCTCTTTCGCGTGCCCAATGCTAACGGCAGCTGCGCAGTCCTCGATAGCTCGACGTCGCCTGCCTCCTGATACGCCGTGCTCAGGAGCGCCAGTACAAACTTGTTGTGTAGGTCTGCAAACAGTACGAGCAGTCACACTGCTGCTCCTGCATTACAGATAGCGCCTACTGCAGTAGTAGCAATAAAAGACGACCCGTACGCGAAGACACACATACGTTTATCAGGTCCCAAGAGCTCCTCAGCCACTGCGTGGAACTCGTCCAGTGAGAGCTTCGCCACGAGGTAGCGCTGGAACGACCGCCAGTACTGTTTCCAAGCACTGCGGTGGCGACGCTGCAGGCGGTGGAACAGCTGCAACTTGAGCTCGAGCACGTTCGGCCGCGACGGTCTCTGCTGCGCTTCGGTCATGGGTTCAGTCAGCGTCATGGGTACAGATAGCGTCATGGGTACCGATAGCGTCATGGGTACCGATAGCGTTATGGGTACAGTCTTTGTGTCGTGTGTGTGTGACGTGCGTGGATTCGTGTACATGTGGTGTGTACAAACGACAAGGGGGCGGTCATCAGTGGTGTGGTGTGGTGTGGCAGTGATTCTCAGGTGGACCACCTCATTTCAGTAGACGTCGGTCATAACTCGTGTGCAATGGACGCGGCGGAGGTAGAGATCCGACTGCGCGCGTTCTACGCCAAGCACAACCCAGGCAACGACCAGAACATGTACGTACGTACGTGTGTCTTTTCGAGCGCTTCTGCGTGCATACATCGGTGCTTGTGCTGCCTCATTTGCTGTGTATAGCTCGTCTAATCTCTCTATCTTTTGACTGACGTGTACCCATATGTGACTGCAGTGCAGAGATTGTACGTCGATTCGAAGGCCGAGAGCAGCAATTGTGCGCGAAACTGTATCAAAAGTACGGAGAAGAGCTGGACCTGACGGGGAACGCTGGCGGTCGCGCTGACGAAGCGACGACAGGAGGTGCAGAAGTGGTCGCGAACGCCACGTACGAGCGCGACTTCAAGCCGTACGCACTGCCTCAAGCCACTGCAAGTCCGTTGGATGTCCGTTCGGCTCAATTTGATGCTCGCAAAGCTCTCGAAGCTCGAACAGAGCACGTCCAGCTGCCTGTGACGACGGTTTATCCATTGGACAACATCCAAAAGTGTCGGCATTTGGTGCGTTGAGGATATTCTGTGGGTCAAACTGCTGAACGGATGATGGTCTAAGGTTTTGAGCTGGACACTGAGGTTGCTATTCGGTGGGGGTGTAGCTACCAGAGTCGGATCCGAACCGGAAGGCGCTCGTTAGGCTACAGAAGTCACGACCGTCGGCAGTAGCAAAGGAAAAAGAGGCGGCGTGTATAAAGAGGATGGGAGAATCTGCTGCTGCACCGTCACTTTTCGAGCAGCTCGCGGGTACGAGTTTGCTCGTTGCTTGCGCGCGTTATTGTTGTGTTGTGTTTGATATGCTTTGATGTCAGATACGTACTTGGATGGACCGTTTCGCGTCCTACGTCGGTGTTTTCTTGAGCGGACAAAGGTGTTCGTTGTACTTCGTCGTGTCAATAGCGTGCGTGGCACGTGCCATGGGTTTTTGAAAGCGTTTGATAAGCACCTGAATCTGGTGATGCTGGACGTCACGCAAGAGTTTGTTCCCCACTTCACCCATGAAAAAGTACTGCGACAAGTACAGGAAGGGACTCGCACTACTAGCGATGCTGTGTTCTCGGCAGCAAATGGACGTCGCAATCGACGCGTCTTTGCTGGTGCGGGAGGCACGCGGCGCGTGTACGTCAAGCAGTTATTCATCCGTGGTGACAACGTTGTATCAGTCAGTGCCGATTTCGCCGACTCGGCTGTTGACGGGTCGCGACAGAGCTGAAGTTGAGAACGCAATGATTGCCGAACACATCGCTGATCGCTGAGAAGAGGCAACGGCTCTTTCGGCATGAGCGTGAAAGAGTACAGCATGGCCAACGAGCTATTTGTACAAAGCTTCTGATTGTTCCGTGGATGTAGATACCAAGAGCCTTGCAAATTTTGCAGTAGATGCAGGTGAAAACGATGGAGGCTTGCTGTTTGCGCAACGGTATCGAGTACAGATCTCGGTACGAAGATGGAAGCTGGTCGGTAGCACACAAAGCTGCAAAGTCCAGTTCTGATGAACTGAGCGTGTGCAGAGTGTCGAATGTGCAATGATGATGCTGCGAGTACGAAGTATGCGAAGCAGGTCTTACCATGCGGTGCTGTGGCGGAGCATGTCGCTTGCTGTCTCGTTTGCAGACACATGCGGCTGATAAGGTATAACGTGCACATTGATCTTGGATACGCTGCCCTCCGGCTGGTGAAGGTGTGGTTTTGCGTCCATCATTGCCCTGAGACGCCTGATTTTTATCACGAATGGTAGGCAGCTTTGGCCGCAGAAAGCACCTCGATTTCGGCAGGGACGAATCGCTCGTTTGCTCAAGATGTCAAGTGCCTACCAGACTGGCCACGTGGGTGTAACAAAAGTGTGCAAGGTACTTTCGGCTACCAGCTTCTGGCCAACGCTTTGCAGTAATCGCATTGAGCGATGGTTTCATGCATGAGTGGTGTCATCTTGTGCATGCGGACCGTAGCTCCTTTACCGTAGCAGAGACTGGCACTCCATCAATGGTCGTAGGAATGTTATCATGGCAACGAATTCCATGGATAGTTCTCTCGCAAGATGATGGCAGCAGTATTGCGATCCACGTCAACTGGAACGAGAAGAGGACAAGAGAAGCAGAAGACATGGTCCAGAGCGCAGGACGGGCTGCAAAGCAATGCAAACGGCGACAGCTTTGATCGTGGGTCGGTGGTATTCGGTTCTTCTTCTCCCAACATGGCACAGATTAACACGCCGTTCCGTTTGTTGAATGCAGTCTCGAGGCGATCACGTGCAGCAGTAATCGGCAGTCAATGCACATTGGCTAACAGGTCTGGAACATGCTTCTGGTATATTCACCTGCAAAAAGCCAAACTCGTGTGGTTGCTTCGTGCCCCTCGTTGCTTGTGCGTCTACATATGACCGAACCGACGCATACTGAGAAACCCACCGAACGTTTGCATTCGCTGCATCGTTTGACACGCCGACCATTTCTCGAAAGCCAAGCGACGATACTCGTACCGGTTGACTGGCAGAGTGCACTCGCATCGTACTCGTTTGACTTCACTTCGGCCTCGAACATACTGAGTTGGTGACCATTAACTCAGTCCCTACCGCCCAACTCTTGCCATTCTGTTGTTTGATTCCGAGTGCGAAGATCCCCCGACGCTTTCCCACTTTTGTCGCGTGCGTTGAGCCAGAAGTCTCGCATGTTGTCAACATGGCACAGAGATATCCGGTGCAACATCAGCGAAAACCTTTTGGCAAGAGCACGACACTTGCGAAGTATCGCTGCCAGAAAAAAGTTTGGTCTCGTCGAGTGTGGCGTCCTATCAGTAGAAGCCCAGCTGACCTTCTTCAGTGGCGTCGAAGACAACGTTGTCGTTCTGCTATCGACCGAGTCGATCTGGTGCCCCTCGTTTTCTCGCTCAAGCAACAATCACGTTCTTGCAGCTTCTCTAGTGGGAGTGCACGAGCGCGTGTCGTCACGCTGTCGACATGAGGCGCGTCGCCGCAGCGCCCAGCAGTGAGCTGCTGTCAAGTACACGTGCAGTACCAATGCCGTGTGGGCACGTCCACGAGCTGGACCGCAGATGAGCGTTTTTGTTCCGTTTGAAGCAGTCTGGACGCATTGACGTCCGTTCTCAGCGTTTCTGCAAGCGTCTCGCTCACGATCGTGACGCACGAGCGACCAGCACTAGTCCACTAGCGAACAAGAGCTGCGTCTGTGCTGAACAGCGACGAATTCGTAGATGCCTTGCAAGGTGCAAACCGGCGAGAAACGTGCGACTTGGACTTGAAGCTTTGACATGGATGCAGAGGAGCTACTGAACCTCAACACGAACGACAGGTCAACGAACGCAGCCTCGACACCGGTTAGTCACGTACAGTCAGTCCGTCAGAGACGGCAAGAGCGATCGCAACATCGGGACCCGACCCGCTAATGCGCTCGCGTAGAGCTTTCTGCACACACTTTCTTGACCGTTCTACGAGCTGTTCAGCCGCGTGTTCGTGCACGGGTCACTTCCATCCGCCGGAGTCCCGTCGTGTTCTCTTGTCAACGCCTCCTGTGCGAAACTACTGCAGTCGATCTCACGGACGCTGTCAGTGCTACCGAAGCGACTTTTACTTGTCAACTCGACCCGCACAAGTCGTTCCTACGACGCACACAAAGAGCCCTACGGCTACCATTTTGAACTCGAAAGCCGATCGATCGGTCGATTGATCGGTCGATCTTCAAAGCTGCAGTGCGTCATAGGACACGTACGTTCGCACGTACGTACGTACGTCAGTATCAAGTCGACACAGCCGACAGTTTCAGGACGAAACTTCAAGTACAGCCGACACGTCCACGTAGCGTATGTGTGCGTGACAACATCTGTGGCGGTCGAACTGCTCTTCTCTGACTATCCAACAAGTCGTGACATCACCTGACTGCGTTACAACGAGCGGATCCCCAAAAAACACACACACACACATTCGGACGCACAACCGCTTTCATAACCGCAAACGGATCCGTTGGCACCGCCAGTTCCCTCACAAAGAGAGCGCTCGACGAACGACACCTCAAGCGAACAAGTACATACCGTTGGGCAAAGGCCCACGTCAGTAGGAAACGAAAACACACACACGCAGTCACATGGGTAAGCAGGACGAGATCAAGACGATGAAGCTGTACCACCACGTGGACCGCATCGAGCGGCGGCTGCACGAATTGGGCTACACGAACAACGAGACGTTAGTCGATCCAGAGCAATTGGGAACGCTCGACTCGCTGCACTTTTTCGGGGACGAACCCATTTGCCGCATTGTAGAGCTGCTCGCAGCAGTGCCTGGCGAGGCAAAGGTGCTGGACATTGGCACGGGCTTTGGCGGCACTGCTCGATTGCTCGCCCATCGCAGTGGCTGCAAAGTGGACGCTCTGGAGTTGCAGCCGGATCTGAGCAAAGCAGGCGAAGAGCTCACGCGACGTTGTGGACTGAGCCATCAGGTGAGGCACTGCAGTGGCGACTTTTTGGAGCGCCCCGTGCAGCACAACGAGTACGACGTGGTCGTGGGGCTGCTGTGCTTCCTGCACATTGGTCACTGGCAACAGCTCTTCACGCGCTGTTTCGACAGTCTCAAGCCTGGTGGCGTCTTGTACGTGGACGACTTTTTCTTGCGTGGCGACGCGCTGACGGAAGAAGATCAACGGACACTGAAACAGGACGTCTACTGCGCCGAGTTGCTGCGGCAAGAGCAGCTAACGGCTCTGTTGACGACGTGCGGCTTTGCGGCGCTGGCGTTTGAAGACACGACGACCAAATGGCGGCCCTACGTGATGGACAGGGCACTGCACTACCACGCCGCGCTGGACACGCACATTGCGCGCGACGGTGAGGCAGCAGCTCGAAGTCTCGACCAGTTCTACACTTGCGTTGGACAGCTCTTTCGTGCTGGAAACGTCGGAGGGTACACGTTGGTCGCTCGCAAACCGCTTTGATATGAAGTTAGCCACTGTCGTGAAGCTACGGCGTCCTGAGTGCTCTCTTGTTCGAGAAGGCGTCCCACGAGAAGGTAGGTCGGCACTTTGAATGATTGTCTGCTAACACCGACTTCCACGACGCTCACAATGTTTGCGTCCTCTCATAGAGTCGTTAGCTACCTGCCGTGCAGCTCATTTCGTTCACCATGGACTATGCATCACTAATCGGTCTCTGGTTTCCGTATCTCGCTTTGTCGATACGACCTGGCGAATGTTTTCTTCGCTTCAAGAGACAACCGCATTAACTGCCACTCGGTGCTGGTCCATATCACAAGCAAAGACTTATGTATACGCGTTCACGTTGGAAATGCTTCCGAGACATGCGATTACCTGTACGAGATCCAATTCTCGTTTTGCCTATGACGAGCGTCTCCGAAGGTCGTCTACCTTCCGCATCACTTCCGTATACATAACGTGGTCAATCGATGCACAAACGTAAAGACAGAGGACACGCAATTGGATGCAAGAGAGAGAGAGAGAGAGAGTGTGTTATTCATCTCGTTATCTTCTTCTGGCTTCTAGCAATTTTCATCTGCAGAGAAGCGATCATTATATGAAACTCCCATAGTTGCTCGACGCAAACATGATGCCAGACTTGACACTCGAACCACGCCATGACACCATCAACTTGATGCGTGTCTTTCAACACATGAGGTGTCGTGTAGCACTTCGTAATGCGTCCAAGAATGGCGGAACTCATTTACCACATAAGTGGTAAATGATATTAGCCTTTGCACCATACGTGAAAGCTATGCCCAATGGAGTGCGGCAGACCTCATTCGACATTGCTCAAACATCAACCGCTTCCGAAGCTGACTGTTGGTCGCCCAACCGCCAGCGCCGTTATGCTGTCTGAAGGGAAAGACGAGCAAGTGCCGCGACCGCTCGGTTCATGTGGCATATAAATGACGCGTCCGAAGAGACGAGAACTTTCGTTACCAATAATATGTATCTTAATCAGAGCTAGCGCATGACAAGGTGCTCGTACATCCAAATGGATGGGACAATACCAAACAAATTCTATTGTTGGCGGGCTGAGGCGTAGCAGTCGACCCGAATCTTGAATGCTGACATCTCGATAGTCAGGCTAATCGAGGTTTACTTCCTGCTAAGATGCATCGACAAACCAAACGATGCAATGAAAGTGTATCGTATGTCCGACGCCTATGAGTGTAGTGATTCACGACCGAGTGTTTCATAGCACTAAGTAGAGAGACCAACTGTCGCAAAAACAGAGAAAAGTGCGCGTATCAGAAGGTATAGTAAAGTCGCGATAGCACAGCAGATCGCAAATATACGGTCGATGTCATTCGTGACAGAGCACTCTATTGATCCGACAACTCCAAGAGATTGTGCAGTCCTTACCCGAAGATTAAGCTGCGCACAGTCACTATTTCGGATACCCCTGGCGATAAGGCATCCCCAACGTCTTGCTGTTGTTGGTGAAGGTGAGGTATATTGAGGAACGTTGTCGACCAACAATACCATATGCCATCTTGTAGATTTCATTGAAAAAGACGTGTCACTTTGTGCCTCGTTTTAGAAGAGGGAAGTAGAATAGTGCAAGTTGCTGGAGGATAGTAGGCTCAATCACGTTGGATACGACCTACAACATTCTAAGATGATGGCGTGCAGTGCGATAGGAACATCTGTGACCGTGTAAAGCGTGTAATGCCATTAGAATATGGACATAATAATATGATCTCTCCTTTGTATGCCCGGATGGCAAACTTAATATGTCCATCGGACTACCTTGGCTCAGAAGGTACGAGCCATGGATCAGCTGGCAGCGACGATCTTTGTACGTGCCTGCCTCTTGTTCGTGAAATGAACATATAATGAACGACTGGGACCGTCAACAAGCGTTCGTGTATACTACGAGCGAGCACGATGACGTCGCATGTAATATATTAGCTAGCATGATATTAGAACAACACAATGTAAAATCAGCCATACTGTGCCGACCTACCATTGAAGTAAGTCGAGTAGACCGGGAAATGGCTTCTTGACTTCAAAACAATTATATAGAACGAACAATACAAATCAGTCGCCAAGAAGTTTTACCAATGTAATCCTGTATCGACTGGAAAGTCCAACGTAGCAAACCTCGCTGGGGTTGTGCAGCAACAGCTTGTTAATACTGAGGGAACAGGTCTTCACATAATTGGGGTTTAAAGCTTTAGTAGAACACTGATACGTCAACCACCTTACTTGGAAACATGTGTGAGTGAGAATGCGGGTTACATTTGGGTACGCGAAAGAACCGCTATATTATGTCCATTGGCAACCAAATTACGCAGTAGGCTTCTACTTTATAGCATAGGTAAAATGAGACCTCGACCAGCTGAGCGGCGAAAGACACAGTATTGTTTCGAGATGGGTAGCCCCCTCGCGAACATTGCATACTAGCCGTCTGGACATGGAGCTGCCCGAAAATCTCTACGTCATGCTACGACCGTATCGTCCCGACCATCGACACCGCTCAAGTTGCCGCATCCGCAGTCTCGGATTCACGGCACGGATAGCGAACGATTTCGAGTCGTATGCAACACGTATCTCGCCAGAATAGATGATCTCCAGGTAGAGGTCATCGTACTCTCGGGAATTGCACCAGCTACCGATCCACGGATGCACTAGGTCCACGAGGCGCATCGATACAAGCATACAAAATAAGCGACGTTGAAGGCGTCTCAGAATAAGTAGCAAGCAGATAATTACAATCTTCTCAATCTTTGATTGTTCTCTCAGCAGCTGCAAGAATACGTTCAGCCGCGCTTATAACAGATATATATGCACTCTGCATGGACATACAAATTATGTGATCATAGCCGAGATTTTATTTGGCTAGACCGAAGAATTCTTCACTTACATATAATTATTTGACTTTGGCCACTCTCGCCAATAATATGTGAAGATTGATAGTGCAATCATTGGATTGAGATGAGGATTTTGTAGACAGATGTACGATGATTCTGATGAGGTTCAAGAGTTACTAAATGTTTAAATCATACTATTTAAACGCACCAACTTACCCGGTGAGCCTCGACTTCCAAAGCTATGCTAAGGTCGTTTATGATTAGGTAATGCGAGTAGAGCTTATCGGTTTATGTGTTGTACAACATTGTGTGGCTTTTGGCAGATTGGATCATTGTACATTCGTTCAAACTGGATCATGTGATCAAGTGAATGCCTAGACACAATCGGTCAAGGATAGAATCGTGCAGTCAACATCTTCTGCTGAATGGGGGAGATACAGAAGTGAGCGATAGAATGCTAACGCATTTGGTTCGATAAGCACATACAGCACGTACTGCTGCTTTTATTGACATTTATCCTTGGCTTACAAGTATCAATTCGCGTCAACCGCGGCGTCGAAGGCGGCATGCATCGCACGTCGAACAAGACATCGTTGGTCATTGCTTCAATTGCAAGATATGAAAGGCGATAATCATAGCGACTGGAAGTAGCGAAAGTGCATGTCGTCGATATGTAAGGGTATAATGCCTATAAATTCATAGCGGTTGCACGTGTGAGCAGCTAATGACTGAGCAACTTTAGAAGATAGGACGAAGCTCGTTATGCGAGAGTCAAAAGATGATCAAGTGAAAAGAGACAGGGAAGCGAGTCTAAATGGAAGGACATAGTGCCTCATCGCGATGAACATCGGTTGATCGCGATGAAGCATTGATAAAGAAATTGAAGTTCAAGACTGCATTGCAAACGAAACTTGGCTGACAGCTTGATGAAATCTTTCTGTGATAATGCGGAAAAGTAATGATACACTGGAAAGGGGACGTTCCCCACCCTATGTGGAAGCTGACGAGTTGTATGTCCAAAAAATATCGAAGTAACCAGGATTCGGAAGATCGATCGTATGACGAAAGACGATGATTATTTGAAACTTTCTCGATCGAAAAAAGCGAAACTAATTTAAATTTGCCAGAATTAATCTTACGAAGAGCAATATATGCACATTGTAAGATATGTGGTTTTGACATGTAGCGGGATGTACTGCGACAGGCGAATTTATATTAATTTAACATATATGCGGAATTATGATGTGCGGCATAGTCGATCCCCACCTTCCAGATTTGGCCTTATTTGCTGCGATTATTAGACAAGAAACTATGTGTGGGATCGAGTTGACGTTACTAGTATATCAAGCACCATCGCATAAATAAATCACTTCACTTAAACAGATTATTAGTGTCACGATATCACGGCAAAGGAACTGAATTTGGCCAAGTGGGCCCTAATCAGGAATTTACAAGTGGTCGAATGAAGTGAAAAGACACAGGTTGAAAACATCATTATTACGTAGTGAGCGATGATCCCAGTCGTTGTGCATGTTTTGTATCGACCACTTTGTAAACATATCGTGGGTCGATTACGATGTACATCCAAATGTACCAAATTCACATGAGACATTAGTATCATGAATTACCAGACAAGCAACTAACTTCAGTTGATGGTGTCAATCGTGATGGAACTTTGGTAGGAAGTTATACGACAAGTATCCCAACATTACAGACCCAAAGAGCCTGTCGAAGGTGTACAGATGCATGCTAGGACGTTGGTTTGGATATAATTGGTACAACCATTGATTTCTTTTGCAATATTTGAGTATTCTCACAATATCTGGTATTTACAGAATGTTGGTGCGTATGGATACTATTTGGACACTGACACTATTATAGAGTACGCGCCACAGAAATTTGACACGTGTTTAAGGAGTCAATCTTGCAATATCTAGTGTCGAATTTTAGGATAACTATCATGGTAGGGTAGGCGTAGGAATAGGGATAGGATTTCTATAAGTTTAGTCATTGAATAAATAGAAGCCGATCTACTTACATCTGTGCGATGCGTGTGGCAACCTTTTCCACGCAGGAACGTATATTGAACTCCCGGTATTTAGGATTTCTGCGCTTTTCAGTCGTCTAAGCCCGTGTATCTCTTACCTAGGGCTTAACTCTCAAGGGGTTGTTTTTGCGCTCGGTAGCCATAAATTTGAGCCAAAAGCTCGACTTTATATGATTGGCGCAAGATACTCAATAACGCTTACCGGACAGGAACGTAGATTGACTACCTGACATGCATAATGGTACCGCGCGTCTCCAATATTTCATTTTTCCGAATCATTCGCGGATGATTGCTTTTGGCCATTTAGTATTTTCATAAAAATTGAGCAATGGGATCATTGAAGTTACTAGAAAAGGCACTACCGCCTTCTTTTCAGGACAAGAGATCTGGCGTCCCGGAGACTAACTACCTCGACCGCGCTTTACTGTAAGTGCTACTTGAATAAATTTGGCAAGAACGTTATATCGACAACACAAAAACCAACTCAATCGTAGTTTGATCGGGCAAGCTGCACGTAGGACTGGACGGCAAGTCGACCAACCGATCTGGCTACCACCGATTTGGCAGCTACACGATTGTTCAAGTGGTCAGAAGGCAAGATCAAGTAAATCAAGTACCGACGGTAGATAATGGCAAGCCTCGGACAAACATGCGGGCAGGGGAACATAAAAATTTGTGAAAACGCTTCCACGAAAAACAGGGAGCACAAAAAACCTGATTGTCGAGTTCTTCTCGCTTGAAAGCGAGAAGAACGAACATTCTTGAGAGCTTCCCTCCCGATATCCATTCTCGCGCATTTCGTGTCCAAGCGGATCTGGCTTGTCCGTATCCTACACGTTGAATTGTCTGACAACCGCACGATTCTCTACAGCCGCACTGAAATTTATCAAGCTCAATCGAGAAGATATTCTCGGCCCATAATACGGCCTGCGTCTGCGTGTGGTGAGCTTTCGACCCGCTCTAAGTACAGCCGACAGACTGGTGACCACACCAGGGGTCAAGAAAAACATAAGCCTACGCTCGTCACCACCGCAAAGATCACCTCATTTATTAACGCAGGACTGCTCACAAGAACTTCCTAGGAAAATTAGAGGGCCCGCCGGAAGTCATAACAGAACCACCTTTTGCGGTCCGCCAAGCAATAGAAGAATTTTAAGCCCTTGGAACCTTCGAGTTGGTGCCTCCACGACTAAAGAAGACTTCGTGTATATTCAAATGGGGTGTTCATGTCAAGTACATCGAGAACGGGAAGGAGGTCTTCGCTTGGGCTTGTTTGACCGACGAGGCGTGTCGGACGTCGACGAAAAAACTGTTCAAGCCCTATGCTGGAAAAATGAGTACAGCCTTGAAGCACCTCCAGAAGACGCACAACGTTGACTCACCAAAGCCGGAGACAGCGACAGTCAAAAAGCGCATATATGACCACGATTACAGCCATCTGTCATCATCCGTTCTGTATTTAAACAAACCAACCCGGCTAAACGTGCTGATGACCACTATCATGATCATAAATCATAACTTGGCCTTTCTTATGGTTGAGTACGAAGAGGCAAGACTTATCCAAGCGCTGCTCTATAAGGACGAGATGAAGGCCAAGATAACTACGAAGCAGGTGAAGGAACCAATCGTGGAGCTGTATTTTTCAACACAGGAGGAGGCCACTGGATACCTTCAGGGGAACCGATAGGACTACCCGAGCTTTACGCTCGTGGCAGATTTTGGACTTGCAAAACAACGCAAGACAAGTTTTTTTGGGTTGCGCGTTTACCTGGTGGATAAAGCCTGGCAGTAAAGTCAATACTTTTGGGAACGGGAAAGTTTAATTCCGCATATGGAGATCGTGATGGCGGCACTTTATAGCCCTTCATGGGATGGCTGAAGCATATGCTTGAGGACTTAGTTTAGCGATGACCTATTTATATGGGGCTACAAGTGACTCAGGAAGTGACGTGAAATGTATGATGTGCAAAGAACTTAATTTACATTGGGAGTGGTGCTTCGCACACATGACTCACGCAGCTACAAAGTCATCATGTGGTGTAAATGGAGCTGCTAGTGCTACAGCTAACCACGAGATGGCGTAATTGATACCGCGGATGACTAAAACAATCCTTCAGGTCAAAGTGGTGTCTGTCACCGGGAACTTATTTTCCGAGCTTTGTAAGTCTAAGACTAAGGACGCCTTCACGCGACTTGTTGGATATTCTGCGTTACGTTTCCTGAGCATGACGCGTTCATTAAAGATAATTCTTGAGAAATGGTCTGCAATAAGTGCGTGGTATGAAGAGCGAGATAGTAAAGCACTTCGAGACAACCAGCCACCACCATAGTTCCCGTTGGCTAATCATCATGACGACTTGGTCCATGTGTTGTCTGTGCTGAAGAAAATTGTAGAGATCAAGTAAACATGTTAAGCAGAGCGTCTTGTTTAGGTCGAAGTACTCGTATGGTTGTGTATGGCGCGTATTCACGACCTCGACCCTGATCGGCCTTTGCCACACTACCTATCAACCGATAGAAACCCTCGATGGATCTCTGCAAGTGACCTCACACCACTGGCTGCGAATTTACGGAGGCAATTACGAGAAGAATTGGAAGAACGCTTCTCCAGCAGATATCACAATGATAAGCAGTTCCACGAATGCCAATTTGTATTTGAAATGCAGTCAAAACTCTACCCTGTATATAAAAGAACGGAGCGGAGTCTCGATCGTGCAATGAGTTCGTCGACCCGTCATCATGGGAAAAGCGGAAGGGACGTTGTGACCAGAAAGAATGATGTGAACGCAAAAATACGAAGCAACTTATTGGAATTACTTGAGGCAGTAATTGAACCCGCGGAAGTCATGAGTTTTTATTCACATCCACCTGTTGTACACCTCAGCCGACTGGAAGCAGAATTTGCGCTGAGATCAAGTCGACTGCCAACTGTAAGTAGGCAGGATCGACGCGTAGAAGAGGGACTCGATCGATGGATGGAGGATCCTGTTGATGTTGCACGGAATGAGGATTACATACCAAATGAATCAGTACTTGAGTTTTGGCAAAGACGCGAGCACGAAGGCGACTACCGTATTTTGCCGAAAGCTGTGAGAGTGCTCTTCTCATTACCATCATCTTTGTGCCACATTGAGCGTGATTTTGGTGTACGCGGGCAGATGAGTACTACACAGCGCACGACACTAGCTGAGCACAACATCGATATGTGCTCATTCTTGAACAGGAATAGCGACATGTTAACTTACTTCGGTGTGAGGAGATCCCAAAAGGACAGCATCACTTGCGCACACCTACCAGGTTCATCTTCTCCATCGACGAAGAAATGGACCATGAACTAGACGAGATGACAAGCGATCTTCTGGACGAGTTTGCTAATTGTATGTCACAACCTGACGACCTCGAGGAAACGAAATCGGGATAGTGAACATCTAAAGAAATAGTAGCATTTACGTTTTACTCGACAAGTAGCGTTGTGCTGTCTGCTCCGCTCTCAATTGAACTTGAAGCTGAAGCTCTGACACTAGTACACTTATGTCACGTTCTCGCGCTCGATGATGTAGATGGTGTGCAGGAAACCGAGCGCGCACTCGAGGTGGCCGCAATCGCACGAGGCTGGGTGCTGTCGTCCGAAGTGGTGGCGAATCTGCTTGATTGTCTTCGTTTTGTGACGAAGAACTAGTCTCTGCAGCCACGGCCGCATAAGGCCATACATCCACCACCCTGTTCAACTCGTGTGATGTCTTTAAAGACGGAACAGCTGTTGGTAACGTTTGTTGCGCTTGCTCCTTTGTCTGCGACGTAGCACTTGTGGACACCATCGCAACTGTGTGTTGCTGGTCCCTCTCCGACGCTGCAAGCACGTCAGACTCATCATCAAGGCTGCTGAATGAACAGCTCTCTCTTATAGGCAGTCGAACAGGAGAGATAGGTCGTGGTACATGTCGATAGGAATTCTCCCATGCTTCTAGCATCCTCTTCTCGACTTCAGTATCTTCGTCAGAGTCTCCTTGGCCGTCGCTGGTCCATTCGGGCTCGTAGCAGGTCGTTTGGCTTCTCTGGAGCTCAGATTTAGACTTCAGCTCACTCACGCCTTCCATAACTGTCTCGAAGATGACACCAACAGCCGACTGCAAGCTGTGCTCAATGCTGCATTGGAAGGCTTCTTGCTGCTTGGCTGGTGCACCATTTTGTCGCAACGCGTCGTGATTGGTTTGGGCCGCCTTTATCTGCAAAGCGTTGATGCACTTATTCACCTCCTTCTTCACGAGACTTGCAATAGTACTTATAAGGCCAGCAATGATTTGCTGGCTTTGCCTATCCATACGCGCGCAGTTCTTCTTGACGTTCTCACGAATAGCCGTTGTCGCGTCTGCTTGCCGTTGCACTTGTATATTTATCTCAGCCTGCGTATGTGTAAGCATTTTCTGGATGCGTGCTTCTAGTTGACGGTTTGCGTTCGTTGTTGTTTCTGCAACGAAGTCGCGAACAGATTCGTAGAGACACCCATCTACATCGCCAGCGCACCGCAACAGCTCATCGCAAGTTGACTCGTACGCCTTTTCAAGGTCCATCTCCACTGAAAACTTTATTGCAGATGCAACGCCTTCCATCGCCATATCCGCTTGATGCTTTACCATCTCTCTCGTTTCGTGATTGATGCTCTTCCCGCAAAAAGTTACAGCTAGTTTGCCCTCGACAAGCTGCTGCACATATTCCATTATTTCTGCTGAAATTCCCTCTGTCAACAATATCACTTGCAGTTGGGCAATCTGCGCTGCGTCTTGCGTGAGACTAGTTCTACCGTGAACCCGCAAGCTTGTTCATCGAAGAGTATGAGCACATGCTCCATTACTTTCGCCGCAACATTATCGGTAGACTTCTCCATTTGTAGCTGCACCATCTGTGCTGTGTTCTCTTCGAAATTGTCGATAACGAACCTGTCTTCAATAAGCTCTTGGACTTGCCCCATCATCCGCGATAGAGTGCCGTCCATGTTGCGCTCCATCAGCATCAACTTCTGCAAGACTTCGTTTTGTACGTCTTGGCCCGCCTGGGTAAGTCTGTCACTAACGTAGCTCTCGATTTGACCGCCTCGCTCATCTTGGATGTTCTGCAGGTGCTGGAGTTGTTCCCGGAGGCTGGCTTGCGTGACCGTCAGCGCTTCTACGAATTGAATAGCAATGCCTCGTTGTTGGCCCGTGAGCTGCCTTACGCTGGTCTCTGATGAGGCTTGCACAGCCATCAACGCGGCGTTCTGGGCGTGATTTTGCCCTTCCTGTTGGTACTGCAAGACAGCATGCTCTCTTGCTAGCACCTGGGTCTAAAGGAGGAATTGCTGTGCGAGCGCAGTGACGTGGTCCATGACGCTGGAGCCGAGTGCTTGATCAGAGACGACAAGCGCTGCGCCACGGTCATCACCAGCGGCGTCGATCTCTCCGTCGTCTTTTTCCACGTCACCGTCGATCACCACAGCTTTCTGAGCAGCAGCTTGAGCGCGAGTTAGCATTATCGTCGGAAGACTGCAATATATATAGATATATATATATCTATATATGCTGCCGAGATATTGATAAATTACCGCTCGACTATTTGCATACATTTCTGCCAGCCAAAGCGACGAGATTAGAACACATCTTACTGTGCAATGCATGCGCCAGCACATTCTGCCGCGAAACCGATACAACGGAAGAAGCTCCGAAACCTCGAGAACAATATTCTTAAGGTTTTTATCTCCCTACTTCGTTCCACGAACATCGTTCTTTCAATGTTCGTGCAAGGCATGGAAAATAGTGCCTGTGCTAAATGGTGGGGCAACCTCAGATCGATTTACTGGCAAATTGAGGTCAAGATCGACACATGATCACGTGTTCGTACAAATACTTTCGTCCAGCGATCGACAACACTTCATGCCTAAAGTCAGCGAAATCGACATCTACTAAGACCGTAGCCAAGAGCTTAAGCCAATCCGCTCGACGGACACATAGGTAAGCACGTCACTTCAGAAGATCCCACGGATCGAAGTGTCCTGTCCGTAAGTCGGCAAGTCTGGGCAGAGTGGGAAATACCGATCAAGTCATATATTTCTGGATCGCGATTTCTTTACAATGCTGTAAGCAAGTTTCCGACAATCTATGTGTGTTACGTCGTGCACGATGATGGCGGGCCAAACAACGAAAGGCTTCCTTCTGTACCATGGCTCGATACGTAAACCTTTGAAATTGAAGTAGTCAGCAACGACCGAGGTAGAGTGGGGGTATGCGGTTGCTCGCTACTAGATGAAAGCTCAACTAATGTAAAAGATCAGCTGTTCACCCTTTGGGATCAGTGCAGCGTCTGTTGGCAAGGCGTTTGATGAGTCATACATGGAAGGAGCTAGACCACCAGAACATCATACGTTTACTTTATTACGGCATTGATAACAGTACGTGCGCTGTAGTGGGCACATTTGGTATCTGCTTAGCAAGTCCATGCACCGAAGTGCCTTACTCTTGAACCGATGTAGATCGATCGCTGCCACGTACGGGTAATAGCACTATTGTATACATTTGCACGCACCTGTCCTATCGGCCTTGTGCATTGACATGCTGGTCGTAGTACACATACTACCAAAGCATGCGCAGTCGTCTCGAAACCTCGAAAACGTGGCAAAAGTGTGCAAGACCTCTAGACACCGCAACCAACGCCGTGACATCAGGATGCAAAACCTCTGAGCTCGTTCACGAGCTTGTTTTCAAGCAGCAAAGAGGGAAAACGGCTGGGGCAATGTGACCAAGTCATATCTCAATCGACGACATCGCGCAACAATCCATCACGTCGAACAAGAGCTCGCGCGACTCCCCATCCGAAACACCTCAAATCTTTCTCTCTCCAGCCGCTCCACACGACCCGCAGCTGCAATACGAGCCTCCTCGTCTGCTTCTCGTTCCGCCCCAATACAAGCCTCCTCGTCTGCTTCTCGTTCCGCCCGAATACAAGCCTCCTCGTCTGCTTCTCGTTCCGCCCCAATACAAGCCTCCTCGTCTGCTTCTCGTCCCGCCTCAATGCAAGCGTTCTCGTCCCGCCTCAATACAAGCCTCCTCAATCGACCCAGGTGTGTGTGTCCCGCGCACCGCTTCATTCCTAAAGATCCCCTGCCACCCCAACGTCTCACTCATGACGGCACTCTGTCCCGTGCGCGCGCTCGTCGCGGCCCTCTCACTGCTACTGCTGTCTCCCGCACTGTCGATCGCATCGCCCACCGCGACCACATTTTCGCTCACGATGGACACTGTCGACAACGACACGTTTTGCGACGCGACGAAGCAGCTCAGCGGCTACTTCCACATCACGGGGTCCAAGTCGAAGCACTACTTCTACTGGTTCTTCGAGTCGCGCAGGACGCCGCGCACCGATCCGCTCGTTCTGTGGCTCACGGGCGGTCCCGGCTGCAGCTCCATCTTGGCGCTCTTGCAGGAGAACGGCCCCTGCGCCGTGCACGCGGCCGACCTGTCGCTCGAGCGGAACCCGTTCTCGTGGACCGAGCGCGCGAACGTGCTGTGGATCGACCAACCGGTCGGTGTGGGCTTTAGCTACGGAGACGTGCGCGAGTACGACACGACCGAGACAGAGGTGGCCAACGACATGTTTGCGTTCTTGCAGGCGTTCTTTCAAGCCCGACCCGAGTACCAAGCGCAGCCGTTCTACGTCTTTGGCGAGAGCTATGCCGGCCACTACGTGCCGGCGATTGCGCACCGGATCTTCACGGCCAATGAGCACCAAGAAGGACCCGTGCGGATCAACTTGCAGGGCTTTGGCATTGGCAATGGCCTCACGGACCCCGAGGTGCAGTACAAGTACTACCCCGAGATGGCGTACAACAACACGTACGGTGTCAAGGCAGTCTCGTACGCTGTGTATCGTGCCATGCAAGCTGCCGTCGCGCCCTGTGTTGCCATGATCCGGAGCTGTCAAACCACCAAAGTCGCGTGCTTGGCGGCGCAGACGTTTTGCAATGCAGCGCTCGTGGCGCCGTACGCGGCCTCGGGCTTGAACGTGTACGACATTCGCGCCAAGTGTGAACATTTCCCCATGTGCTACGACTTTAGTCACGTGGAGAAGTTCCTGCGACTCGAGAGCACGTTAAAGAAGCTGCACGTGAGCCCGAACAGCGCCAAGTGGCAAAGCTGCAACATGGCTGTCCACGCGGGCTTTTCGTACGACTGGATGAAGAACTTTCAGCAGCTGGTGCCGCCGATGCTGGAGGCCGGCATTCGAGGGCTGGTCTATGCTGGTGACGCTGATTTCATTGTGAACTGGATGGGCTGCAAGGCCTGGACGCTGATGCTGCCATGGAGCAAGCACGACGAGTTTCTGGCTGCTGAAGACAAGGACTGGGTCGTGGACGGCAAAGTGGCTGGCAAGATCCGTCAGGTCGGACCGTTTACCTTCCAGCAAGTGTACGAGGCTGGTCACATGGTTCCTCTCGACCAGCCCAAGAATGCGCTCGCCATGCTCCAGGCTTTCACGTTGCCTGAGGAGCAACAGGGCGAGAAGGAAGCAGAGGTGACGGACTTTGCTGCGCATCAGCAGTTGGACCAGCACGTCATGAGGAAGGACGAGAGCGTCATGAGCATCATGTAAGTCAGTGGCGACGTCAGTGCAAGTAGCGGCCTGCGTCGTAGTGAACTTACCGCAGTGAGAGAAAGCACGCAGTAGTCGCTAGCTTCAGCACACGAACTTGGATGTACTATCAAAGCGGTTTACGCAAAACTTGTGCCAATATCCAGCAACTACTTCTCACCAAGCACTGCCGCAAGCAGCTTCACGCTGTGGCAAGCGAACTCGTCCTCGAAAAACTGCAGCATCGAGTCCAGCCAGGTCCCGAAGTACTTCAGGTCGACTGCAACATCTCTGTTGTGTAGCCCGGCTCTTGCAGACGACGCAAGATGCGGTCCATATGGTGGTAGAGCCTTTACGTTTTGATCTCGTCCAGCTCGGCCGTAGTAGTAGCGAGACGTGCTTTGGAATCGAAGCTCATGTGCTGCCATTCCTTTGTCAACAACGTTTGCAAGATGCTGGACCGACATTTGGCGCACGACCATAACACAGCCAATGCCGTTGTTCTTACTCGTCTGCATTCGCTTCTCAACATTCATCAAGCTGTCCATCTAGACGGACCATCTATGCCATCTATGCCATCTAGACCTTCTACCATAATTGCTTTCTTCCAAGCACACAGCAATACAGGCTGCACTTTCATCGTCCTAGATAGTTGATGGGCAAAGTGGTGCTGATGTCACGGAAAATGTCCGAATCCACAGAATGCAAAAGTCTGCTGCAGCCTCACCAGTGACTGACGCCTACATCCACTACTTGCAGCAAATCCACCTGATGGTACTCAGTCATGTGCGAGAGGATAACGGCGATACTCGACAAACGTTCACACAAACTGCCTCTAGTGCACATGCAGCATCTATCTATCACTCGTAATGGAAGGGGTTCCTCAGTCACAAATTTGATTTCTATGGAAGATTTCTCATCGTGTAGATCAGTGTGGTGGTACGTTTATCCTCATTGGAACCCTACGCGATTGCACGCAGCATATAAACTCTACTCTACGTGTTCTTCAGGAAAAAATTAGAGTTGAATAGCGTCTCATGGACGCCCGAAGACATCTCGACAGCTAGTGAATTTTTTCATCCTCAGAAAGCTACGATTGAGCAATACGAGACTCCGCAAAGACGTCTGACGACTCGACTGGAAGGTTCGCGAATGGATGTACAACTGAGATATGGATCTCCCCACTCGAGCTCGTCACCACTCATTCGCGCATGCTGGAGAACCTGTGAAATGCGATTGGACGGGTTCGGCCCGTGAATTTGCGCCGGACCGTCAAGCTGTTTTCCACAATTATCAAAGGCACAAAACCCGCCTACATCACCCAATCGCAAAAAATACATGCAATCTGTGCGCCGTTTGTGTGGCCGCATTTGTATGAATTTGTACAGGTTTGTGTGTCGCGAGTTTTTAGATCGATCGCAGTCGAGTCTGTCGGATGAGTAAATCTCAAAACCAGTACCACAAATGCACAAAAGTCCCAAAACCAGTACTATACTCAACTCAAGTATAAAAAACACGCTAAATAGTGTCAACCACATTTTACTTAACTGCAACATGGAACAAGAAACTGCTTAATTGCTAGGGATAGGCGAGGCGGCAGCAAGTCACTGCTTCACGTAGATGTCGGTCTACCTAGCAGATGCGGAGAGGGACCCATGGGCACGATGGATACGTTAACCTTCTTGATTGTCAGCTGCAACAGAAGTGATGGCTTGACGTGCCAACTACTTCCATGCGTGAAGCAGCACGCATGAAGCTGCTTTCAACCTCCTTCAATGCTGTCGTATATCGGACATCCTCCCTGCCTTGTGGCTCCTATGGCCAAGCAGCGTCGTACCAACGTACTCTGCGGCCCAACAATGCAATCACAACAGCGCTCATTACACGTATAGCTGTGGTACATGCACGCACGCAATAGCAGCAGCTCTAGCGCCTTCTTCGTCCGACATGCTTGGCCCAAATAGGTCTACGTCACGGCTTCCGTCCGACCACCACGTCGTATATTGTTCTGGAGCTTCTCGATCCAACACAATGTCGTTGCGTGCCCCGGTCTTGTTTTCGTACTTTGTCGCACGTTCCACGGTACGCCTCGAAAGATCGGGAGGGGGGCGCGTCCGTGCGAAAAAGAACAGCGGGGACAGGACAGGACCGCAAACGACCATCACTCTTCCGCGCTCGATCGAACTAAGGCAGCGTCGGTCGATCGGTTCAGCACGCCATGAGCAGCGCGCGCAGCAAACAGACGCGGCTGCTGCGGCAGGCCAGCGTCCTGCACGAGCTGCAGGAGACGCAGGAGAAGGACTCGCTCCAGGGGCGCTACGCGCGCCTCATGACGGAGCTCGCGGCGCTCTGTGGCGACCGCTGCAGCGTCATCACGACCGAATCGCTGCAGTTTTTCGCTTCGGACGGCCGCGCGGAACCCGTGCGGCTTGAGCGCGCCTCCGAGCGCGTGGACGCGCCGCAGAAGCCCAGCGCGGCGAGCAGCAGCGGCGGCAGTAAACAGGACGACCTGCTCAGTGCCGACGCTGCGCGAAGACAGCGCGTGGAGGAGCTCACGCGCTTTTTCATGGAGGCCAAGTCGGACATTGAGTTTGCGTTGGGAGGCGGACGGGACTTTGTCGAAGTGAACGAAAAGGAAAAAGATGTGGAGCGCGAGCGCGAGGGCGAGGGCGATCAGGACGAGGCGGGCGACGAGGACGGCGACGAGGACAGGCACGAGACGGTAGTGGACCCGGAGAAGCAGCTGGTCAAGATGCACGTCCAGCTGCTGCGGGACAAAGTGGACCACCGCGTGTTCAATGGGATGCTGGGCCAGATGCGGGAGCAGGACCCGGCACTGTATGGAGCAGTGCTGTGTCATCCGCTCGTGACGGGCGTAGACCCCAAGAAGGAAAAGAAGAAGAAGAAGAAACGAAAAGACAGTGAACGGAAAGAGAAGCAGCCGTCGACACAAACGACGAGCGGCGCCAGCATGCTGGCACCAGATTTGACAGTCGAGCCCTTGTCGACCGAAGACATGACGATGAACATTAGCCGATTCGTAGCCAAAAGCATTGCAGAAGGGTCGTTACAAGGGCTGATGCTGGCAGCAAAGCTGGTGTCATCGTTTATGAATCAACAGAGCGAGGAGAGTGAGGCGTTGCCGCCGACGTTCCCGCTGGCATCGCACCTCCGAGTGCTGCGCGGAGACGAGGTGCCGGAACGTAAGACGAAGAAGACAAGTGCAAAGCCTTTTACGACCAAAGAAGCTTCGACGTCGACAGTAGCAGATCAGTCTATGGCAGACACAAGCACAGTCGAAAGCACTGAAGGCAATTTCGAGTCTGATTTGCAAAGCGTTGTGCTGGAAAATACTGCAGTGTCCACCGAAATGGATTTGGTCTCTGAAAGTGGATCTATTGCTAAACTCCGTGCTCGATTAAGTCGTTTTGGGGAAGGTGAAGATGAAGCAGAGGAAAGTGGAAAAGAAAAGAACGATCGTGCGGATGGAGACGAGAGTCTTGGTGGAGAGGGCGTGGATGAAGATGCGCTGATGGCTCGCGCAATCGCTTTGTCGCTATCTTCGGAGGTAAACTTACGGAACCAAACTGAAGCTTCGTTAACTGCGAACAGCGAGAAACAGCCAGATGGAACGCAAGAGAAAAGCGAACCCTTCGTTGTGAAAACTCGTCCTCCAAAATTTTCCGCAGAAGAGTTGCTGGAGCTCGGTCCATTTGCACTTCCTGCTGAGTCGATCGCTAATGTCGACGGCGCTTCGGTCATGATGGCGTTGATAGTCCAGATGACTAAATTATGCTCACAGTATTTGCAGCTGTGCCAGCAAGGGGTTCTCCCGAATAACTCGCGCATTCAGCCGCATCCACTGACGTTCATGCTGCTCAATTCATTATTGAGGGATTTGCATACATCAACAGCTCCCCATGCACAGTGGGCTGAGGATCTGCGTTGGGTTGCAAAGTGGCGTCTATTCGTGTCGTGCTCGATGCTTTCGCTGCTTCGAGTACTAGAGGTGCACTTGTTTCACGTGGAAGTGATGGGTATTGCTCCAGCTTCTGTCGGTTTAGGGCGCATTGCCAAACTCGCTCTCCAGCCAAATGATAGCGGAGGTGGAAATGGCAATCCGTTGTTGGAGAGTTTGAAGTCACTGGTCGTTCACTACATCGCCGTGGACACTTCTCCTCCACTTGACGCCGATCAGGATGTTATTGATACGATCATTTTCTCGAGCCCTGCAGCTTGCTCCCCGGTTGATGTTCAAAAGGCTGCAGCGTACTATTTTGCCCGTATCCGTGAACAAGCAATGGCTGCGTGGATTCGTGGTCTTGCTATCTTCTACGATGACCAGAAGGAGCGGCACATGCTATTGACGACAAGGTTGGCCGAGTGCTTCAAGCTCGCGCGAAGTGGTGAACAAAATGTTGAGTGGAAGTTTCATCAACTGGACATTTTATGTGCTCGGTTGGCATTGCCGGATATGGCACAGCATTTTGTGCCCGCGTGTGTACACTTTATTGAGCACAACACAAGAAGCGATCGTGAGCATGACGATTGTGACTCTAGCACGAAACCCATTGACGACTTTACTCTACAAAATGCAGCTTCGAAGACAGGAAAGATTAAGGCAAAGTGGAATCCAGCTGTGATACATGCATCACTTGAATCAGGTACTCTAAGTGCACGTTGCCTCTACGATTACATATCGGGACATGGATCCCCAGGTCTTTTGGGTACGGTGATGGAAACTTCAGGGGACGGCACAGGCGACAATCAGCTGAATATTGACACTTTGACTAATGCGTACGAAGATATGTGGGATGTAGACCGGAAGCAAAAAGCAGAGGCTTTGGATTGCATTGACCGCTTGCCCAGTTTGATTGATCTGCTGCGCGAAAGTATCGTGTGTTCAGGATGGCACAACTTCTCTTTCAAAGACAACTACGAACTGGTACATGCCCCATTGATACCGCTTCTCGAGAAGGACGACGATTCTTCACGACAACTTGCATTGAATGCCCGGATCGTCCTGCTCCGCTCATTTCAAGATTTGATGATTCAGCGAATTGGTGGACCTCGTGGTGACGAGCCTCCTGCTCTCGAGTTTGATTCCTCGCGGTGCGCTGAAACAATGACACTTTCGGACGGAAACCGAACCGCAAAGCAATACACAGCAAAACAGTGGGGAATGGTGATGGCTTCTACCGGCTGTCCTCCCAACACTGGCATTCATGAGTGGGGGGTTCGCCTTGACCGTTGCGAGAAGGGGCATATATTCCTCGGCGTATGTACTAGAGACGCATCAGTAGCGACCTATGTTGGTGGCGACCGACAGGGATGGGGTCTTATCGGGACACGAGCGCTCTGGCACGCTCGGAGTAAGGTTCGCGGCGATTACGGGGACGGTTTTACTACTGGCAGTGTTGTGCGCGTTCGGTTAAACACAGACAGCGGAGCGTTATCCTTTGGTGTTGGTGATAGTGATTGGGGTATAGCATTTGATGGTCTGACGCAGCATGGCACTTTGTACCCTGCCATTGGTTTGTATCAAAGAGACGATCAAGTTACAATTTTACCGGTGCAGCCGATAGTAGACTCAGCTTATGGGGCGTCAACGAGTGGTAAGGTTTCGGAGCCCACAGGCATTGTGATCTCGGCTGTCCTGAAGCCCTTCTTGCACCACGCGGGAGCTTTGTTGGAGTCGTGCTGCGCATTTCTATCAGACGTAACGGTTAGCACATTCGACATTGAGTCGGAGCAGCAAGAAGCTCGTAGTGCAGGGCAGCGAGCTCGTGATTTCAAGCAAATGGTGTCTTCGCACCCTCTGTTGTTTTCGATGGTGACTCCGCTAATTAGCTCCCTTAGTCTCATCCGAAACTACCACGGCTTGTCTTCGACACTAGCTATAACTTTCGTGCCTTGGTGTATCTGCACAATGCAATGCATTGAGCGTGTAAATCAAGCTCTCCGGGCGCTGGCGTCATCTACCAACGATGACGAAGCAAGTTCTTCCGGTATGCTTGTGTTGAGCGTCGCTGGGGACTGGGAATTGAAGAGTATGGCAGCCGGCAATATCCCGGCTCAGCAATACCATCTTACTCTCTCTCAAGGCAAAGGTGGCTCGATGCACGGACGCAGCAGTGGTCCATTTACGACAGTGACGCTAAACGGTATTGCTCGGGGAACCAAGGTATCGTTTGTGGAAACGTGGCGCCAGGGAGGCACCTGCTTGGTTAAGGGACGTCTTCGAGCTGACGGAAACGTTTTCACAGGCAGTTACGAAGACACGAAGAGCCATACAAGTGGTTGTATTGTCGGAAACAAAACGTCACATGATGTCAAGGGCGCTGGTGAATGTCAGTGGGTTACAAATCAGCTCGTCATCCTCGAAATGGTTGTTGCTAACCTGCTGGGCTATTTAGGTCACACTTTGACCAGTTTGGAGAATGACGACCTTCTTGTTGGTAACGCGATTACTAGTGCTCTTGGTCCACACGATGCTGGCAATAGCGATGATGACGACGAAAGTGATGATGTGTACAAGTCAGAATGCTCGATCGATGAATACGATGAATGGGTGAGTAGCAGTTTGCTAGAGGGTGGGCTTCCCCTGCACAGCGTACAAGTACACTTGAAGGGTGTGCTCAATCGGTGCTCAGAAATGACTGCGTTCGGTCCCACCGTGGCAACGAGCTCGTTGCCTTTGCTCACAGAAGCAGCTAACAGCTGGACGCAGCTTGTATTGCCTAAGACGCTGTCAGTCCCTCTTCCGAACTTTGACACTGTACCAAACGATAGTGCGCGTGCCAGTAACACGTTCCTGAAAGACCTCACTGAAAATCGTGGTGAGGCTGCTATACTGGATGGATGGGTTTCGAAGCATGTTGGCGAATCACCTTTTGTGAGGCTAGGAGGGGAGGCTATGAAGGCTACCCGACGCACTGTTTGCGCTGCCATGATATGGCACAGCGGCTTTTTAGGCTGCGTGAAGAAACACGTTGAATATTTGCAGAGCAACTCCACGGAAAGCGATGTTCGACCGCACGACAATTTGATGCATATCTGGCGTGCCGCTCAGCGAGTCATCGAGTGGGCGATCCGAGCAAAGAATTCCATGGGATCCACATATACTGTTGTGGCTGGCCTGGTGATCCGGAAAGCTCAGTTTCTACTTGGAATCGAACCCAGCGCTAAAGCCCTGGCCGCTGCCGAGGCTGTGTTTGCGCTGACGACCGTGGACAGTGGTGCTCAGAGGACGGCACCCAAGTCAGCTGTACACGAGTGTGCTGAACGTATATTCAGCGATGTTCTTGTACAAGTAGCACGATTCGTGGAAGCTCCTATTCGCATATCGTCGCTGCAGTCCAGGATGTTAGAAAAGTGCACGGCAGCATTCTTGCGCACAATGGGCATGTTATCGTTCAGGCATTTCGTTGACGACTTGGGTAGCCCTACCCAGCGCAGTGCATTAACCTCGGAGCGTCATGAAACCGTTCAGTCTCCACTCGCGCTATCAAGTGTATTGCAGTGGCTGTCACCGACGCTGGCTGATTCCAAAGCCAATGGTGGTAATGGCCCATCGCTGGGCAAGAATTTTAGTGACTTCAATGCCAGCGTGGTGCCAGCACCTACGACTGCTCAAGCCACAAGCGAGTTACCGTATTACCTAAGCGGTCTTGGTGGCTGCGGTAAGCATCTGAAGAATGACCTCAGGGACTCATTCGAGTCATTGTACGGGTATCTGTGCGCGTCCTTGTCCAAGGCAACTTGGGCTCACGATGCTGATCTGCAACTTGTCATCTTATCAGCGTGGGGAATCATCATTCAGCCGGACGATCATTCATTTCTATCACGCGTTGGCATTTTCCGAGTGCTACAAACTGTGTTGGACGAGGCTCGTGGCTCCAGCGATTTGACCTCAGCAGGTGGCACAATTGGTGTATCACGGGCCTCCCACGATGGCGCAATTTTGGTTGCGGAAGACAAGAAACGAATTGTCCAGGCTGCGTTGAAAGTGGTGCACCTGCTAGCCGCACAAGTTGCCCATGCCAGCGACACCGCAGACGACCTCTTGAGCGCGTCAGACCTTCCGTCGACTGCAGGTCTCAGCCTAGGATCGATTCCGTTGCTGCGCAAGCCGTCAGGTCCTGAAACACTTGGAAAGTCCGTGTTTCACATGCTGTACACCGAGCTGAAGAACTCATTGGAAGAGATGCAACAGAATCGGAGTAGCGTGACTTCCGATCCTTCTGTGTTTGTGACTGATCCGATTCAGTCCAGCACTCAAAGTCCATCTAGGTCCATTCGTGAAGGTCTGGGCGATTCTCAAGAGTATTGCTTCCAGATATGTTCGCTTCTGTACTCGGTGAGTGGCTCACCTGTATGCAGGTCGCACCTTTCATCATCTCGGTGGCTACGCTTGTTACTAGCTCTCGTGGATGTGAACTCGCCTCAGATACAGCGGCGTATCCTGAAATTGCTCCGTCGTTTGCTCCCGTCACTCGATCCATCCTCCCTGAGGGTTCGATACGACGAGTTTGCAAGTTTTGACATGGACAGTGATGACGAGTACGAAGTTGACGGCCAGGACGAACCTGATCATGCAGCCACTTTGATAAACTTCTTCGTCGAAATTGTGGGTATGATTAATCCTCCTAGCGTGGCTGACGTAATGCTTCGTCGGCACGGAAATTCCAGTGAAGATAGCCCGATAGGTCAGGTGGCAGACTCGGGCTTTAACGCTGGACTCGCGGCCGACGTCATACTACTCCTTCGTTCGTTGTACGAGTCGGCTAAGTGGGCTGAGTACTTGAACAGTGCGATCACTGACGCACTTGCTTCGATTCCTCTCGCGTGTGTCACGGAGCAAGGAAGAGCCGTGTCAGAAAGTGCTGATTTCGATGTAGAAATGGAAGACGTGTCGAAGGAACTTCCGTCTTTGAAAAGCTGGACAACGCAGACGGGAAGTTTCGTCAGGGCTTTATCTGCACTATGCGTTCTAGATGGCCACATCGAAGGCCTTCACGTTGGCGGATCTGTTAAAATCATACCTCGATCTGGATCGTCCCTACAAGAGAGTGCTTTTCGAGGAGCAAGAGGCGTGATTGTTGCATATGAGCCGGAGAAGTCAGCCGCCGAGGTGGTGTTGCGTGCGAGCCGCGCAGATGAGACCGATGGCCAACAACAGTCATTACTATTGAATCGCTCCACACCGGTAAGTAAAGGTGCAGTCTCGGTGAACCAATTGACTGTTTGCCCGTACTAATCTCTCTTGACGTTTTCTTGCGAACAGACCCGCCCAGTCCGTGTGCCGATTGATGATCTGTTTGCAGTGCCAGAAGTCGAGCTACCCAGCAATGCATTTTCCGATACTGTGTTGAGATCTTTGCTCGTCGAAAGGTTCCCATACTTTCTGTCAGAAGTCAAGAAGAGCTGTCTGGAGGTGAATGTCGCTGATTCTTTTGACGAAGCTGAAGAAGAAGGTGGGATCGAAGGGGATAGTGAAGATGATGACGATATGTCCAATGACGGGTCGTCTTCGCCATCGGCGGTGGATAGTGAAATGCCCAGCTGTGCTGGCGTCGACGAATCGGATTTGGATGCGAATGCATCACCTACCCATCAGAAAGTTGGCGCTGAATCCACTTTACCCGCGGAACCTGCAGACATTATGGCAGAGATGGAGAAGGAGTCACGACTTCATCGAATGCTTCTGTGCCAGCATGGTCTTCGTGCTGCAGCCTCATTGCTGAAAAATGACTATTGCGCTGCGACATTTATCCGCGGTGTTGGTTCTGCTGGTTTGAAGAATTTGCTCATGGTCGCTACTTCCGACACACCTACAACAGCAGGAGCAGGAGATATTTCCTCGCTGGAAGAAACGTGGCTCATGTTGTGGTCCCGGTGGTATGCGATGAGGAAGGCTTATGTCGCGCCGTCACCACCAGCAGACAAGAAGGAAGACAAAAGCAAAAAAAGTAGAGCTGAAGGAGCTGACAGCTCGCTGGGCCCAATGGTCCAACAGATGATGGAAATGGGATTTCCGAAGGAATGGTGTGACGTTGCTTTAGCTCGTTGCTCTCACAATGTCGAGGCCGCAATCAACTTCTGTTTCGAACACAGCAGTGACATGGAGCATCTCGTTGCAGAGTGTAGGTCAGCACAGGGGTCTAGTGGCGAGGGAAGCTCGAAATCGACGCGAAAAGATGACTTTGAAGCTATCAGTCCGTTATTGGAACAGCTGTCCGAGATGGGGTTTCCGTTCAACTGGTGCAAAAAGGCTCTCGCTGCGAACAGAAACAATGTGGACGCAGCCTTGACGTGGATCTTATCGCATGGCGAAGCTTTGGAAGCGGAAGACCGGCGGGACGAAGAAGCGAAGCTTCGTGCTTCTGGTGAAGATATAGCAGATGGAAACCTTTCGAGTACAGTTCCTGAAGGTGAAGGTGCTGTCCTCATGCCAAACCCACTCCGAGCTGTTAGTGGTCAAGCTTGTGTCGGCGAGCACGATTTGATGGTGGAGGGCCTGGTTGGTGGCGGATTTGCTAGCGTTGGCGCGCCTGACTGCCTCGTTTCCAGTGGACGATGGTACTACGAAGCTACTCTCCACACGAACGGTTGTATTCAGATTGGGTGGGCTGACGTGGCGTTCTGCGGTGCGGCCGATCGCGGAGATGGCGTCGGTGATGGTGCGCATTCATGGGCGTACGACGGCTGGAGACAACAGCGATGGCACGGCCGCTCATCGCCTTGGGGATCTAAGTGGAAACAGGGTGATGTCATCGGTTGTGGGATCGATGCAGATGCGGGCACCATCATTTTTAGCTTGAACGGCAAGATGCGGTCAGCGAATATGGGTGTCGCTTTCAGGGCTGTTGACTTTGCTCGTGGAGTGTACCCTTGCGCAAGCTTCAACCGAAGAGAGCGATTGCAGTTTAACCTTGGTGGATCGCCGTTTAAGTTTCCACCTCCGCCGGGCTTTCAGCCGATTTTGAACGTCCTCAATGGGGCGTCTGATCTTAGCTCTGTTCCCAAAGGTTTCGACGTGATTGGGTCTCGTGAGGATTGTTTGGAAGAAAGTGTGGGTGAAGAAAATTACTCAAATGACACCAGGTACTTCGCACGAGACATGCCTCCATCCATGCTTCGAGGTTCTGGCCACGGTCGCAGCAGTGGTTTTGTGTCTGGCTCATTTGTGACGAAGGCGGACGCCTTAGCTGACATTAAAAGCCTGCCTGATAATCGCGTGTATCTCGAGCTCCTGGTGGTCACGCGCTCGCTCGCAATCTTGCAGGCGAGGCGAGCTCTGTTGACATTGCTTGCTAAATGGCCAACGGGAGTGGTTGGGCCATTCTCCGTGTCAGCGTTTCTATCTGGAGACAGTGCGTCCACGGAGAGCGAAGATTCTTTGAGGTTCATTGACTTTATTAAGCTCCTTTCGAGCTCAAGCGCGCTCCACGTATCCACGACGGTGCCCAGCGCGTCAATAACACTGCACGACGATGATGCTTTTTACCTCGTCGATTATGGCGCCACCGGTCGTTTCGCGCTAGACTTGCTGTCTGGCGTTGTGAAATCGGCACTCGACAAGGCTCTCTCAGTGATTACGACTGGTGTGTGCGATCACATGCCTTTGGTGGATACGATCCTTTCCTGTATTTCTTCAGAGGTGAAAAGGGCTTCTCAACGCCAGTACGCTAGGATTCCATGGAACTCATCGGAGGCTGCCATGACTGCAACGCTTTTGCAGATTACAGTTGAAGCAGGTCAGACGTGGTCTGATAAAGAGATGTTGAATCACCCGAATCTCTTTCTTGCAGAGTGGATCAGTGGCTTATTGCTAGAGTCGTTAGAAAAACACAAGGAGCGGCTTCTATCGCCAACACATGACAACATCCGGCAACAATTGCTGGAAGCGTGGATTTCGTCGCTGAAGTCGCCAAGCATGTGTGTCAAAGAACGCGGGGCAACTATCCTGGGAGGAATCCTACAAAACGTTCTGCCAAGATCATGTGGAGTTGCTGGTGCAAACGATATTGGTGCACTCGATGGCCAATCACATGCACGATTAAAAACGGCCTTGGAGGTGCTTCCTCTACAGCGACTCGTCGACCTCGCTCAAGAGCGAATTCTCCGTGAGTATCCGAATGTTCCGGTGTGCTCTAAGTACGTGCAAAGTCTGGTGGAGCTTGTATCGGCTGCTGGCTTAGCCATGAGCGCTGTGGGAGACTCTACCGACAAACTGTTCGACAACAGCTCGTCTGAGCGGCTACAAGCTTGCAAGCGAATCGAAGCAGATCTAGCGCCGATTGATCAGAATGAGTACGAAGAAGTGATGGCCGCAAAGAAGCTACGATCACAACAGGCTGCGGAAGAGGCCGTGAAGCAGGAGAAACTTGCGGCCGAACGTGCGGCGACTGCGGCCGCGGAAGCGCAAAATGAACGAGATTCATCATCAAGTCTGGGCGAATCAAGCTTCACCGCCAGCGACGCCGATATTGTAGCCCAAGGTGCCAACTCAGAAAGTGTTGCTGAAAGGAGCAATGGTGCCAATGGTGTCACCAACATGGAAGTTGACAACAGCGATTCCGAAGAAGCCTCAGATATCACGCTGTCGGCAATCGCTAACATGGTAACTGAAGATGGCGATGTGATGGCAGCCACTGCTGCTATTACCGCGGTTTCCGGCGATCGTTTAGTTATCAAAGGACCGGGTAGACGAACGAAACGGCCCATGCCTGAGCTGCTTCAGCACAAGACAGGCACGGCGTTTGAGTTCCGTTTACCTGAGAAAGACCCCGACTTCGATACGTCTTTGCTGAACACGCGGGAAATCGACATGTTAGAGGCTGCAAAGCGTGGTATCATGGGAGACGAACCGAGAGGCTGGAGGCATGGCAACGACGTCGGAGTGCTCGCTGATGCGCACACCGAGCTATGGAGCGGCACGTTGACGCAATTTCGGTTACGCCAGAAGAAAGGAGAAGGAGATCAAACCGAGTTGAAGGTCGGATGTAAGGTAATTCGTGGGCCCAATTGGAAGTGGCGCGATCAGGATGGAGGCGAAGGTAGTGTGGGTATCGTGGAGGGTGTGTCACCTTGGAGTGGTGTAGATGGAGAAGGTATGTCAGTGCGTTGGCCGAACGATTCTCTATACACGTATCGCTGGGGAGCAGACGGTAATTTCGACCTGATTCACGTGGAAGTGGATGAAGATGGCAACATCACGCACCAACATGCTACGCCAAAAGCGAAACAAGAGGACGAGGGGTCGTTCGGATCCGAGCTACACCTTGGTGTACTTCTATACCTCTCTGCTGACGAAGAAGCTGAGCCAAGCAACGGCAATGGGGAATCGAAGGTGGCTGGATCGATGGAGTGGCCTGACTACGGAGCTGCTGTTCGCGTCGTTGGCATCAGGTATGCTGACGGGTCGTTGAGTGTCCAAGAGTTACAGCTCACTCGTGGCGATCCCGACATGGGATGGATGCTCCGCTTTGGAACGGAAAAGTGGCAACCTGGCACAAAATACATGCTGCGCCCACTCACACCACTTAACTCACCAGAGACAGCTCCCCACGATGCATCTGAGGTGGACACACTTCGTGGTGAATACTCGCATTCCGGGTATAAAGATGGAGAGCTTGTCGAAATTCGTGGAGAGCTACAGGTGTCGACGAAGTACTTGTTCACGATGGATCTTTACAACCACTTCTCGACGCTCGGAGTCTCACCCGATGGACTGTCGGTCACGTGTCACAGTGGAGAATCACGAAACCTTGCACTAGGAACGGTAGGATTTGCCTCGGGTATTCATTACTGGGAGGTCCACGTGGAGCAAGCAGAGTTCGGTAGTGTGTTCATTGGCGTGTGTGAAAAGGCTGGCCCGCCAGGCTCCCAGGCTGCACTGTCTAGCCGATTAAATAGATGGCACGGATGGGGTTTTGTAAACTTCCGTGCAACATACCACAATAGTACAGAGCGTATCTACGGCGACCACTTCAATGCAAGCGATACCATTGGCGTGCGGCTCGATATGGAACAAGGCAAGCTGTCATTCTTCATGGATGGCATAAAGTTTGGCGAACACATTGTATCTGATTTGGGCGTTGCATTCGAGAACATGAAAGGCGAGCCCAACTCGCGTACCCTGTACCCGTGCATCGGTATGCGGAAGGGTGGGGACCGAGTCACGCTTAATCAGAAGTGGGTATCGATGCCTGGAGTGTCTCCACGTCAGATCCTTTCGGATGCCGTTGATGTTGGCAAAGCATTGCACTCCTGGTATGCCTCGACGTTGCAAGAAAAAGCTACGGCTACAGTCGAATCTCTAGCTGGACCCTCCTCGATGAAAACTGGCACACTCCTCGCAAGGACACCGACGCCAGTAGAAGCTCGTGTGAAGCTGCCGATCAAATTGCTTTACGAGAGCTGGCTGGAGTGGAAGCAATGGAGTGATAATCACTGGCAGCGGTGTCATGTACGACCACGAGGAATCTCTGTCGACTTCGACACGTCGCCTACTGCTTGTATCCGTGTGAGTAATGCTGCTGGTCTAGGCGCTCCATTCTTGGCTGGTGATCGCGTCCGTATGTGTTCCAAGTGCGGGCAAGAGTTGAACCAACCGGAGGAAGCTGTTGTGTTGGGCGTATATCGTGGCTTCCTTTGGTACCGCACGGAAACACAAGGAAATGAAGGCGCCGATGAAGGACGAACGTGGGCCTGGTATTGGTCGCCAAGTGAGCTGCCTGAGCTCCTTTTGATTCGGCGTGGTGGTAAGGACATGACACTGGTCGAGAATAGTGCATCCGATGTGTCGGACTATGAAACTGCAGCTGAGCACAGTCCATTCGAGCCTCGCTCGACACTAGAAATGCGTGCAAGGACGGACTTCGCTGCATTTGTAGAGCTAGCTACACGGTCGCATTCGGCCACGTCGGACATGCAGTTGGTTGAGCGGCTGAATGCCTATTGCGCGGCGATTGGACTTGACGTGACGAATCTGAGTATCACAGATGTTGTGGTTCCAGGGGAGATCGACGAAGACGACGACAAACTAAGTGCGGCGCACGGACGTCCCCGGACGCGTTCACTAGTAGTCGATGACTATTTCACGTCGCCGACTCTGAAAAATATCACGGGTCCCGAGTTACGTGCACGCACTGCAGTACTAAGGGTTCTGAACAGCAAGATTCTTCGAGTGCTCCCGTTTATTGCAATCCAGCCGGACGATGGAAGCAGTACCCAACCGATCGAAGTCGCAGGCGGTGCTGGAATGAACACTTTTACCAAGGGGTCGGCCGCCTTTTTGTCAACGAGTATGAAATTACGCTCGCTGCGACGACTAGTATTTACTAGCACCAAACGAGCCTTCTGGGATGACGTACTTCGGGCTACGACGACAAGTACGCCACTTCCGTCCGATGAATATGAAGATCCACGCGAGATCCGCGTTATTCGAATCAACCGAATTCAAGCGCAAGCTTCGAAGCTGAGTTTGCTTTCGCAACCCGGTGATCGATTACGCCGTTCCGTGTTTGGCCAGCTCTACCGAGAGATGCGCGTGTGGAGCGACAGCTTCTTCCGTCGTGCCTACTGCGGAAAGGGTCATGGTGGCCAGCGACGTGCTTTTAAGGTCAAGTTTTTGGGAGAGGGTGTAAATGACTACGGTGGACCGTATCGTGCGGTCTTTGAACAGATCGTGGATGAGTTGCAGATGGACAATGTGGAATTGTCTAAGGGTGAGCAAGGCTTGCTGCCACTGCTGATACCGTGCCCGAATCGCCGGAGCACTACAGGCAGCAATCAGGACAAGTTTCTGTTGAACCCCTCTTGTGGCACCACCTTGTTGACTAACGGGCCTATGGCATTGGACCTACACCGTTTCCTTGGAAAACTGATTGGCACAGCAGTACGTCACGGCTTACAGATGGGGCTGGATTTGCCTGCGCTCGTTTGGCGACCATTAGCTGGGCTTGAAGTCAGCCGAGTACACCTGGAAAATATCGATATTGCAGCGGCCAACAATTTGTCCCGCGTGGAGGAGCTCGACTGTGATACTGAAACAGCAGCTCAGGAAGCAGAAGAGGTGCTTGGTTACTTGACTTTGTCGACCACGTTGAGCGACGGCGTTGAGGTCCCCTTGATACCCCAGGGCGAAATGATGCCAGTGACTTTTGAGAATCGCGAAATGTATGTGCACCTCGTGGAGAAGACACGACTGACAGAGAGTAGCCAACAGCTCGCTGCACTCAAGCACGGCTTAGCGTCCGTGCTTCCAATGGAGTTGGCGCCATTGTTTACACCGCAGGAACTCGAAGTGCTGATCTGTGGAAGACGCGAAGTGGACGTGGATTTGCTGCATCAATGTACGGAATATAGTGAAGGAGCTACTGAGACGATGCCGCATGTGCAACACTTCTGGGAGGTGCTGCGGGAAATGACAAGCGAGGAGAGGACATCGTTCTTGCGCTTCGTGTGGGCGCGCAGTCGCATGCCCAACAGCGCCAAGGACTTTCCGATGAATTTCAAGCTGCAGGCCGCATTTGACCCTGGCGCTGTCGGCCAACCCGACCAATACCTGCCCCACGCGCAGACGTGCTTCTTCGCGTTGCGACTTCCAGCCTATACGAGCAAAGAGGTGCTGCGGGCCAAGTTGCTGTACGCGATTCAGAACTCGCCAAACATGGACGCCGATGTGAGGCTGCACAACGCCGAGGGCTGGGCCGATGCGTGATCGCCGACACGCTCTTCTTGCACTCAGATGGCACTTGCGTATGCATATATTTCACACACAGTTAACAACCAGACACTGCTCTTGCGTTCCAACGTCTCACTCCTTTTCGATCTTGTCCAGCAGCACGACTTGGCGCGTCACTCGTAACACACGTCAGTACGTCCGCACCGCTACTTCCCACTGGACAAAACATAACACACGTCAGTACGGCCGCCCGTTGCTTCCGATTGGGCAAAATTCGGCATCCCCACCGAAAGCCCCTTCACGCCATGGGACATCACGTGCTCGCGGCGCTGTTCGCGCTGCACGCGGCAGCGCTCTACTTGTTCACCACGGGCTTCTTTCTCACTCGCTTCGAAGTCCCCGACGTAAGCACGTGCCACATGCTGCCGTCCGACACGGACGTCGCTCTCTCTCGTCTCCGTCACGGCCACAAAAATGCATCGATATTGACCGGCGCTGCTCGAAACGACTGCTGGATGCCCCGTCGCTTCCGTCGCGTCGTCTTTGTCGTCGTGGACGCGCTACGATTCGACTTTGCAGTCTCTGGAGCGACCGGGCGGTCGACGTTCTATAGCGACCGACTGCCAGTGCTCAACGAGACGCTGGCGAAAGAGCCGGGACACGCGCTACTGCTCAAGTTTGTAGCCGACCCCCCCACGATGACGATGCAGCGCCTGAAGGGACTGACAACGGGCTCGTTGCCGACGTTCTTGGACATTAAGGACAACATGGCCTCAAGCAGTCAGATCGTCGAGGACAATTTGCTGCGTCAGCTGCGAGCTCAGCACCGCGGCGTCGTGTTTATGGGCGACGATACGTGGGACGCGTTGTACGCGCGCGAGTTTACGCGTAAATACGCATTCGACTCGTTCAATGTCAAAGATCTGCATTCGGTCGATCGCGGCGTGACGACGCACTTGTTCCCCGAGCTCGACAAGCCGGATTGGGACTTGCTCGTCGCGCACTTCTTGGGCGTCGACCATGTTGGACACACGCACGGACCTAGCTCTGTCTTTATGGCCCAAAAGCTCGATGAGATGAATGGCGTCTTGTCGAAGCTGTTGCAGCATTTGAAAGACATGCCAGGTGGAGAAGATGTGCTGCTAGCTGTGCTGGGAGACCATGGCATGTCGGCTGATGGCAATCACGGTGGCGCAACTGACGACGAGACTGGCGCTGCACTCTTTTTGTACAGCAAGGCACCGCTTGTTGTTGCTGCAAGCGAAGACAGTGAGGGTGGAAACGAGGAGCTCCAGAAATATGCAAAGACGTTGCGCGACAGCTTGCAAGAAGTTCCACAAGTTGACCTCGTGCCCACGCTAGCGCTGTTGAGCGGCTTGCCAATTCCTTTCGGAAACCTTGGAAGCGTTATTCCGTCGCTGTTTTTCGTGCCCCCGCCGTCATCTGACGCCGTCACAAACAGTGCGTTGGCTGCATTTCAGACCCTGAATCGTGCGTTGCGACTGAACCTCGACCAGGTGCGGCGTTACCTGCTTCGGTACTCATCCGCGTCCAAGCTGCCCGAAAGAGCGTACGATCAGCTCGAAACGCTTTTTGACGAGATTGTGCGTGTTGAGGATCAACTGACACGAGTGCAAGGAAGTGGGGAAGTCCCTGCCTTGTCTGAATCCGATCTTTTGCTACTACTACGTCTCCACCACGATCTATCAAAGCAACAGCAGCAATACCTACGTGAGGCGCTATCGCTAGGGCGTTCCATTTGGACGCAGTTTGATCTGTGCAGTATGGCCTGGGGGCTAATACTGCTTACATGGGCCTTTGTCGTTGGCGTTATTTCTACTCGAAGTGCCAGTGCTCATTCTAGACGTGCGTCGTGGAGTCTTCGACTTGGCGTCATTGCTGGGATGACCAGCGTGCTTTTCGTTTGCCCAGCAAGTGTCAATCTACCGCTTCTTCCAGCAGCCCCATTCTCGCGTGGTCTCGTGGCTCTCTCTTGCACCAGCCTAGCGACTATGACTGTACACCTCATGGGCCAGCGCAAAACAGGAGCGGGTGTTGACGGATCAAAAGCAAACGTGGAAACACTGCTGTCTCCAGTTACGGGGGCTTGGGTGGTATCCGCTGCTATTGTGGTGCTCCACGCGCTTGCACTGCTCTCCAATAGCTACATCGTGACAGAGGACAAAGTCATGCTGTACTTGTCCGAAACCACTGGGTATTTCTTGCTTGTGTGCGCCCAGCGCTCGGTTATCAAACGGAGCGTCGCCACGGCTGCCGCGCTAGCTTTCATCGTTGCAACACGACTAGGCAGCGCGGTAGAGCCACCCAATATTATCAAGGTATCTGCGACTTTGGGGCGAACTTTTGCTCCGCTCGTTGTCATTGCTGCTCTCGCTGTTGGCTCCTCTGTGCTTGTGACCAAACACACAAGCCACGAGCTCTCTCTCACGGGTCGACTAACGCTTGCGTCATCGTTATTGAGCTACTGCGTATGTGCAATCTTTTGGGCTGCATCGCCCATCCAAAGTACCTTCTGGAGACTGTGGCTGCCGCGATCTGTGTATCTGATCTTCCTGGGAACGCTCAGTTGCCTGCTGTCGCGCACTGTACGGCCAATCATGCGGACGTTCTCTTGTGGACAAACAAAACGGCGACGGACATCTGACAACTTGCTGTTGGCCTGGCAGTTCATTCCAGCGTTCATGCTAGTGCTGGGACCCACGTCTCCGTTGTCAGTATTATGTCTGGTGGTACAGTACCTGAGCTTGTCATTCATCGCCTCTTGCTATCGGTCCGTTTTTCCGGCATCAGGCAATATCGTGACGCCATGGGTACTGCTCTGGGCTTCGTGCTCCTACCAAGCGTTCTTCACAACGGGCCATGCAAACACATTTACGAGCTTGCAAAATGCCGCCGGTTTTGTGGGCTTCGACGACTTCAGCTTTTACGGTGCAGGCGTCCTTCTCGGCCTCAACACGTTCGGCTGCTTTGTGATAGCCATACTGGCGCTGCCTTGGTTGACATTGGATCGACCTTCTGATGGACGCACAGTGGCTCTTGCTTTCTCGGCGTACTACACTCTCAATGCATTGGTATCGACGCTGTTTGTCGCGCTCCAACGACGGCATTTGATGGTGTGGGCTATCTTTGCGCCCAAGTTTATCTTCGACGGAGTGACCTTGTTGGTTGTCGATTTTTTGCTGCTTCTATTGTACGCACCATTTTCATGGCATGCTCAATGCATTCACATCGATTCGAGTAAATGATATGAGTAGTCTTCGTGAACTACCTGACTACAACTGCTTTGCTTCACATCATGACGAAGCCGCCGTCTTTGACCTCTCGTCCTCACCGCATCGTCATGGTCACAGCATGCGCAACAACATCATCCCATTCGTCACTGTGTACTTCGTCATTTGTATCTGGTTCCGCAGAAGGAGCTGTGACCTCGCGGATACCGTTGCATGAAACCATGATGTACTCGCACGTGCTCGCGCCGGTACCCGGGTCGGCAGGTGATGGCTCCTCGATATAAAACCCTTCAGTGATTGCTTCCCACGGTGGTGGGGCCAGCGGAATGCTGCTTTGTAGTGTGATCCCTCCGTTAGCACAAAGCGCGACAAACTTCTTGAACGATACTTCCCGCACGTCACGGCTTGCGCACAGCAGGCACGAATAGACCGTTGGCAAGTCGTCATCTTTCCTTCGATCAGGGTGTCTTGGCGTAAGTAGCGAAAGAGCTCTGCAACTCATGCAGTTGCAAATCACGATGCAGCCATTGTATTGCTGGAACAAATGCGCAACCAGTGGTGAAAGCAAAGCTTCCAGTAAAGTCGCTGAGCTTAGCTGGTATGCAGCATCCGTGAATACCGATGATACGCGCGATCTTAGCGTCATCGTGATGCGTTTCGCTGAATTTGACAGCATCGACGTGCCAACAGCGGCGATATCCGGGAAGCTTCGTGTAATGGTGAGTGGGTTGTTTCCATCGTTGACAATTAGCTTTGCGACCACCCCTTGAGGCTGCACACACACCAAAGTTAGCAATTGTAAACGACAAGAATCATCCGGTGGCGGTGATACCTTGATCTCTACATCTGCTGGGATGCCCTCAGTGTCGAATTGTAGACCGAGCTCCATAGCTTCTTTTGCACTTAGCAGCACTCGGACGCCGACACTTCGTCCAGGTTTCTACAGTGTACATGCATAAACGTTAGAAGAATGCTCGAACGACCTATTCAAGGCGGCAACAACAACTCTGCACCTGAAAAGTAGATATCTGACTTTGTGAAGCCGAACGCACGAAAAGTGGATTGACATATTCCATATCGTTGTCTTTCCGCACGAGCGTTTTCTCTTCCCCAAGGCCTCGCCCGGAATCCCTCGCCGTATAGTCGCAGTAGAGCGCTCGAGAGTGCCCGAACGTAGCGCCATCACTGTCTTGTTCTTCTGATGTATGCACACTTTGTTAGCATTAGCAGAGACAGGTGTGACTACTTCAAACACGCACCGATCGTCGCGGTTTGCTCGATGTATTCTCGTTTTACAGTTCTTACAACAATATCGCGCTGCGTTCTGAAGTACTCGTCGACAGTTCGAGGTACCGCTTGAGCGTCTGGACTACCTTGAGTGCTTGCAAGTGGCCTCAAGGCGTCATCTTCACCATCTGCCTCGCCAACGTCAGCATTTTGACTCGGGATGCTTTTCGTCGGAAATGTCGATGGCGGATTCTGGATCTCTACAAACTTAGCGGAAACAGCGCGTGATGGAGGAAGACATGGATACCCCAGCACCAGCTTTAGGTTCTTTGCTGCATTGCCACTTTGTATAAGCGCTCTCGGGTACACCGGGGCGCTCTGTGACTGCCCCCAACTTTTACTCTCGACGATGTCATGCGACTTCACATCATCCCGCATCATCAACATGCGGCGATTTTTCATACTGCTTACCTCAGCGTCACTCCAGCGGTGGCCATCTAGCTCGACTGGCTCGCCCAAGTAAAAAAGTACCTCCCGTCGATAGTCTGGTCGCCGTGCAATCGGATTGAACTCCATCTTGAGGTACGTGAGTCGCGAAAGTCCAGTCAACAACTCCATTTCCGTGATATCTTCGACCAAGTTGTGCGAAACGTCGAGTCGTTCTAGCGACGTGAGCGTCTCGATCCCTTTCAATGACACGATCCGGTTCACCGCTAGATCCAGCTCCCGCAGTCCACGCAGCGCTTGGACCGGCGGCACTCGCGTCAGCCGATTATGGCACAGCTTCAGTAACTCAAGCGATCTCGTCGTCACGTGTGCATCAAACTTGTGAATCTTGTTCCAGCCGAGGTCCAGTATCTTGACCGCTTTCAGTAGATTCACTGACTCGTCTACGCGCTCCAGTGCACAGCAGTTCATGTGCAGCTTCAGCAACTTCCTCCACGGCATCGCCCGACCAGGGGCCAGCAACTGACTCAGCGCCGTTGCGTCCGTGTGCTCGATATGGAGCTCCCGCAACTGACTCGCGAAAAAGTGCACGTGCTGGAGCTCCGTCACGTCGGCGTTCAGCGCTTCCACGACCTTGAGCGACGGGAAAATCTCCACTTGGATGGGGCTCTGAGGCCCCTCGACGTCCTCCGATAGACCGACTTGCTGTGACTGGTTGTGCACGCGCAGACGTTGCACTTCCCGTAGAATGGTCGACAGCTTGAGCACGGGAATGTGCGCGCTCGCCTTGACCTTGAGCTGTAGCTGGGGCTGGATCGTCCAGGCCTCGACGATCTGCGTACTGTCGTCGCGTCGCGGCACGAGCGCGTCGTGGAGACGCGACGCCAAGAGGTGGACTTGCGACGCACTTAGGACGACAAAGGGCTGCGCGCGGCGGGACACGTGCTGCTGCAGCGTCTCTTCGAGCGTCTTGAGGTACGTGTCGTCGTCCAGGGACTCGTCAATGACGATACTCGCGTCATTTGGTAGTGCCGCGAGGCGCGTGGCGAGCGGTGGCGTCCGTCTCGCCAGCGTCGCGCGCACTTCAAGACGGTGGCCGCTGTCCATGTGCGTCGTCGTGGCGCGCAGTGGGTGGTCTTAAGTACGCAGCTGAGGCGCTGGGACATCTGAGTCTGCGCTCTCGAAAGAGTGACCGGCGCACTTTGCAAACGTGATCCGCACTTAGCCGACCGCAAGGGGAGAAAGCGAGAAAGAGAGAGAGAAAAGCTCACACAGAACGCCACTACCGCTCCGCCCGTTGTCGCTGAGCAGACGCGGCGATCCTTTGGCTGGCGAGCACGCGGCCGAGCTACAGCAGGTCTAGGGGTTCAAGCAAGGAAGAACGGCAGGCGTCGGTGACCGCCCGCGACGCACGAGGAGACGCGTCGGGCTTAGGCAGAAGAAGGCGACCGCGTGCAGCAACTTTACAGCGCGACTCGGCGCTGCTGTCGGCAACCGTAGCAGCAGTAGCAGCCGCAGTAGCAGTGGGACACGAAGTAGCAGCAACTCAAGCAGCAGTTGCACGAAAGCACTGCGCCTAGTAGACAGCAGCCTCGCGGCCGCTTGCACGATACCCGGTCTACCCAGCCCCAGCAGTCCCGCAACGAGCAGCAGTGGACAGGAGAAGAAGCTGCACGGGCGTTCTATGGACCGTGCCCCTGTGAACGACAAGGACAGTCAGAAGCGACGCAAGAAGAGCTCGGCAGGCCACGTGGACGCCATGAACGACGAGCAGCTCGAGCTGTTTCACGTGGTGCAGGAAGACTTGTGCCACAAATCGACTGTCGGCTGGCAGAACGCGGTCAAAGTGCTCAACTCGGCCTACCAGCACCTCGAGCGACCGGAAAGCCAAGCTTTCCTGGATGACGCGTTTTCCAAGATCATCAGCATCATGCTGGACCAGCAGTACGTGCTTACGATCGCTTGCGTTGCTGGATCTTCCGCTGATCAGTCTTGTTATGGATTTGTTGCTTGCTGCTCCTATTGCTGCTGCTGTTGTTGTTTTTGTATTGCTACTTAGTGCGAGCAAGATCGGGTCGTTTGAAAAGTCGTGTGTGACGCAGTGCTTGTCGCTGGCGGTTCCATTGGTAGTCGCTCAGCTGAAAGCAGGCAAGTACTTCCAGGCGCTGCCGGTGCTGACGATGCTGTTTAGCAAGAAGAAGACGTTTTATAAAGACCTCCGCACGTCAGCAATGATTGGCAGCTACTGGAACAAGGTGCCTGGGTCGCCAGAAGTGCGGGCGCAGTGCATTGAGGCGTTTTGCGAGCTCAAAGGGTTTCACTTGCTATTGAGCACACTGGAGCTATTGATGAACAATCGACGAGAGGGCGACGACCTTGAAGCTGTCATGGATAGCGAGGATATCCGTATTCTCTTGCAAGCGCTGTTGGAGTTTCGAACGTTTGTACCAGAGAGCCTCTGCACTAAGATCTCCGTGTTGATCATGACGTACTATACAAAAGTTTCGGACTCGGTGCTGAAGAAAGAGTCGAGTGACGCGGTGGGGGCCGTCATCAGCACCATTCGAAGATTTGTGGACGCAGGTGTTGTTTCGTCCGAATCGATTAATGCGTTATGGCTTGATATTACGGAAAGGTACGTGGAATCGACCTCCTTGCCCCTGCGGCTTTTCGGCCTGGAGCAGATCAACCAAATTGTGAACTGTGCTCGAGCATCACGAGCTCTCCCTCCACGCTACTTCGTCCGGAACGCTGGTACAGCCGCAGTCAATGGAGTGTACTCGCTAAAGGCTAATACCTCGTCGGCGACGTACGTTTTCCGGCAGCAAGAAACGGGCCAGGTGTTTACGCTCTTTTGTTGCACAATGAAAAGCGGTATGAAGTGGTGGTTTATCTCGGAGGCCGACAAGATGCAGCCTGGGTCGGATCAAGATATTGATTATTACCAGCACCAATCGCAGTACGAAGAGTACTTGCCTCCGACACACAACTGGATTCCTACTGGAAAAGGAGAGGGTCCAGCTCCTGAACTCGTTGCGGAAAGCATCCAGGAGAATGGTGAGGCGAGTGTCACTCGACTTGACAATATTTTGAGCGCGTGGGTGGTAAACAAAGCGATTCTCGAGGGAATCTTTGGTGACAGGATCCATCGAGAGATCGTATCGCGCAGTGCGTTGCTAGTGAAGTTTTTGGCAGAATCGAACAGGTTGGATACGGACTCCATTGATGTGATTTGGCAGTCTTGTATACAGAAAGACCAAACTCTGGTGCACGAAATCCACAACTTACTGATCGCCACGGTACCATTTCTATCAAATGAGCTGCTATTGCACCTCGTGAAGAGTATCCACGCATCGTTGTCGCGAAGTTTGGAAAAGAACGAGTCTTTTCCGGAGCTAGTTACATTTTTGCAGCGGCTAGCGACTAACTCTCCTAGTTTCCTGATGGATCGCAACGTGAACGTCACGACTGCAATCTTGCAGCTGCTCTGGTCGATTCAGATGCACTGCAGCATTGCAAACATCCGGTTGAGCAGAAGCCTACGCGATTTTTTCCAAGAAGGGCTACGAAGCGAATACGGGGAGCCGCTGCGAAAGGCATTTTTGTATGAATGTATCGATGGAATCAAAAAGTCTTGCTCGTTGTCAAGTCCGGCACTAGATTCTGTACCGTCGCCCTCTTCTGCGACGACCCTTTCAGCTCCTGGCACCGTTACGTCAGCGGAGTTGACTAGCAAGTGTTCAACAGCCTCCAAGTCATTGGAGCTGCTGAAATTTTTGATCGACTCGTACCGCACGGATCAGGCTCTCGTGGTAGAATCGCTCAATTCAGAGCACGGTTTGGTTAGCTTGTTGTTTGACGAGCTTGCAACGTTTGTGGCGCGCCGAACCGATAAGCAGTCCCCTAGTTATCGCACCGCCGTCGGCCATCGTTTAGAATTGATACATTACGTTCATGTGAAGTCGCCGAAGCTGGAACTGCTGATTCCGCAGATCGAGCGTTTGTGGAACGTGCTCTCATCTTCACCTGCCGAGCGTGAATTGTGCCTGATATTTTTTAACCAGACAAGCATGCGCCGCAACCAACAAGTCGGAGCAGCACCTGGTGTCAACACACGAGGCGGGTCAATTAGCTCAGCCTTCAATTTAGACGTCTGCTTCTACGTTTTCAACGAGCTGCTGTGCAAACAAACAGACTTTCGGACGCTAGGATGCATGGGCTACAAGTGTTTTAACACCTATTTCGTGGGCCTGAATGCGCAGCCCAAACCGCTGCAGCACTTTGAAGAGTCGTCTGAAAGTGACACGTTGAATCTACTCGGAATGGACGCTTTGTGGCGTATTGCATTTGAAGCCCCTCTAGAAGTTGCCGAAATGGCTACACGCGAGTTGCTTCGTGTGTACGGACGGCCGATGACCGATCTTGTTTACGAAGGCGAGAGCAAATCCGACGACGGTGTGAAGGATTTTTTGTCACGTGTATTTAAACAGCTATCTACGGTAAAGGACAGCTCACTGGACTCTCTGAAGTTGGTGCAGCAATGCGCGAGTCTGTTGACAGGGCTAGTGTCTAGCGCTCGTAAGCAGCAGACGTTTATTCCACATGGGTTAAGCGGCCGTGGCGCGTACTTCACGGTCACGGTGATAGCCCAGCGAATACCTTCATCCAACTCGAGCGGGTCAGGAACGTCTGCGACAGCAGCTTCAAACCACGACAACGCGGTGCGAACGATACAAGCCTCCGTATACTCCAACCAGGCCCTCTGGCTCTTCCGCAAACAGATTGAAAAGCTAGTGAGCCATCCGATGGAGCGGACGAAGATCCTCTCGTCTGGTTCGGCAGTGTCAGGAGATCACAAAACACTTGCCGATTTGCAGATCACGGAGTCTAGTGAAGTGCGAGTACTGATGTTCAATTCGGTTGTGCAACGTCCTAGCTCCAGCCCAATGGACCAAGATCACTGCATGGCCACGACCAGCAACGGACCATCTTCTTATCCGCTGTCTTCTTCATTCACGCAGCACCCCGGGCTAGTGGTTGCGCGTGATGCGTCTTATTTCGAAATACTGTTTCGTGTGCTCGACATTGTGGAAGGCCATTCAGTCCACGAGTTACTCTGGGCCTTCTTGAAGCAAATCCCTACAAGTGAGGAGCTCCTTGACCGTGTTTCCAACATCGGTACGGCTGATAAAAGCGATGAGCATGTGAGCACTGGCCTCTCTTCGGACCGGCCTGGTACTGACGGAATTGAATCCAACTGGTCGTCCTTGTTGAAAAGAATGTCGTCTCATCAGGCTATTTACACGCTACAAATTATGGATGCGCTGCTTCTCCCCTCGGAAATCGCAAAGACCCCGTTTGCACAGACGTATCTCCAGCGCTTCATATCCGGGGGTGGATTTCACGAAGTGCTATCGTATTTCATCGGTGCAAACTTTCACAAGAGTTCTTTCAACGAAGGTGCCGCAGTGGCACTTCGTATCTTGAAGTTTTGCCTTTTCGATTCAGGCCATGATAATGGACTTTACTCGGTGGCGACGACTACCGTAGAATCCCCCAGTGAGGAAGGGCTCCATAGCAAGGCCTCGATGACTACTGACCATAGCGAAGGCAGGGGTACGGAAACACCTAGGACGAAGATCGTTATGGAGCAGAATCGATATGAGCAGTTGGTACTAAAGATCGCGGAGCTCGTGGTTTCCGAATACACAAGGGTGGAGGAGAAAACATCAGAAAAGAACACTGCGCACCGCATTTTGATTGATGCCGTGAAGACGGTGGAGTCCGTTGTGTCCATTTTGCATGACGCAGCAGCTAAGTATATCAAGGCGCTAGAACCACGCGCTATCATTATCACTATCTTCACGAAGTTTGAGTCAGAGCGAGTGCGGCACCAGTGGCTCTCATCACTGGAATCCATTTGCAGGGCGTCCGATGCAGCGGCTGAAGTGGTGTTTGAGGAATTTATCCAGTCTGTTGATCGTATCGAGAGCGTGACTGCGCCGTGCGACCAGTACACACGCATGCTCTGCTCTTTGGCGCGTCTGGAGGGCGGCAACTCGTCCATGTATTGCCACAAGCTTGCCCAGGCTGTAGTGGCCAAATTCCGTCGTGGTTTTGCGAGCAAGTTCCTGGCCTGCAATGGGCGGTCGTGCGAAGTACTGATTGGATTCATGGAGTTTCTGCGTGAGGTGCTGGTGGCACATGCTAATGTGCGAGCTGAAATCGCCCGCGATATTGTGGATGTCGTGTATGATGAGTGTTTGTTCACTTTGCCCTCTGAAGGCCGACGTCGCTGCCCGCTGTGCGTGTCGCTGGAGACGCGACGTCCTGCGTTCAAGCTGCTCGCTAGTGCAATTTCTTCGGATGCGAGCATTCTGCACGACTTGCATGGACGCCTGACCAGGCTGTTCACGCGAAGCAATGCGTTGCGGTTCAAGTGGGGCCAAGAAAATAACATTGAAACACGTGGCAACGGCGAACATGTCGGGCTGAAAAATCAAGGCTGCTCCTGCTACATGAATTCTTTCTTGCAGCAGTTGTTCATGCATCCGACGCTGCGCCGGGGACTGCTAGGCGCCAAGGTAGCACCTCGCCCTACTCCACAAGAACCGACAAAGGCAGAAGCAGAAACCTTCCCGGAGCGCTTGATGGGCTGTCGTGTGGCACTAGAATGTCTCGGAGGGCGGGTATACGAAGCCGATGTGGTGGGATACGATGATGCATCTGGTCAGCACACGATGCGGTACGAGAATGGAGGCGAGGCAAGCTTCGTGCTAGCAGAGGGGCGACCGGGAAATGAAAACGGTCGCTTCGTGATCTTGCAAGCGGAGTTGACGGGCACTCACGCGACGTTGGAAGTTCTTCGTCAACTTCAGCGCACGTTTTGCTACTTGCGCGACAGTGAGATGCGTTATTTCAATCCAAAGGCATTTGTCGACTCATGCACGTGTCTGAATCTGGAGTTCTCGGTTTACCAGCAAAATGATGCAACCGAGTTTTGTGATAAGCTGTTGGATCGGTTAGAGACAGGTCTCAAGACCACGCCTCAAGGCACAAGGTGTCTCCAGGACGTTCTCGGCGGCAAGCTGATATCTCAGAAGCTTCCGAAAGACTGCGGACATCGATACGAACGTGAAGAGCCATTCATTCGGCTAGAGTTACAGATCCGTGGAAAGGAAAGCATTGAAGAATCCCTTTCAGCTTTTGTTGAAGGGGAACTTATGGATGGCGACAACAAGGTGGAATGTGAGCTGTGTGCTACAAAGAAGGCTGCGGTTCGACGCACGTGCTTCGGATCGCTGCCCAACCTGCTCATTCTTCACTTGAAACGTTTTGATTTGGACTACACGACGTTTGAGACCGTCAAGTTGAACAATCGCTGTTCGTTTCCTATGCGTCTGAGCATGAAACCATACACGAAGGCAGGTCTGGAGGAGCAGGAGGCCCGCTGTGATTTGCAGCAAGAAAGCGAAGAAACGTCGACCGACGAAGACATGGCCTCCGATGACTCGAGCGACTCGGACGAGTTTATGACCAATGTTAACGACGATACGCCAGCAATTCCAGCTTCAGTGTCACCTACGTCGACAACTAAGCTGGCTGCCTCGCCACTAGATGTGACTGATGAAAACAGCATCAAGTCGGATCCCGATTACGAATACCGGCTCAAGGGCATTTTGGTGCACTCGGGTGTAGCCCAAGGCGGCCACTATTACTCATTTATTTACGACCACATGTCGGAAAAGTGGTTCAAGTACGATGATGAAGACGTGACGCCGTTCGACCCTGCTAACATCGAGACTGAGTGTTTTGGTGGAGTACAGCGTCGCTCGTGGCACGGATCAAACAACTCGATGGAGATGGAAGTGTTTAGTAACGCACTCATGCTCTTCTATGAGAAAGTTGTGCCTGTCGAACGTTTGACAGTATCTGTTCCTGACGCCGAGACCGAATCCGAGACCGCTACCGATGTCGTTGCTCCTGACGAAGAGCGTTGCGAATATGAAGCCGAAGTTTGGAAGTCTAACGAGGTATTTTTGCAGAACTCGTACCTTTTCGATATGGAATTCCACGGGTTCCTACGGGAGATGGTACAGTCGCAGTACATGAAAGACGCCCAGGTTTCAGCCACGGAAGAGAACGCAGCATTAGCTCCACCATCATCGCCGCAGTCAAGAGACGATGGCGCTGCACCAGTAGCATTAGCTGTCCAGACAGGACGAACTGATGGCGACATCCAAATGACACTCACGGAAATCGGAGTTGAGTTCGTTTTAGGCGTGTTATTGCATTCGCGTGAAAAGCACGGAATCGCACGATGGATCACGGTGCTTGCATCCAAGTTTACGCTGTCCAAGACGATCTGTGTACGCTTCTTTTCCGCGCTATCGACGTCGAAGCAGATCCTATGGCTGCGTGGATTGCTTTTTGAGTGCCCTGATTCGATTGCACGTCAGTCATTTGTTCACCTCGTATCTCGAGCACTTACGGCGTACGAGGCTCATATGAAGAAAGAGCAAGCCGTATTGGACGAATCGAGTGCGGAAGAAGCGATAGCTGCTGACAGGGCAATTATCCGCGCGTTTGTGGAGTCTATCGCTTCGTTCTTGGATCAGACGTCCATTATGCAGCAGTCCCACTTGGAGGAGTGTTTCATGCTTTTGCGAAACTGCGCTGAAATCAGCGCTACGACGCGTGCTCAGTTGCAAAACGTCGAGATGGTTGCACGCTTGATTAATTTCTTCCTGTGCGAGCGGGGTCCCAGTGAACTAAAAGATGCATTTCCTTCTTCGACGTTGCGACCGACGGCTTCAAGGTATGCTTCGCCAGACTACCAGTACCTGCTCGAAGCAGTTGTCGCAATTTTGGGGGTACAAAGGCGCTCAACTGAACCCCTGCTCACTGAGAATAGCACGCTCTATCCACATCGGACCGTTCTATCCGAGAAAGCCGAACGCGCGCTGACGGAAGTATTCGAAGACTTCCAGAAACCTGGAGGTGTGAATGGCAGGCCAGGCATGGGTCTTGAAGAGCTCAAGAAGTACTTCTCCGTGTTACTGAGCAGCGCTGTGAGTAGTCTAGCAGTTGAGCAACAGGCCCGGAACATGCTAGCCAAGTACGGCACACCGAGCGATGACGGAGCAAAGGATGGACCTGGAGCAAGTGCTTTGCGCGTAGAGCTGGGAGGCTTTATTCTGTACTACACAGACATGGCCGGATCATCAGCAAAGTCCGTACTACAGGATCTTCGAGCATTTGGCTTTAGTGAGGATCTCCAGCGTCACCCCACGTCTAGCAGCGATTGTTTGACAGGAGCTCAAGTGCTTGAGGGATTGAGTGCTTTGAGTCGCGGGGCATTGCTCAATGATGTGTTTTTCGACTCGGCACTTGAGGAAGAGGCAGAGACAACATCGGAGTTGCTGCTACGGTTGAGTTTGGGTGACCGCGAAACGTCCACGCGCCTGTTGCGTGCTCTCTTGCACTGCCTGCAGAGCACCGAGACAGGGTGGAAGGGGCAACCCGTGGTCGACGCTTGCGCACTTGCAGTGCAGCGTGTTCTGGGTTACGAGTGTGAGTATCAAAGGGAACTTGTGGAGCTGGCACTAACGCACTGCGACTACGGCTTGCTCAGCTCTGCGCGTAGCCGAGAGAGCCTGCGCTCGCGGTATGCGAATACTACGCACGTTCCGCTTTTCGTGTACCGGCAGCTGGTGATATTGCTGGAGTTGCGTGCGCGAGTGTCTGCCGTGGGTACGTGGCTGGGCGAGCACCGTAGCGAGTGGGAATGGCTTTACGAGTGGTTACGCATCGAGTCGCTTCAGCCCAGCCTAGGTGGACGCTTGTCGTTACTAAGACGCGAGCCAGCGAAAGAGGAAATGCTGTGGCGATTGGGTGAGGCATTAGGCATACCATATCAGAAGGAGCAGCGGCGATATATGGTGGAAGGCGCCGGGTATGCCTCCGTCAATGGTGTGTACGTTAGCTCTTCGATCCACGACAACTGCTTGACGTACGCTTGTGTCAAGAGCGACATCGAGTACACTCTTTTTCGATGCTGCATGCCCAGCAAAGCTCGTCGCTGGTACATTTCCTACTCCCCGAACAAGAACCTGCTCGGAACAATGTCAGATGAAGATTTTTACTTTGTACAGTCGAACATTGACGACGAGTTTCCGCCAGTGGATGGCTGGAAGGTGTGGGCCAAGAACGAGAAAGCCAAGCCTCCTGTGCCCACGGTTCGTCTCTATAGCTCTACGGTCGCTGTGCTAGATGGTGAGTGTGACGCCGTAGATGCCTCCGACTCATGCGACGGTTACACGGATGGCGGTGGCTTTCCCGAGCACGAGGAGGGATCACCTGCTTCGATTGCGCCTTCGGCCGATGTCGTAGAGACGGTGGGAGTAGACGCGGACGCAGAGACAGTGGAGTATGATGACAGCGAGGACGAGATCCGCGATAGCAACGAGCGTTTCCGAGCGGTGCATTTGGACACACAGGAAAATGGCAGCGGCACGGACGACTTCATGTAAGCAAGCGAACTCAAGGAGAGTAAAATTATGTAGCTTTCTGTCATGCGTCCCAGCCGCACGGACTCGGTGTTTGCGGGCCATAGGGATCCTGGCCAGCAGGCACGGAGAGGAGCAGGCGGCGAAGATTGATTTAAGAGAGTTGCCATTTTTAACTGAAGCTTTGCCGAAGATGACGGACTGACTGGATGCGCCGAGCGTATCCGTTTCGTTCGTGCGAACGACTCGATGTAACGCATGTTCTGGTACAAACGCCAGGACGTGCTAGCCCAGGCTTTAGTTGAATGCTACCATTATCGTTGTGATTGTTCAGCCCGAGTAGATCGATACAGCGAGGGGTGGTATGGTACCAGTAGGTACAGTCAAGCAGTGTAGTGCTCTAGTAGATACGTAAGCGTGTAGATTCGAGTTGTCGGGTAGGTAAGATGCCTACAAAAAGCTAAATGATACGCACGAAGGCACGGATCGTCATACCATATGGTGAGCGATGTATGCACAAACTTAGTTGCGCGAATTTGTACATGTCCGCATAAGCCACATCGTGATGCGCTAGCGTACATGCACACCGATGCAAACCCCGAGTCTGGTTGTTGATCGTACTAGCAGAGTGCTGACTGATGTCACAAACAATGTTGATTGCCCGCCTATGCGTCAATGGAATACATGACGCAGTACTGAGCTAGTAAGCACTTCTCGCGCAGTGTCCTTGGCCCCTCGATGCACATCGCGTATGCTAACATCTCTTCGTTTGGGGGGGGGTGTCATTCGGTGCAGACACAATCCCCGACATGTTACTGCACATTTGATACACCCGCGCAGTCTGCTTCCACATGCTCGTGTTCGTGTTCTCGTGTCTTCCCACTGCTTTGCTGGTGCAGAGAGTACGGACAAATGCACGTGAGTTCGAGCTTTGGCCATGCATCAGCCTAAGCAGTCGGAGCAATGGCAAACGTAGCTGCGCGTTGCTACAACCATGCGACATATCGTGCAGGCGACTCACACATTCGACACAGTGCAGTCTTACTCAGTGCCCTAGCAAGAGTCTGCTATACCGATGTCACGGACACCGCTCGACGCACAAGTTTGCGAGAGCGAGAGTCGCATGGCCTAACTGTATCGGACGCTGTAGGCAAAGTCGTTGGCCGGTTGTCGGCCGTGATGTGAGCAAACGATGGGACGCACGCTGCTGATCCTGAGCCGAGGACACGTTGCAGGACCGTCGTGACTCACCTCGCACGAGCCCTACTCGTCATCAACGCATCGACGTGCCTTCAATATTTGCCCATGATGTGTCGAAATTTTGACTCGATAGTGCAAGCGAACAATTTTTCGGCGCTGGCTGCAGCGGTCGGGTTTATTCCCCCCAGACATTCCCTTCTTCTCCTTTGCTGCGCGATGTGCGTCTACGAAAGGTCGGCCGATCAAGGGCAACGCCGTTGCATGTGGCCATAAGCTGATCATGGCGAGCGCTTTGTCAGGAGCTAATGGGAAGCCAAACGCCCCTCGCGCCCATTTGCTCGTTGACATGGATCGACTACCAGTGTACTGGTCAAGAGGGATACATAAAGCCCGAGCTATTCATACAGTCTTTGATCACGAAGGCGCTGCCACAAGTCGCAAGTGTACTCGTCGCACGCTATTGTTGTTGTTGGTACGAGCCACACGCTTAGTCTCTTTTACCAACTGCAGTGCAAACGAGAATGTCTCGGCAGGCACTTTCGAGCCGCAGCTCGTCGACCCGGTCGATACCTGTTGCATATCCTATGAATGTGCTATTGCCGTGCACGAAGGTGTTGTAAGATGCTGCTCGCTCGCGCCACGAGCTCTTTCCCGACGGTCAATCCCTCTGTCCCCATGCGCAACGTGACAGCTATTGCTGCGGTTCTTCGGTCCAGTACGACGCGTCGTCCGCCCTGAACGGTTCCGCACGAGGGGTTCGCGTGGCGTCAACCGGTACGCGTCAGCTGTTTCGTTTCAAGTGGCACCTCACGTCCGTCGATGATACCCACTGCAGGTCAGAGGGGACCGACCGACCAGACCGGATCCAGATGGACGCTCTGCACGCAAACCCCCAACAGTAGCGCCTCGTTCCCCTCTTCAGTCTCCATCATCGGACGCACCAGCTGCTTCGCCCCGTTCAGTTGAAGCACCACATGTCCACACCGGCTGTTCCAGCGCCCTGTGCGTGCAGACCATGTGGCGAGACGTCTTTTATCAAGTGGCGCAAGTCAAAAGCAGCAGCCAACTGACTGGACACCACGAAACCCGTCCGGCAGCCGGCGTCGTGCGATCGCCAACGACGGCATCTGCTCAGTGCGCTCCCCGCCGACCACTTGTGTGCGTGTGGGTGTGCGTGTGGGTGTGTGTGTATTTACGATAGCGGCCGTGCCAAACGACGACGACTCGGAGCTGCTGGTTGCCACCCACGACGCGCACGGCTTCCGTCGCGATTTGGTTAAGTCGGCGCCCGATCGTCACGAGCGAGCGAGTGGACGAACGACCGCCCAGTCTCTTGACCAAAGCGGCTGCGACGCGAGGGCCGCCTGGAGCTCAACGCCCCGGAGAGGTCCGACAACGCACAAGTGCATTTGCTGTCAACGCCAAAGAAGAAGACGAAGACGAAGACGAAGACGCTCTGCGTTGCTACTGCTGTCTGCAGTTGGCTTTGGACGTTTGTCAGTGTGTCATTTTGTCGACCTGCGCCTTCACGTGCTGCTTCAGCGTCGTCTGCTTCGCTTGCGCTGTCGCGTTCGACGGAAAACGGACTGAAGTGCGCCGTTCGCACCCGCTGACCTTCAGCAACAGCAGCAGCAGCAGCTTTACGTCCCGTCATGACGACGCAAGTGGGCGAGTTCCCGCGGCCGCTGTCGTCAGGGCCTCGTCCGCGCTCGGGCACGTCCTGGAGTCGCTGCGACCAGGCGGTGGCCCGCGTCGCCCCTAGTGCCACGACGACCTGTCAAGTCTGCTCCAAGCGCATCGGTCAGGGCGAGTGGCAACTCGGGCTCATGTTCATTCACGTCGAGGGCTACATGCTCATGGAGTGGTACCACTTGCAGTGCTCCAAGTCGCTGCAGGGCAATGGCCTCTCGGATGTCCTCGAGACGGTGCAGAGCGAGATGACGGATGGCCAGAAGCAGGTGTTCCGCTTGGCTTGCCAGGAAGCTTCGGCATAGCCACTAGAGGTGCCGACCCGACGTCAGTGGGTTCGTCGATCGACTGCTGAGAAGCCGACTTGGGCTCCTCGATGTATCAATGTCGTGTACTATCAAAAGTGTGTGTGTGTCGTGGAGCAAGTCACAGTAGCAAGCGCTCGCGAATGTGCTGTCCAAGTAGCACGAAAGAAGACGCACTGGACGAATGAGGCAATAGACGTGAACACTCATTCGGTGCAAGGGGAGATAAGCAGAACCAGAAGAAATTACAGCAACGTACGTACGTATATACCTTCGTAGCTTGTGACCATGTCGTACGCCCAAAGCCGCGGGCGCTCTCTTACCTCTGTTACAAGGTCAATTAGGCAGCCGTTTGTTGTCCATCATGCTCGTTGTGCAATTGACGAGACGCCAGGAATTGACATGTCTAGAAAGTGCCTTCATCATACGCAGCGTGGATAGTGTCGTAGTATGACGCCGTCGGGATGTTTTGCAGACGTGCGTACCGAAGTTCTTTCTGAGAACGACTGTTTGCATGAACAATAGTCAGCGTCCCCTTTGGTTTATCGCAGCTCGCAACGATATCGGGTCAAGAAGACGCCTGCATGGACCACCCAACTTCTTACGCATTCGACATGGTGCTCGAAAGATCCCAATTTGTCAGAGCTACGACCGCCGCCTCATCAGCTCTCGCGGCCACTGCGGTGATCTGTCTACTTCTCACCAACTCTGTTGTCGATACTGCCGAACTGCTTCGTTGGCATTGCTGAAAGCAGGTAGCAACTTGACGTGTGTTTGTCCACGTCCACGTCAACTACGATATACGCAATGGAGAGAAAGCTGACACTGCTCGAAAACCTGTAACACAAACAAAAGCCTGTTCGAGACCTTGTCAAGACCGTGCAGCGCAAGATAGCTGAAGTACGCAAGAATGTCTTCAGATATCACAAAACAGCAAGTGCTGTGCGGAACCAGTACACAGGATCCTAGCAATCTACATGCAGTGGAACAGAACCCCGGTCACGTACATGGATGGGTGAACAAGTACCCATGGAGCGTTCAGGACAATTTCCCACCAATTGCCGTCTCCCACATCTTCATTTTTCAATCCTCCTTGTCCGCCGTTTTTGCCTTCAGTGACCACTTATCGCGCTTTATGTCCAGGTGCAGTGGCGCCCAATGCAGCTTCTCAGACACAACGTTTGGACCCTTTCGAGACAGCTTCGTCAGCTGTGCATCCACAATGTGTGTGGGCACCACGTACGCATACTGCCCGCCCAGATACTTGATCATGTTGAGATGCTGCAGCGTTGCAATGATGTCATCGTTCTTGATCGACGTAATCTGAATACAGAAACAGCTCGCATGTTACTGTATGCACTATTGCAATCACAGCAAGACGGGTTACATACCCTTGTCAGGTCCATGATCGATACTTCTTTCTCGGGATATTCTCGCAACACCCGTAGCAATTCGCGCGTCCAGTAGCTTCGATAGCTAACCAGACCAAGATCTGAGAGAGGCTTTTCGGGCGAGCCCACTTTCTCTTCCTTCTTACTCAGCTCGTACGAGAACTGGATGATAAAGTGGCCGTAGCCTTTGCGCTGATGGCACGGGAACGTCAAAATACAAGCCAGATTGTATCCCAACTCCGAATACTTCTCCTTGGAGAAGTAGCCTACTGGGTGGAAACCACGCGAGTCAACTTCGCAGATAATGTAGAACAGGAACGGGTCCACATCATAGTACAGCGTTTTGTGGTCCAGAAACAACCTAATGGATCGTCATGCATCGCACAAGTCAGATTGCTGAGCCAGACTTACCCCCTTCATCAAGCACTTCGTACTTGGCAAGATAGCAGAGATTTTGGCAGTAGACCTTGGAAATCGCACCGTCGACCTCAAAAACGCTCAGGTTCTCGTGACGATAAATCTCATTACCTGGCGGGTGCTATCATGTTGCAATCATTCAATCATTCACATACAGACGATAGGGCACCGTGCATCAGTGATATGCATCGGCTGTCACCACACACAGTGCCAACTCACGCGGTCGCACACGTGCCGCTCTTGGTGCACTGTCAGCTCGCGCTTGTAGCGGAAAAACGCCATGCAGAACTCGCAAAAATGCAGCTGTGGCCCGGAAAGCATAAAACGATACAGTGCAAGTAAGACAGAGAGCATCCTTCTGGTGCCGGTGGTCAGCGCACACGTACGCAATCGATCGATCCATCGGGGTAATATTCCTTCGGAAAAGGTGAGAAGTACCAAGCTGCCATGCGGAAGCGCCCTAGCTCCACAAATCGCACATTCTGATCCACAGCAGACCAGAAGACACCCGTTGAGAACCCTGCTGCTCGTGCACGCAGCAGCAGCAACATAAAAAAGAAACAACTGCCACACCTTGACTTTCGTCACCTCTTCGTGCTCTCGAATACTAGCCGCATCCATGCCTTCGTGCTCATCGTGCTCTTCTTCTGGCGGAGCAAAGTCCTGGTCGTCTGGTGTCTTCCGCTTCTGCCCCCTCGTACGAGCTGAGGTATCGCTGCTGCTAGCAGCAGTATCATTCGAGACCGACGCCTTGCTGCGGTTCTTGTCCCGTTGTTCCTTCTCCTTCTCTTTGGCGTCTTTCTCCTGCAGTTTCAGCGTCTCTTCGTCCGTGCCGCGTCTCACGATTTCGTGCTCGTTGATCCACTCATCCATACGACGATTGAACTACCACACAAACGAGTGGACATCAGTGCATGCAGCGCCAGCCACAACGACGTCAGCACTAGTAGGAACGACAGACCAACCCACGCATGACAACACATAGTCGAGCAACGATAGCAACAATGTACTGCTATAAGAATCGACATCATCACGTAACGCACCCCGTGCCAGTGCACGTAGTACTTGAACCGATCGTTGCTGAGCGTCGCTACCAGCGCAAAGAGCTGTTAGAACCGCCGATGGGGACGACTTGCGTGCACCAAAATAGGTCCACGTACTGCGGTCGATGACGATGCACATGCGCTCCGTCTTGCCCATCCAGCGCGCCACTAGCGTCGTGCCCACGGCGAACCCATTGCTCGCGTTCGCCTGCTCGTCGCGCAGGTTGCTGCTTTCCACCATATTGTGTTGAGGTGCTATTCACACGAGATTATGGTTTTCGCCGATGCTTTGAAGAAGTACTCCGTCCCACCAAAAAGACTGCAGCAGGAGTGCTATGTCAGCGGGTTCGACAGCTCGCTTCACAATGTATCCATCCAGTTGCAAACGTACCCTCGCGCAGCTGCAAACACGACCGTAACCTCTCAGCGGCGCGACAGCGACCGGTCGCGCTCCCCCACTATACTGACAGTCGTTCCTTCCGCCCACGGCGAAAATAGCAGCATGACCGACCACGAGCTCGAGCTGGACGAACGCCGAGCGTCCCGGCAGCCGCTGCTGGAGCTGCACGACGGTAGTGACGACGAACAGGACGCCACACGTCGGAAGAAGCAGAAGACGCCGTGGTATCGAAGTCGTCTCTTTACTGTACCAAGCGCCGTGCTGCTGCTCTTGAGCCTCACGTACGTTGTCGTTTCGAGCCAAATCCTGCGAGTGGCCACACAGACCATTCGAGACACGACGATGCACATGGAAAGTATGGATCTGAGCCATCCAGCGGCGACATCGGTGATGCTGAATCTGAGTCTGAGTCTCGTGGCGACGTCCCCGTTCCCAGCAACGATAGACGCTGCGATGTTTGCGATTGCGTACGAGCACGTCACAGTTGGCGGCTTCCAGGCGCCTTCAATGAACGTCCGTCGTGGTGTGAACGATCAGGTATTTCCTAACGCAACGCTCGGAATTCAGAACAAGAAGGCGTGGGATCACTTTGCAGGGGACATGATGAGGCTTGCTCAGGTTCAGTTCGAGATCAAAAGCTCGCTGACCATTCACGTGCAACTGCTGGGATCGTTCGTAACTTGGAGTGTCTCGGGCGTTCCGTTGCATAAGACGATGATGTTCAAAGGGATGAACGGACTGCAGGACATGCAGATTGCTCATGTAGACATGGAATACTCGACGCAAAAACAGGTGGTAGCGACCATCAAGACGTGCGTTCGCAATCCGTCGATCGCGACGATCCGACCAGTAGGGGCGCTATGTCTCAACGCCCACTATCCAGAATTTGGAGAAGGCACGTTGGTAGCGCACATGAAGACGGCAGCGGACACGGGATTGTCGGTGGCTGACGAGCAACCATCTCACCCGTTCTGTGCATCATTGCAGGGAACAAAAGACATGCGCAAGGGGTATAATTTGCTGGTATTGCAAGGCGAAATGCTGGGTGCAAACTCGGATGCGATCAGTGGACTAATTACCAAATATTTGAGCAACGTGTCGGCAGCACTTACGGTTGTGACGTGCGACCCTCAGGCGACTTCGGTGGAGCTGTATAACCAAGCAATGAAGAATTTGACGATCAGGAGCTCGTTGCCGCCGCAGAAAAGCCCGCTTGTTGGGAATATGTTTTTCCATGGCATCTCCATGCATGCCCCACCAAAAAACAAGGAAAACGATATCATACAGCTTGATACTGCTGTCGCTGTAGAGGCGGCCAGCCCATTGGGGCTCCATTCAGCACTGACTATTACAGATGTGCGTATGAACGTGAATCTCACGAGCGCGGACGAGACTCTAGGAATACTGTCAACCACGTCTGTCGATATTATCGATGGAAAACTGGTAGGCCGAAGAAACATATCAGTCGATTGTCGGACGGAGCTCTACTTTGCTGATGGGGGAATAGCTTTTGGCAGGTTTGTTCGGGCATCTGTCGTCGAGGAGAAAATTTCGTTGACTCTCGCTGGAAGCATGGACGTGGTGTGTCATGGAGCTTTAGGTACAGTGTCACGGATTGAGACATGATACGCATGATATTTGGTTGACGGTGAATACATGTGCTTGTTTCCTTTCTTTCAGGTACGCTCAAGCTGGCGGGCTTGCCTCTCAAGACCACTGCTCTCTTGCACGGAATGGACAACTTTCAGGATGTAACAATCAAGAGCTTCAGCCTGCCGGGGACGAGTGCCACGACAGCAGACGAAGAACCAATCTTGACACAGGTTGAGATCGTCAACCCGTCCGTTTTCACAGTTTCCATCGGCACACTCACGATGGACTTGAGCTTAAGCACACCACGAGAGAAATTTGGGGTACTCCACGGTACGATGAATCTGGTCCCCGGGAGGAACAAGCTGAAATTGAATGGTCTGTTGAAGCCGAACAAAGACGAAGCCGGTCAAGTCAGTGATGCCGTGGCCGACTTTTTCTCTACTTACCTCAACGGAAACAGCTCGCAAGTCGTTGTTACGATTACGCACACGCACTACGCAAGCTGTATCTGGATGCAAGAGGCGCTGGTGGGATTGACAATTGCAACTAGCTTTCCAGGAGTCGATGAAGGCTTCCAGATGATCTCGGATATTGGAATAAAGCAGCTTGATGTTATCTTGGACGAGCTCTTGCCTGGCGAGGGACAACTGGTAACCAATACGCGTATGCAAGTCCGCACGGACATGGTGGCGAAGGTGAAGATGCCAGAAGCCGTTAAGATTTCCTTGCAGATTTCGAACTCGTCGGTCGCAATCACTCTCCAAAACGAAAACGGGCATTGTATTGGCTCGTTGGTATCGGGTCGAGAAAGTTGCCAATACAACCAAACGGAAGATGGAGCATTCCGGTTGAATATGAGCCACTTTTATCCGATTGGTTTTAGCAACCTCGGTGACGTCAGTGGAATGTCTGGATTCATCGAAGATTTGCTTACGAAAAATGGAAGTGTCATGATGCGATTGGCAAGTAGTATCGCTTCTGCCCAAGGAGCGTTCCCCGATGTTGAGACAAAAATGGGCATACTCGCACTTCGCAATATTCCAGTTCGGGGCGAGCCGCTCCTCCCGGCAATGGATTCTTTTCGCCACCCGCCGGTCAAGGTCCTCAATATCGACATTCGCCGAGGGTCGAAGCTGTCGATGGTGATGTCGATGAAATTCTCTCTGTACAACCCCTCGATAGTGCAAACAAAGTTGGGCTCACTGACGCTCGATGTCTTTTTCGATGGAGCACGAATGGGTTCTGCGAAAATTTCAGATTTCAGTCTGAACTGCTGTGGCAAACCGACGATTCTCCACGGTATTTTTGTGTACAATCCGCAGCCAAACGATTCCACAACTGCAAAGAGATTCTTGTCGAATTTTGTCTGCGGTTACTTCACACACGGAGCTGCCCAGGAGGTACACCTGTTCTTGAGTCGTCTCTTATCGTCCAGTTGTGTGATCTTATGCGAACTTTGCGGTGTTTGTTCTCGTAGATTGATATCAGAGGATCATCTGAAAGCACGCCGCTGGATTTGCTGAAGCCAGCAATGAAGGCACTCTCGATTCCGTCGAAGCTGCCTACTTTGGCGGAGCTGTTCCCGTTGACGCCAACTCTCGTCACATCGTCGTTGTTGTACATTCCGTCAATCTTGCACCTAACACGGATTCCGACATCTCTTGAGCTACGGAACCCGTTCAGTGAGCACATTACGTTGACAACAGTGGACCTGGAGCTGTATCCGTGCGAAGACCAGGTTATGGGTACGTTAGAACGTCTTGCAAACATGAGCTTATCAAGGTGCTCACGGTTGCTATGATGACAGGCAATGACGGCAGAATGGTGTGCAAAAAGTACTTTGACGACTCGCTCGCTCGATTTGCTCCTGCACTATTTGAGCCGATCTATATCCCTGCAAACACGGATAGCTGCTTCTCCTGCTGTCAGGGCTCACACTGCGCCGATCATGTGATGCTGTGTCCACGTGCATCGGTTGGTAAATGTTTGAGTGCTGACGTACAGAGCTTCTTGAGTCCGGAGGCTATTGCGACTGTCATTCACTCGCTGACAGGCGGATTGCTGATGAGAGTAAACGGCACAGTAGGAGCATCAATCGGTAGCTACGCTACGCACCTGTTTTACCAGCAAGATGATCTTTTCGTCGCGATGGCCAAGTAGTTGTCGTGATTGTAACGGAGCGGTAAGTGTAGTGCTATGTATTGACCATAGTGTGTGCTTTGTGTTCCGCAATTTGGCGCATGGTCAATCCAGTTTTGCTGACAGTCTTACAGCTGGCAGTGTGCTTGTTCGTCTTGCCAAGATACGCGTTTCGATCAATGTTGATAGCAGCCTGACGTCGAAGCTGTAGCATAACTTGTAGCTAGCTTCACCGAGATGAGCAGGGACGTGAACTGCCACAGCATCGATTGATCCACCATCAGCAGAGTTCATAGACCGTTGGAAAGCACGTGCCCGTGACGCCGCGGTCCACTCAGCTGCAAGATAGACATGATGGTGACAACGGGATCGTATTGTGAAGTTGACGGGGAGCGTGCGGCCAAACGAGTGACCCTCTTGCGCTTGCTCATGTCACTAGCCGGTGTTTTATGTACCCGGTTGATGGCAGTGTCGATGCAACTACGAACAAGCTAAGTGTACTCAACGCGTGCATGTTTACCACTCGACTGTGAGCGTGACCAAAGTCACAATGGCGTTCAGGAAGCTGTGATTCTGCTCAGTCGTGCACGCGATGTTGATCGCGCAAATTGGTTGGCCCCGACGATGAAGTTGCAGTCTCTAGCTGAAGCATGGAGCGCAGGCAATGGCGGAGACGATGCAGATGCTATCCGAAAAGATCAGTTGAGGGGCATTTGGTGCGACCGAGGCACTGCAAAGCGTAGCTCGTCAGCAGGCTGGTAACCAAGATCGCCGGCGTCAAGCTACACTATCAGGAACGCACATCGTTGTGGCTAGGATAAGAGGGAAAGACGCAATGGCGAGCATGTATCGGGAGACAATGGACTTGGCTGGGTGCGTGGTATTCGCGTGTGAATACCAGACACCTAGTCGTAAGCATATTCGTGCGGAAGATGCCGTACGACACGCAGCACATCAGCTATGGCGGGAGACAGGAGCAACGGAGCTGGGCGCTTACAACGGTCCAGGAGAAACGAACAAAAGGAGCAGGAAACTCAACGGGAACATCGTGGGCAGAGAAGCGCCGAGCTATCATTCCAGTGCAAAGTGCATCCGGGAAGCCAACGAAGCTTTAGATGAGACATGGCAAGACGAGAGTATGTGCTGAAGCATGTGTGTGGACACGACTGTAATGCTGAGATGCTGTGATGCTGGAACGCATGACCGGTGGCGTGGTAAGTGTCGATATTGGTTTGATTGTGACGACTAGCGCAAACGCATGCAAGATTTTGTCGTGCATCTTCGTATTGCTGCTAGTGATGAAGTTGGCATCCGACGCACACCATACCAAGTTTGCGCATAAGTAAGTGATGATGGCGCGTTTAGCGATATCGATATATATCTATATCAAGAGGCATGCTCAAGGGGCGGACCTGAACGATGCGCCCAAACGTTGTTTCTAGTTGATCATTGCGCGAGTTACAGATAAGAGGATCTAAAAGTGGGGAAACAAGAAGTATACGTCAGCATTATGATCGAAAAATGAAACATAAATACCATAGGACCGATGAATGTAAAATATGTGCCGCATAATTTACAGCAAGAAATTGAACCACGCCATTGAAAAATGGTGTATTGTGTACGAGAATACATAGTGAACGTACGGATGTTCCGATGCGTGGTGCCATTGTTATATGTATGAAGTTGTTGTTGTTGATCATTGCTCAGCTTCTTGATCGAAACAGATTGATTGCATTCGCAGTGGTATGATTGTGTCAATGCTTTTTCGTATCCGCTGGCAACTTGCTTTTACTACATGATAACTGCTGTTGGCGAAAAAAATGTTCATGCAATTAGATACAGACCTTCGGTACGACTCAACCATCATGTACTTTGATGATGGAAGGGGACCTTCGACGTTGCGATCAGAATATAACAAACGGTATGCACATTCACAGCATGTGTGATCAAGCCACAAAACAAAAACTGTACGCTTGGGTTAGCGATCATCTCTCGGTGAGAGTGTCCCATTTCCGTCTCCTGTTCAGACATTTGGCCGCTACTCCATGACGTCCTACCTCGTCCTTCTTACTAGCCTAAAGTTTACCATTTCCAAAAGGGTCAAGTGTTGTGAGGCGTGCAAGTGATCTGAAAACGCTAGGAACGGTAACAATGTGGTGTGTTATCTCCATGTGTGTCGCGCAAGGTGGCCACTGCGAAGTGGGGTGAAATTGATGTAAATGTGGCCTCGGGCTTCATCGTGGCAATCCGGTCAATTGTATTAAATTAACCGGTAAAGTAGGTAGTCCTTCGTAACAAAGATGTAAAATGATCGGTGTGAGTAGCTTAAAAAACTTGGATCGCCTCGCATTCATGTATTTCTAGCACTGAAGTGTTTCCATGCATCCATCAGCCAGGATCACGTGCTATCTCGACTCCTGTACGCATCATCAACGCTTGCAGCCGCATCTTCTGCGTGACCAGAGTATAAGAAAATGTCTGGTTTGCAGGAAGGCATCCTCACAAGAGGTATAGGCACCGTTCCGTCAGTTTAGATATGCAAGAGGGCCCCAAAGAGAAAGCAATACCGCCCCAATCACCATTTGATAATTGAAGTCGCCGAACTAAAATGTGCGAAGCGTACAGCCGTTTTGGCTACAAAATTAGTATCGTTCCAATTAGCGAATCACGATTTCATGATTCGTCGCCCTATCGACGTCATTCATTTGGACCAGAGTTATCCATCCAAGACTAGGTTCTCTTCGCAATAAATCAAAAGAAAACGTGAAAGAAAAATGCAGATTTGATCGTGCGAGTGTGTACGAAAAATAGTGTAGCGAAAATCGGAATAGCTGCGATAGAGTCATTGAAAGATCCCAGGCCTGTGTATATTCTTCGTGCGTTCAGAGACACGCTGAGTGCATATATTTTTACATTTCTTCTGGCGGTGATAAAAATTTCAAGCCGATCCTAGCTCGTCACTGTCTTTGCAATTTCTTGTAATAATTAGATATATTCCACGCGAGAATTGTTTCTAGCGACGTTTTCTTTATAATCGCAACAGTCTACAACATAACTCACCGCAGACTCAAACGAATCAAACATGAACAACGCAGCACTGAATGTACATTCATAAGAAACACTACAGTTTTAGCATTAGATGCAGCCAGTAACACTGCCGTCCGCCATTACCTCTCCGTTCTAGGTAGCCTCGCTATGCGCGTGACCGATAGTGTACGCGCATCGCGCATCGTGTATACTCCATTTTTCCAGACATTGGCTGACGTGGTTGGAGTCAAAGCGGAGGGGCAGCGCTTGTTCCTGCTAAAGCGAGTACAACATACAAGAAGCACAACAATTCACTTTGAGCTCGTTTTTGGGGGTTGAAGCACCACTTTGCAAAATTAAGCATATTAGCTCAAAGAGACACGATAATGGTCATTTATCCCTTCTAGTAGCTTCTGCACAATACTTGTTGCAAACACATTGTGAGCCGATATGACTCAAACAGAAGTCGCACGAACGTTCGCGGACACGTGGCGCTGAGAAGTCAACGCAAGCAAGATCGCGTGCGTGAGAGCTGCGACACGCGATAAACATTGTTGCTCTTAACATTTTCTTTTTCTGCTCCGACCGATCTACATTACCTATCAATATCGATAATAAACGAAGCGCGTGTTCTACAAACAGATAATCAGTATTGTTGATAATGATACAACCGACACCATAATGGCAGTACAGACATACACTTACGAAGAAGCACAAATTAGTCGGATCTCTATTGTCAATACAGGCGTTTTATAATATAACTGCTCTTCACACGACCCGCGTGGACCGGACGACATGATATGGATTGACTCGAGCATGAATTGCAAGGCATGGTCGAAAAGCAAACGAAAACTAAGCTGAAAATTCGACTGAATTACATAAAAACATCACAATACATTGTAAAGGCTTATTTAATAAACATTCGACCCCGATTTTCTAATTTCTTTGTAAGATCGAAACATCTTAAGCGGTCGCGAACAGTTTCTGAGGATATGCGATAGCCCCATTCTGTTGTACTTGATAGTCAAAGTCGCCTCCAATGCATGTTTTGCCCTTTACTGTGATTTCAAATACTGTACCAGTACGTCAACAAACCATTTGTGACTTCTAGTAGTTTTATTGTAATGCTGGCACTTCCATCATAAACGACACTCTCTTTTTCTTTTCATCGAGACAACAGTGTTTGGGTCCTCTTACACCATATTAAAAGACAAGTAGTATCATTCAACATGCCGTTTGGAAGCAAACCCTGCCTATCTTCGTCGGAAACAGGACGGATAGACTGTGTTGATCAACATCATTTCTCTTACGAGAACAGCAATCACAACGAATCAGTTTGATCACCACAAGGATCTGAATGCCGAAATGCCCTTCGAAAGATTTGATTCAGTAGGGTGTTAGTAAGGGGAATTTCACTTTTTTGTTAGCTCGACAAGCGCACCAATGATATCTTATGAATGCGAGCGCTTTATAAGCTGCACCGCACTACGCAAGCACACATCTTCTTGCACCTACGAGGAAGCGGGTATAATGTCTATTCTTGCGTGTACAGAAGATGTTGGTGGTTGGCCAAGGTGACTTCGCTGAACGGTTGTTACTCTTATACGGTGTCGTGCAGAAAAGGCTTCCCTTGATCGTACACACACCGTCAAGTAGGTCATAAATGTAAGATTGACTTATGTCTAAGATTATAAAACAGAAAGTATGGTGGAATATCAGCTGAAAGAGTAATGAATGAATATTAGCTGAAAGAGAAATGAAGGACGAGTAACTCAAAGAGGAAGGGACGGACGCGTCACTTACATGCGCACTTATTTATGTATATATAGCAAAGCACTTCGATGGTATCGGCACGTGACCCCATCTCAATACGCCTTTATAGTTCGTGGCAATAAATTCGATATAATGTGTCTATCCCATATCCCCTGTGGTGAGTTACTGTTGTGTACTTCATCCGACTAGCCACGTGGACGGATTTTAGCCCTTACGCCACT